CAATAAATTCAATAATTCGCTGAATGGTGACAAAACGCTAACATTGGAAAGTTGATGTGAGAAATATCTCTTCAAATAATGACTAAATGACTGCGGATAAATAATTGCGGTTGATTTTAGCATGAAAGGTCATGCGGAAAAAATAAAAATTTATAGACCATGACGTAAGAAAAAACCCGTTATAGGCCTCGAATATGGTTTTTTCGGTCTTTCTTCAAAATAATTTGTATATATTTACTAAATCTAGATTTTAATCAAATATACGAATACCTTCGACACCTGGTGTTGATATTCTTCACGCTCTTGGTGAAGGTTCTCAACCGGTACACTAAATGTACCAGATAAAATGGATTTCATACACTTCCGGCAACATTCAAAGTCGGTTACTTACTAGAAAGTAATGAAAAGAAGCTTGGAAGACTCTTCAGAAGATCGCGCTACTATCTTACAAACAAAATTAATAAACAATTTAAAAAATTGTCGACAAAAAGTTTATAATAATAATTATTAAACTAAAAATATTATTACTAAATTTTTATTAAATTAAATTATTGTATACTTAATTACTAAAAATTCTCTTATTTCTCTTTTTAAATATATCTATATCTTCTTAATTTTCAATCTGATTTTTATTCAAAAACATTTCTTACAAAAAATGTGAACAATAGGAATAAAATACTTTTTAATAATTGTATAACGATTGTAATATTTTTTATTTATAAACAAGCATACAATAATGTGTCGTACAATTATAATTGATTTAAATTCCATGAAGCATACCCTTAGAATGCGGCTCGACTTGGTGTAATTCAATTCTTATATTCGAATTTGACGATGGAATATTATTAGAATTTTTTTCAGCTGTAGCCTGCCATTCATTCATATATGTTATATCTGTCTTATGAGTAACATCAGGTTGATTTGTGCTTGTTGCAGAATCAACATTTTTTTCAGTTACATTAATGAGATTGATAGGTGGGTTTCTGTTGAAGATGAAACTTTTTTCTTTCGCACTTACTGTTGTTTCTACCTTCGAATTATTTTTTACCGAATCAGCAGTTTTATTGATGCCTCCATATTCATAGAAAGTCTTGTAATTTGTTACGTTCCAATTAGGAGTCACGGAGTTTGAGTTTATTTCTGATGGTGATTTTCGATAGTCTTGATAGTCTGGATAATCGATACTCTCCGCGTTCGAGATAACTTCTCCTACATTCGGGATGTGATTAAGTCCATCATTTGCGGTCATCTCCTCCTTAATTATTTTGTCGTAGGATAATGTCATCGGCCGTTTGTGGAAGCTGCGACCCCATCCACCTCCGCCGCCGCCGTAGCCACCGCCTCCTCCTGAAGGGGGACCATAACTACTTGATGGAGGTGCACCATAACTATCACTAGGTGGTGGTGCACTATAACTACTTGGTGGCGGTGCACCATAACTACCACTAGGGCCACCACCACCACCACCCGAAGCTTTCGTAAGAAGTACTATTTCTTTGAGTTGCCCTGGAAAGTGTTACCAGAACAGAAATATAGGTGTTTTATGAAGATATTTAGTTTTGTTATTTATAGATTTTGTTAAAAGATTGCTATTACATTAAATATTTTTTTAGATTGTTAAAAACTCTCAAAGTTTATGGTAACCAAAATTTTACAATAGAACAATCAATGTAAATTAGTGTGGGCATTGAAAGATTATTTAGATTTCAATTAGACACAAAACATAAAAATATTAAAACAAGATTATTTTAGATTTCAACAATTAGACACAAAACATAAAAATATTTAAGACAGATTATTTAGATTTTAACAATTAGACACAAAACATAGAAATATTAAAATTTAACAAGGAATAATCAAACCTCCTCCACCTCCACCTCCACTCTGCCATGGTCCTCCGCCGCCGCCGCCGCCTCCACCTTTTCCAAATTTGTTCATAAGCATCATCATGGAAAGCATCAGAGACATACCGCCCATCATCATACTTTTCATGGCCATCAATCCTATCAAGTATTTAATTATTTTATTATAATAAAATATTTCAATATGCATGTGATGTGTGTTTCTTAAAACAGAACAGAAATATATATAACTGGCTTTTAAATCCGCGTTACGCGCGGAAATATATATCAAGATTTTTTTTGCAATAGAACGAAAATCGTGCATTTTTATTTGCACGATTTTTTCAAACTATCTATTTATATAAGTATCTTTGGAATGTTCTAAACACATTGGCACAAAATTTCAAAACAATTTTTTTTCACAAAAACAGCTTTTAACATGAAAAAAAATAAAAATTAAAAAATTACATAGTATTAAATCCTAAAAGTCGGTCCATTATTGAAGAAGTAGTTTGTAGTCAGACAGACAGACAGACAGACAGACGGTACTTATACATATGGATATTTGAATAGTGAAAATATGTGCCCGATGCAAAGAGAGATCATGGAAGAATATAAAAAAATAATATACCTATTAGCTTCATTTTCACCATCATTAGCATGCCCATCATCATCATTTGGCATCCTCCTTTTTTACCTCCACCTCCACCCCCCCCGCACTTGTCCTTACCACCGCCGCACTTACCTCGTCCTATAACAAATGATATTTAACTGTAAGAGCAATAATTTCTTCAAGAACGCACAAGTGTTCTGAAGATAAAGATTTTCAAGATTTGTAAAAGATATCTGAGGATTTAAAATTATCCATTAAAGATTGCCATCTAAGATATCTATATTGCGTGACTAATATTGTTTTAATATCCTTTGCATTAGTTTTAATTTCCTTTGCACCAACCTTCCACTACAGCTGCATCATCGTACATTACATCGATCTGATTTTTTTCACGCTTACTGTTCCATCTAGGCAATGTGATACGCAGAGTAAAGGAATTGAAAAAATCATCCAAGCTGCGTTCGATGCTAACATCTGTATTATTCATTGCTCGACCGTCAGATGTATGTATTGTTCTGATCTTCACCAATTTTATGTCTTGCCCGAGCAAAGTAATCTCATCAAGATGAGTTATTGTTTCTAAGAAACGGACGAAACGTTTCTTGATGCAGCCGAGCGAAAATTCAATAACGCATTTGCCAATATCCTTTACGGGAAACCTCGGAAAATGATCGTCGTCCTTGTTTTTCATGGAATCATTCCTGGCTGCTGGAACGATCTTAACGTCGATCTTAAAACCATTCTTCTTGAGATTGAATAGTCGACGTTCGACCGGCGCCTTGCGCAATCCCATATCAAGGATGTAATCCTTAACGTTTCGGATCTCATTTTTCTCGTACGCATTCGCATGGATCGCGCACGCAATCAGCAAACAGAAGACGAACATAGGTTCACGCACTCTTGCACGTTGAGTGGTTAACGATGAACACCGATGACGATGATGAATGACAGAAATATGACTTTGAGAGGATTACACTGACTGACACTGACTGATCTCCGGATCATCGCAATCGTTTATATACAATGAGATTTATGTCATTCGCGGTATCCTCGCGATGCTTTGTCACGATTGTCATTACTTGCAGCGAGAGACAAGTAGTCATCTAATAATACGATTGAAGAGGCAAATCAAGAAAGGATCGAAATCATTCATCGGGTTTCAACCACAACTAGATGGTACACGCAATAGTTAAAGCAAACGTTTCCGGATGCAGCATTACGAGCTGTATTACGTTGACACGCTTATAGAAACATTTCAAAGAGTTTGAGACAGTTTGTGCCACTTACAAATTAATTACTAACTAAAACTTATAATTTATAAGATCTACGACATTAAAGCAATAACAACTAATAATTGAAATAGAATTAATACTATCTGTTGACATATATCGCTTAATTAAGCGTTTGATTTTTATATTTTGTTATATTTTTATTTTTCTTTAATATATCAGAACATTTTCTTATGTAAAATGTAATATTAAATTGTTTTTTATTATTTATAGAAAAATATTTCATTTATTAGTTGCCAAATGAATTAAGTTGATGAATTAAATTGATTAATAAATTAAAATAAACGCGTTGCTCTATATGATTTAATATATGATTATGATAATAATTATATTTTATTTCAAATACTTCGAGCACATTATGTACATATATGTGTACATGTGTGAGTGTGCTGTGTATGTATGTAATAATACATATGATTATGCGCGCCTTGAGACTCGCAACACTTTATGATCTGGTGCAGGACTGCCAGGTTGATAGTTGTCTATGGTGAAGGTGCTAGCCTTATTACTTCTTAATTGGTTCGTACATTCACCTTCAGAGATATCTAATTGTAAGTTTAACCGTAGCAATTAAATTACTATAACAGTAAACATGTGCACTTTTCAGCGCGTGATGCGGTTAGACGATGTATTCACGTTGGCCAGTTAGAAAAGTTCAGTGTAATTTTCTCATTTAAATTAACAAATTCCTGATGACTATCGCTAATCACTTTACGACAGGCAGTCTTATTGCAGCGTGCATATTCCGCGATTCTTGATGATTGCTGCAATTAGTAATAATGACAACGCGTTATGTGTCTTTACAAATGTTCTTTATTATTACAACTTTAACAGTAACAAAATAAATATTCAAAAATCATGTACATGATCTTGGGCAATCTGCGTGCACGACGATGATACGCTTCCCCAATAGACGAAAATGCAACGGCGGCCGCAATAAATATACGTAGGTAACTATAAATAATAAATAATATGATAATTCATGAAGCGACGAAATGAAGCCAGATGAGATCTTAGAGAGGCGGATCAAAAGTGATAATGATGGCGAGACAGAGAAGAGAGAAGAGAGACGAAGCGAAGGTAAGAGGAAGACGTAGAAAGATAGGCATGAGGAGGAAACGCGATAGTGCGTTAGAGGGTAAAAAGAAACGGCAAGGAAAAAAAGAAACGCAGTGAGGTAGAGATGTGCTAAAGATGGTTCTGTCGTGTACCGGCGAGTGCGGACGCTACTCATCGGATTAGATCATTGGGTTGAGATTAGTTCTGCAAGATTGATCTGCGATCGCGCGCGTTGCCGTATTTCAGCACGGCCTGTTGAACCGTATCGTGAACGGTATCGAGGGATCTTCCATATCCAGAATGTCCGAATCCGTGTCCGTGATGCTCCTCCGAGCTATGCGTATGCGAGCTGCTGTACACCGGCTTGCTAACGATTTCGTACGTCGTCTTCTTGTCGTGACCGCTAGTCAGGGACTTGAGCCCGATGATGGCTGATAACATGAGTGCCATCAAACCGGTCATCAGGGCTTTTCCGGCGAGGAGTGCCAACGCGCCGAATCCCATCGCGCCGAGAGTTGCCTTCATCATCATCAGACCGGCTAACAGACCGCCGTGATTCTTGTCCTTTTTACGTCCTATGATAAATATAAAAAATGATAATTAATAAATAATTTAATTAATTAATCTTGAAATATATATACTCGCATAAATAATCGAGATATGAAACACATTGATTTGATCACCTTTTATATAGTAAAATATGCTCAAATAGTGAAATAGTAAAATAAATTATCTGTTTTTAAACTGTTTGATTATCTAATAATTCTTGTTATTTGCTATTTTCTTGATTACTTAGTTAAATAATGAAATTAAGAAATTCTAACCTGTTTCAACATTTTCTTTGCCACCGAAACCAAGTTGCGCGAGCGCATCTTCGTTAAAGCTCCTGGCAGCTTCAAAGGTTTTTGGATCGAAAAGCTTGATAGAGATTGAGTGACTGTTAATGTAACTGCCGACCTTGTGAACCAAATAAGCATCCAATCTCTTCTCAACGTCGTTCGGGAAATCCCTCGCCAAATTGGCGACTACTTCCGATGCCGGAACATTGGCAGAACTGTTCTCCTTGATCACAGATACACCCGGCAAGATACCGATGTTCTCTTGCTCCGACAATTTATCCAGGAAAGACACCACGTCCAGCTTGAGGCATGTGGCACTGTATGACTTTCCGCAATCTTTGTTTAAATTGGACGCCAGATTTTCCGGCGCTTCTTCTATCAATTGTCTCGAGGTGCGTCTCTCGATCTCTGCACTGACGCATCCCGAAAGAACAAGTACCAGAAGAAGGAGATGACAACGCGACAATTCCTGCGTAATTCCTTTCATCGCGAATTTTTGGTTGTTTCTTGAACTTGATTGAAGTAAGAAAAATTTGTGCAGAATTTTTTTCCGTCCTAGGTCTACGGATCGCCAGCAGCGCGACGATATCCTTGAAGACGAAGGACCTTGAAGCTGACGGATGAAACGCGTATCGTGCACTGGGCATACCCTCGGATACTTGCAGTATATATAGAGCGAATCAACAGGTAGTCCTTTTTCCTTTTTGCCTTTCGGTCGTTTCATACATTCTCCGTAGTCGAGAGTACGGCGACGGAACTCTCTTCTTTGTGGATGCCGAAGAGGAGGCAGGGGATTCTCGCAGCCGCCCAGTAGCTACGGCGAGAGGGAGCGTCAAATAGAGCGGAGAATTCGAATCTGAGTCAAATTTACGTAAGAAAAAAACATTACCAATAAATGAGTACAATTAATGATGAATGAGAGCGAATGCTCATCATCTCGATATCGATTTAATTATTATTGACAATACGTTGACATGTGTGTGCGATTAATTTTTTTGCCATCCTTATTATCTATTAATCAATGCTCTAATCCGAGAATTTTACCATTTTTTTTATTTATAAATATAATTACTACTAAAATGACTTACAAATCTAAAAACTAAAAATCACATTTTTCCATAATTAAATAATATGATATATTCTCTTGCATGATATATTCCCTCCGTAATTATATACATATAATTATACACATATATATGTATATACATAAATATAATATATAATAATAAATAAAATATAATATATAATATAATATATAATATATATTATATAATTTAATTTACAAAAATTTATAAAACCAAGAGACACATTTGTAGATTTTTTCCTACTGTATTTAATATTAATTTATAAAATAATAAGGCTTTTTATTATAAAACATATAATATAAAATGTCTATATATATTTTTGATCTAAATGACCTAGAAATTGTTCTTTTGTTATTATAAAAATATCATTTTATAGAAAATAGAACAAAAGAATAGAAAAAATCAAAATTTTAATCAGAGGTAATAATAAAATACAGAAATCTAATCAGCTTGATTAATTATCCGAAACATATGTAAATTACTTAAGCGTCGATCACCGGTATCACCGGCGCTCGATCGCCCGGAGCGCAAGGTCACTTTCGATTTCACGAATGAAACCAAGAACCCATGCAGCAGAGACAAATTTTACAAAGTTCGCGAGCCGGACGTAGGCAAGAATTGCAAATTGAAAAATTCGTCGATAAGTATATCGTGAAAATGATTATTGCGGCGAAACGAGACGGGAGTCCTACTTTAAATCAGTCCAGTTTAGCTAGCTCGTAGGAGATCCGATTTTCGCGCGCCACGCTCGAGCAACGGCGCTTCAGACGGATCTGCTGATGTGAAAGTACGAAGTCGATTTTCACGAACAACTCGACAGGATCTTATCGTGGTATGCACGTACATATGTATCTGTATGCGCAGTGCGCTTCTTGATATGACGCGCTTGCATGCCATACGGCAGGTGGGCCGACTTAGAACGGACTAGCCTTTTTCTTCAAGCATCTATTTTGCCATTTATTGCTTCTTTTTTAATGCGGTGCCTTCCTTTCGTTAATAATCGCGCGATCTCGAACGCGTCACGCTGTTCCTGTTCCCGCCCAGCTATGCGCGACAGATCGAGGCGGTGGTGGGCGTTTTACGGTCGTAAACATCGACGAAAGGGATAGATGGAAAAGAAATTTTTTGTATTTATCTCCATCGTTAATTTAATGAAAATTGTGTAGCAAAGTTGAATTACTTTTTGTATTTATTTTTATCGTTGATTAAATCAAATATTTTGTAGAAAGAGATATTACAATTATATATTTTACGTAGATTCAATTCACTGAGATTTGTTTACGCACTCATTCTGACATTATCATTTTATTGTCTTTTTTATTTTGTCAAGCTTTAACCAGAACTATCCGCATAATCTATACTTCCTGGGTTTTAGAAGGTACCCGGTTTTTAGAAGGCATTAACTGAAACCACAATATCGTGCTTATTTGGGACATCCGATAAAAAATAATGCCACTTAATCACACGATTTAGCATCAAATAAATAGTCTCTCTTGTGATAGATGAAGAAATATAAAAAGAAGAAAAGTTAATATATTTATATGTATTTCAATTTATTTAACAAACAAAATATTTTTATACTTTAATGACGAATAAAATACATTATATGGAATAAATAATAAGCTCTCAAAAAAATCCTTATTCAAATTTGTTAAAATAAAAATTTAAAAAATTCTTTCGAATTGAATTTTTATTATCATGATAATAATGTGTAAAATTTATGACAAAGAATAAAATTTTTTCAATTATAGAGTATTTCAAAAATTATAGGCTACAGCAGTATGCATTTACAAGTGCGAATATAACGTTACAGCGGGTGAATTCGTATGAATACCATGATTGTGCGCTTCGGAATGCCGCAGTTACCCTATTTTCAGTCGAAATTGAGATAGGCGTTGTTTCAAGAAAGTCGCTCGCATTTACCTAACAATTTACCACAATTCAAAAAATATTTACGCAGAATTAAAAAAAAACAATATCATCATGTCAATAATATCTCCTTGACAGTTATCGCAGCAAATCATATTTTTATATTATTGAAATAATAATAGATAATGTGTTAGAAATTTAGAAAAAAATATACATAGCTTGGAGAAATTGATTGTATTAGAAGATAAAAAATATTACCGAGATAGAAAAAAAAAAAGATTACCGAACGTCTGGAACGTTGTTTATTACATTATTAGGAAACGGTACTTGTAATATTTTACAGACGATTTCCTTACTAGGAAAGCAATCTTTATCGGTCTTTACTTTGATGATATGTGTAGTGGATATATGTACAAGCATATAAATTGCTTTATTTCACAAGTGATGTGATAGTGCCACTATTCTCTGCCAAGAAAAATAGGATTCCAGTACTTTAACGGGAAAATCTGATTTTTTTCTTTGAGTCTAAATATTTCTACATTTGTACAAAAAATAGGGCTGTTGTATTTATTTTCCTCTAAAATTCTTATAAATCTTATAGTAATATCTTTGATTTTTTGCTTTCACTGATACATATAATTAAATAATGAATTTACATAGTAAGAAGTATACAGAAATAAATTTAAAAATATTGTATGTCTACAATTAATCAGTTGTAAAATATGTAAAAAAAGTTACACATATTTCTAATTAATGTACATTTATTTATTGTCTAAATGTCTTAATTTTCAAATCTAATTTTAGAGAATGCACGAAATTCTTTTAGAGAAATGCATAATATGAGCATATGCATGTAGCGCATATATGATTTATGCGTTAAGGTGTCAAACAAGAAGAAAAGAAGAAAGGTGAAATTACTGCTTCTGATACACTTGGAGCTACCCGAGTGATTGCATAGACCTCGTTAATTCGAGAACGCACATCCGTTATGTACTAAAAATGCATCGCGTGCGTTTATACTTTTGCATTTTTCTCGCGGCGAAGTGAATGTTAAAAGCTACAAATTTCTTTTATACAGCGATTTGTAAGAGTAGAGTGATCTACTCATCACGATTACGCTACAGTTTTCTCAATGAGTTACATTTCAAATAATTCAGTCGTCAAAGTGAGAAATAATTAATTGCTGCAATTATAGACTTTAATATTAATTTGTATAATGTTTGGAAACTGCATTAAATTCATATAGATATCTAATTCTACTTTCTACTAAAAAATAATTGTTTTCCCTGTTCAGCTATATTTCTACATTACGAAAATTAAATTGAAAAATAATAAACATATAAATGTTGCAATATTTGTGACAAAATTTTTAATTTTTATAAAATAATACTAGTATATTATATTATACATGATTATATTTCTCACTATATATTTGTGAAGTAGTTCTTTCGACTTTTTGTATTTTCGTAATATATATGTATGTGTAATATTAATTTCATTTATCTACAATTTAATTTATTTAATGTAAAAACGCTAAAGTTTTAAATGATATGATTATGAAATATATTATTACATTAATGTGTGTTTTATTAGTATATATAAAATACGTAAAAAATTTTTAGTTTTTGAAAGTACATGTTCATTGTTTAAAAAATTTATTAAATATATATACATATACATTTATATATAATTTTTATTTTTTTATATTTATAGAATTATATTTTTAGAAAATTAATGAATTGGTAATATTATAAAAGAAGAATACGTTTAAAGAAAATTTGAAGTTACTTATACAAAGTACACATTTATAAGAACTATATTTCTAATTTGACATTTTCAGACTTATACAACGAAATGTTTGTAACTTAATATTATATAAAAGAAGAACAAGTTTATAGGGGAATAATATGTCTAATTATAAGTATTTTGTTGCATATTTCCATTATAATCAGACGAACAATAAATTAGTTATCAAAATTTCAACCAATAACTTTATTAATATTGTTTGCATTCAATAAAAATAAAAAATTGTTAAATGTATATAATATACATCTAAAGAATTTTCACGACTTTTTATGACGTGAAAAGATAAACTTGCGTAGTAATGTACATTGAAAAAAATGCTTTTCAACATGAAAGAGTCGGAACCTGCGTTCTTCATCGTGTCCGCTGCTTCTCGACGGTGCTGTCCTCTCAAACAGCTTATATATACCTGCATTCGCCGTTCCACTCCTCTTGAACAACTCAACTAATCACAACTGATGCCGTTATTCCCCACCAAGAAGGCCATGGTCATACCTTGCCAGTGGAAGTGGAGAACACGTGGAGGCAATGACCCACTGACCTTGATAAGAACGCGGCATCGAGGGGGAACTCGGTGGACCAATCGTAGCTACGATCCGCTTTCCTACCTTGCTTGACACAGTGACCTCATTTCCTTCCTCTTCCTAGTTCCCCACCTTGATCCGATCTTTCTCCACTATCTCTCCCACCGTAACAACATTCTATCTTCTCTCCGTCCGTAAACCTCCATCTAGGTCATTAGCCTTCTCGTCTGACCGACTGAATAACCTGCTTATGTCTATACATATTATATATTTATACATATATATCTTTCATTTCATATTTATATATGTATAATTATTTATTTAAAATCTTCTCATTATCAAAATAATTCTCTAATTATCGATTTCGTGAACATTTAGATCAATTATTAGTAAGATGTGACATATCTGAACTTAGTAATTTGCTAAAATATTGCGATGATGTGACATATTTTTTACTAAATTCGCCGATGTCACAATGATGCGACGCCTTTGATAATTATAATTCAACCGATAATGATCAAGGCAAAGTTGTAGAAAAAAGACGATTTATTTGGTTTTATACATAAAGCAAGTATGTGTCAGAGACACGTAATAAATAAATAAATAAACGAACAAGTGGCAAGGATATTTTACGGAGTATCATGATATGGATATTGCTCGCCATTGTATTCCGGTGTCCAGCCTCTGTAGGGTTCATTAATTTCTTGTTCCGACCTGTGCCAGTGATCGTGATGAATTTCATGCGGCCTTACAATGCCATAACTGACTCTTGGTACAGGCGGTGGTGTAATAAGGGCTTTCAAGCCTATTGCGCCGGAAAGAATCATCGACATAATACCTGCGCCTATGCCCTTAATGCTTATCAAAGTAATTACGGAGATTATGATGGGCAAAATAATGATTGCCTTTAAACCCAACAGAAGCAAGAGTGGTACAACCAGCTTCTTCAATCTTGTACGAGCTGTAAGAGTAAGACATATCCATGTATGTAATTTTTCTGTGAATAAAATTATATTATTAATTATATAATTATTAATATATTTTTAGTTAATTACATAGTGTAATCATAGTGTCAGTCATTCAATTTTGAAGTAATAATTATAAAAGGGGAACATATAAAAGAGAGAAAGGATGACGTGTAAAAATCAAATTATGCTTAAAAAGGGGTTCGTAGTATCGAAACATATGTAAGATTTGTGTTAAATATAATATGTAAATATAATAGAAATGTAGAGCACGCACAATTAATATTCAAATATTAATAATCGTAGGATGTTCGAGTGTGATCGAGGCGCATTTCTAAAGTATTATAATTAACATTCATCATCCAATCTACTTTCTTCGACACGCGACACTCTCGTTCAAGGTCTTTCTTAGACATCTCGCAGTAGCCGTCCCAGAAACCCGGAATCCCACCAAACCTACTAAACAGTAACCCACTTTGGTCCACTCCCACCTCCGGTATCTGTTTTCGCGGATATGATAGAAGTGGAACACATCGTTACAGCTTTCTATGTATGTATTTTCTCGTTTCGGTCCCTCTCATCTCTCTTTCTCATCACGGATATCAATGAACCTTAATGATACATATCTAAATTTTTGAATATTTTTAGAATTAACGACGTATATATTTTACGTATTGTGAATTTTTATGTGAGTGAAAGAATTGATAGAATTTATAGAAAATGTATAAGTATGATAAAAAGGACTTGCTAGAGAGATAAGGAAAACGAGTGAATGGTATTTCGGCCGCGACTGAATTGAAAAGGAAGATGCTGCAAGTTACACTTTCCAGCCAATGAATACCGAGATTCGTGGACTACTTAAACCCCATTGGTAAGACTTTAGAAAGGTGAGGCGCTATAAGTTTGCGCCCATGATGTCGAATGATGTATTCATACCTGATCGAGACGTTAGGCAAGAACAAGAAGCTTTTGTGTTAGATCCACCGTCTAACATAAAATCTTTGATTTAATGCTATTACTAATCATTTTAGTTGTATTTAGAAATATATATAAATGTATTATTATATTTTGCGGGAAAATCACATTTTACATCAGAGAACTGGAGTATTATATCAGATAAGTTAATCAAGTATGAAAGAAATAAATCATACAATTAGTTATACGATAAATAGAATAGAGTAATAAAAATACTATTTAACACAATTACAAAAATATAATGTAGAATAATACAATATGTTATTAAACAAATTAGATTTGTAGATTGAAATTAATACATTTATTAATTATTACCGTAAAATTGTATATAAGTAGAGTTAATAATTTTAAATACTTAAAAATATTTTGTGATACCTAAAAGTATATCTACATCTACTATTTTTAGAAACAAATATTACTTATTATGATAGTTTAGAATGAAAATCGTATTATTCTTTTTTTTTTATTTCTATATTATTATTTTCTTATTTATTTTATATTCAAACTTTTAACTATTTCTATACATATATATACGCATTATATACATATGTACATGTATATACTATAAGACAGAAATATATATGCCTCAGCAAAAATTTTTCAAATTTACCAACATAATACGAATGAAAAAATGCGATTTATAATATAGATATTAATAGATTTTATTGATATTAAAGTTCTTGAATTTATGTATTTTGGGTTACGCCCAACAAGATCATATTTCTGAAATTTATATCTCTATCAATAATTTCAAAAGATAATATTCGCGACAATTAGCACATTTTCCCTGATTATTCTAATTATAATTAAATTATATAAATTTATAAATTAAGAGATAAATACTCTAATTGCTTCTAATTTACAAATTTGATAAATTTTACTTTGCCCATTAAACATAAAATGATACTAATATTCAGATTGGTTTTTTTATTATTTATTTAAGCATTATAGTAACTTTTCTCCAATGCATAGTTTACCTTCGGAAGCTCCGTTTGTTAGACTTCTAAGTTCTATGTCAATGTTCTTCTGGCCGAGAGCGCGTCCGAACAAACCGATGGTTGAAGCATCATCAGGAAGATTAATATGTATTTTTCGAGTTTGTAGGAATTTCTCGATTCTGCTCACGAGCGGATCTGGACTCTGTTGCGACAAATTTCCGTCTTCTGGGACCTTCCTCAGGGTAACCATGTCACCATAAATGTCGATGGTGTCTTTTCTATTGAATTCGTCCATCGCCCTCGTGAGCTTTTCTTCTAAATTCTCCAAACTGTTTCCATTTTCCTGATTTGGATTAGTTACCACCAAGGTCACGAGTTGCAGCGTCAAGAGAATGATTACTTTGGTCTTCATTGTCGCGAAGTGCTATATAGCGCAACTTCAAAGAAACGTTTTTGACTGTTTGCCCCCGGGGCAATTTTTCTTTTATATGACTCGCGATCGATAGGTGGTGGGGCCATACTGAACCATTTGGCAAGCAACGTACAAGGGCAGCAGTGTCAAGAATTTTAATTCTGCTAACTCTCTGAAGAACAAACATGAGCATGCATCGCACAAGAATCGCGAATGACGTAGAGTACAAGTAAATTTTCCTTTTACTTGTGATCACTTTCAAACTATCGGATCTATAAGATTCTTCGTCTTTTTTTTCAGACTCAAACGAATTTTCCGATTAAAAGTGGATTATCTATTTTTATTACACAGAGAGAATTTTCTCTTAGAATTTATCCTGAAAATCATGATGGTATTGGAAGAATTTTATAAGAATTTCTCTGATTAATATTAATAAAGATTAATATTAATAAATATTAATCAGAGAAATTCTTATAAAATTCTTCCAATACCGTATTGTCCATGATTACCATGATTTTTAGGGTAAATTCTAAGAGAAAATTCTCTCCGTGTATAAATATATATTAAATTTTATTTTTTGTCTCTTTACTACTATTTGCTATAATTTTGATTAATTATATGTGTAAAATTAGCTTTATAATTAAGAAAATGCATAACACTTATATAGATATGTGAAAACATGTATTTTAAGTTGAAAAAGTTTCTTCTTTATGGCAAAAATTAAATATATAGAATCTAAATTTTCACATAATTTAAGACAAATTAATCTTATTTTATATAAATATAATATAATTTAATATAAATCAAAATTTTATAATAAAAATATTAGATTTTATAAATATAATCACATTATCGCTCAATTATTCTTTTCAGCATATATTCTGCGTCTTTGCATAAATTTATTGAAAAAAATCGGTTTGATTAAGCAATGTTTCGTTTAGAAATTTCACATTTACATAAATCTAGAATTTATTTGTTCTACATATGCATACAATAGTCTAGGCTTATAATTGGTTTTAAGCAATGATTATTATCCTCAATGTTTATAATTACATACGTCATCATCGCTGCATTCACGCACTTTCTGGTGAAAATTAGATTTCCGTGTCTCTTGGTGACACGGTATGGTATGTAAAACCATACCGTGTTGTGTCCCGAATCATGCAGTCGGAAGTCACTCGAACAAGAGAAATGGAACGAGCGACAGAGGTGACAGTCGAAGAGAAAGAAAGATCGAACAAGATAGGAGTGGGAGTGTAAATGACCTGTAGGTATGCCCATATCCGATTGGAATCGCATATGAGCTTGGGACGGCTTTGATTGCACGAGGAATTGTCAACATTTCACACTAGAAGAAACTAATCACGTACGGCATTTTCTATATGCATGATATACATCATGCTGCGTCGAATACTTGCGACGATATAATTTCTCTAAATTTAAATTTTCATTTTTATATGCATTCTAAGAGGGAGCGAACTTCTTGTGTTATACGATAAATTTGTATACCTACAGATAAAAATGTAGCAGCACAATCTTATAAATATATACAAATATTTTTTATGAATAATTTATTAAGTACAAACAATTTAATTATTTTAATATATATGATTGTTCAATAATTTATATAATTGATAAATTATATTACGACATACATATAAATACTAATCTAGCAGTCGTAGGTGGGTCGAATGGCTTCGAGGAGATGTTTCGGCCCCGCGGGATATGGCTTTCGATAATTTCCAAATATTTTCAAGTCTCTCCATGCCAGGTAACATGGAACTCTCTTGAGTCAAAAGTCTCGTTTAATCTGTGTCGTTGGTAACAGGTGCGTGAGCAGAATATGCCAAATTGTGGGCGTCGACCTTCGCGTTAGCAACGTCGAAACTCCTGTATCCTTGGTGCTGCAATCCTGCGGAACTACCAGCGGGCCAGTTTCCTGGGGCGCCTGTGTCATAATAGAGAGGTGCTGGGTTCTTGCCAAAGAAACCGCCTGCCACGTTGCTACCACCGAAGAGCTTCTGGAATGCTATGATGCCGGCGACCAACAAGGCAATTTTACCGAAGAACAAAGCTTTCAAAGCCAGCAAACCTAAACCACCGAACAAGATCGGCAGCAACGCGAAGATCTTGAGACCCGCAGCAGCAACCAACGGCAACACCATTTTCTTGATCTTGCCACGTCCTAATTACAAAAAATTCATTATTATTAAATTATGAGATTTTTATATTAGTCCAAGAATTATATGCAATTAATAAATATAGAATCAATTATTATTTGGATTTCATTGATTGTTATTATTACTGGAATATTACTTGAATATGCAACGTGGATAATTTATTATTTATTTAATAACTCATTATAACTTATTAAGTACTACTTGTTAAATAAAGAAAGAGATACCGATACGAGTTTAACATTAGATTTACTAGCATATTTACTGTTACAATTTTTCAATGTATAAAAAAGAGACTTAAATTAATGAGACAAGTAGTTATTAATGTTCCGGAAAAGATTAAAATTAAAAATTATATACATTTAAAGAAAATACAATAAATGTATGTGATGATATTTTAATTTAAAGCAATGCAGCATAATAATTTTTTCAAACCTTTTCAAATACATTTAAGAAAGAAAGTGAATCTCGTGTTTCCTCGAAGAGAACGAGTTTATACGAAACAGGTTTGACGCCGTACATATAGATATTACGAAGGTGAAAGGTATGTTTATTCGTTTATACTCATGACATCGCGAATCCATGACGTTCATCGTCTAGACATAATCACGGAAATATGGACGGTTGCGTAATCGAGATACACTTAATGAAGACGAAGGACTTACCTTCAACCAGAGCGCGAGAAATGGATCCCTCGGGCATGCTAAGTTTCAAACTATGACTCTTCAGAAAGGAGACAGTTGAATCATACAGCATGCTGAGAAGTTTTATTGTCTTATCAGAGCTATCGCGTGGTAGTTCATTCATGATTTCCAATTCAGACTTTTCTAAACTCTTGCCAGTGCGCTCCACTATAACAATCAATATTTTTTTTATTAGGATAAATTATCTATAAAATTGCCATCTTGTGTGCAGTTATAGTTCCACAAATAAAATTCAACGAATATTTATATTATACACTGTACAGGTACAGTTTCGTTTAATTTTATTAAGTGTACTTAAGAGCAACTGAATAATTTTTGTAGTGTATAATATATTTTTTATATCTTTTATATTCCATACTTATACTTTTTAATCTACTATATTGATATAATCTACTATATTACTTAACTATATTAATTTATAAAATATTTTTTATATAAATTTATAATAATTTTATACATGTATGTGTGTATGTGTGTGATATTGCATTTGTTATACTGTACTAATAATTTTATACTAATAATTTTGCAGTGATAAATTAAAAAAAATGTTGTTCAAAATTAATGTTATACAACATTAACACTATACGTATAACATTATAATATTAAATTTTAAAAAATGATTAAAATGTTACTGAAAATGTATACAATAGCAACACTCTTGATATTTTTACCCCAATCATCCCCTGCAACCAAATTACCCCTGCATCCTTGAAAATATCACGTATCTGGTTTGAACATAAAATAAACCTAAAACTACAATAAATAAAAACTTACTCGGTATGTCTCGTACGAAAGTCACACCGTCGACGATCTCGATGTCGCTCGATCGAGCCGCCCTATCGAGAGCGCTGACCGTCTTGACGAAAATGCAGTTGAAGAGCTCATTGTCGTGCTCCAAACAATCCAGATTCTGAGCCGGCTGCTCGGAAATCGCAGGTCCAGCTGCGACACACGCAGCGAGAAGTAGCAGTGCCAGTAATTTGTTCATCTTCTTTGTTTAGTCACACGTCGTCGCGGAACGGAGCACCAAGAGGCAGCGGCAACGGAGAGACACGAAGCAAACTATTCCCCGGAAAATTTTCGGAACAAAGTGTGACTTGGCCCTGCGTCGCTTCAATCTTTATAGGTGTGCACCACGTACAAAACCCTCCTCGATATCCCCCACTCTGAGCGACGACAACGTGTATGACGACGAGACGAACGACTCATCATTATAGATGTCGGCGGTGGCCACCTCCCCAGAAAACTTTCTTCGATAATTTTTTAAACAAACGCACGCCGAGAGACGCGTCACCGTTTGGGCGGACCTAGAAGTCGTTCCTTTAACATCTCTGGGAGACATCGCTATGTTTACCACGGTAACCACTCAGTATTTAGGTCAGGGGAGATAATATCCATTAAGGGATTTTCAGAGATTTATTTGTTTCTGTATAAGAAAGGGATATTTAAGTGGGGAATCTAAGTAAAAACTCCAATAATATCTTGATTGATTGGAAGAAGTGTAATTTAAAACTTAATTTTGTGATTTTTATTTTTCTTTTTTATTTCAAAGGATGTAAAACTTTCTACCCCTCTCTTCTTTTGAAATTATAGCAATAATAACATTTTAACAAACGATACTTTCTAATTTTTCTAATACATTCAACAGATTGTTTAGAGAATTGACAACAATAGAGGCGAGAGGTTTGCATAATTTTCTCAACGTCATTCACGATTGCACATGTTTCATGATTGCGGATAGGTTTTCTTACAACTAGCGTGTGCGCGTGCATTTAGGCGACACTTAATGTTGACAGTTCCTGGTAATAATTTATCTTGGAATTATAAATAAAATAAATACATAGGATATTTAACTTCAAATTTTCATTAAAATATTTAAAACTATATCAAATAATTTGTTTGATTGTAATATAATAAATCAATTTAATTATAAAAAATTTTCTAAGCGCAATTTATATAGATATATATATATTTTTTAGGTACCATAGTTCACTTCTTTGTAGAATGGCTCGATGCATTCTCGTGGAACCACGTGCATCAAGCTGTTTACCTTGACCCAGACATACGGTCATCAGTAATATGTGAACTACAGATTACGTCTTCAACGGGTTTTCTGATATAACCCGAGTTAATAAAATTTTTTACTCATTGACTTTTTCATCTACTCGTTATTATTTTATTATATCATTAAAATTCGGACGGAGAAAGTAAATAATATCCGAATTTATCTTAAATTGTTACGTAAGTAAGTGACGCTTGTGACATACTTTCACTGTGAAATAAAAAATAATATGATAATCACATACTTCCTTGTCGAATTTGTCATCTTTTGATTTCATTAAAATTTATGCTAAAAATAAATATATGCCGAATTAACAGAAATTGGTGTCACATGACAATAATTCACGGTAAAACCATCATCGGCGTTGCTTTTCAAGTGGCAACCATACTTAGAAAGGTAACAGATAACTTATTCGCAGGAGGTATTCCATTGTGCTCCACGTGAATCTCTTTAAATATTTAACAGGTATGAGGGATTTCGTCATCTTCGTATAACGGTATCTGACTTGGAAGGAACGGAGACAATTTTGCGATTAATTTTCTGGGTTACAAGCACTGTCGGCGCCGCCGTTTACTTCCTCTACTACAATAAATATGGCACTTTAGAGCAATTTGTACAGCGATCTCCAATTATAGCAAATTCGTGTAGATTATTTTGAAAATATATTTTGTTAAATAAAAATATTTTAATAATTTTGCTTATCCGCCGCATAATATTAAGAAAGTTGAGAATTGAATAATAATTGATGCATTTATTTCTGGTAATCGTATTTAATTAATATAAACTGTTGTCGATATGTATAATATATACAATTGTTTTTTTATATTTTTCACATATTTATATTTTATTTATATTGTAAATCTGATACGGAAAAGTTTGATTACACAATAGATAAAAATCTTTTAAGGGCCTTCGGAACTGCGCAGGGCTTAGAGAATTGAAGGTCGACAACCTATATCCGGGTCAGAAGAGAGTTCCAACCTTATCTTTATTTTTCCCGTCTTATTCTTCACGTGAATGGGGCTGATGGTTCCTTTTCTCGCTTTCTCTCAATCCTTTGTCGTACAATTGTACAATGTATTGTTTAATTTTAATATTTCATTAAGATTATACTTATTTAAAGAAAACGTAAGTCACACAAGGAGAACAATTATAGCTATTTTTATGCGATAATAAATAAATACTTTTCTTGTGTAACAGTTATTTAATTTTTATAATTTGTACTTTAATTACATTAATTCATATACGTTTAATTGTAGCGCTCAAATTTATGTGGAAAACATGTTTATTATTTTTATAGCTGAATAATTTAACTTTGATGGATACACTAAGAAATGGACACGCTACTTACAAACTAGTTTCTTGCGGAGAATCAAGGAACTTTCTCTCTTTCTTACATCATGCTAGTGAAATGAGTCTCGAAATACATTCGGATAACTCATCTTAAAATTTTTCTATACTACTATCAAATCAGTACATGTAGTAAATAAATAAATGCATTGTACGTATTTAATTATATGCTTCTATTAATCAGTTTTCTTTGTTTTTCGCAACTTTCACAAATGTATGCCTTCGATTATCGCATGTTGCAGTTAACACAATTAGCACAAACAAGTAACACATTTTCTTCGTGAAATTCTCTTTCAGTGATATTAATTCTAATAAGAGAGACTTTTACAACTGGATATATTCGATAACGTATATTACGCTTTTTCATGTACAATTATATTTACAATGTCTACTTTTAATTTTGTTATACTAGGATACTAAAATAAATTAATAAAATAATGATTATATATAAGTCTATTAAAAAATATTGTATTAAGATTACGAAGAAGAATAAATAAATGTTTATAATCTTTAATTTTCTATATAAAATTGACGTTTTCCAATTGCTATAATCAAAATATCAAAGTGTAATTAATATTTTCTAGTATGACAAATATTAATATATAAATAAGAATAAGAAATTATAACAGAAATAATTTTATACTATTATTATTTTTTCTTATTTCTTTTTACGTCGATCTTTGTAAATAACTCTATAAGGCTCAAACTCTTGATAATTATCAAAATCATATGTACCCTTTCGCCTATATTTATGTACATCGCTGTAAGATTCGTGGACATGGGCTTCATGAACGGCTTTTTCAATCCGACTATGGCTGCCAGTATCAAACTCATCAAACTTAGTACGACGGCTTTTCCACTTAGAACAGCCAATGTCTTCAATGTTAGAGGCAGTAGAAGCGCCTTTATTAATATAATTCCAATGATCAAAGGTATAAGATACCTAAGCAGCCTCCTCGTTCCTCTTCTACCTTCTGCAATTAATAAAACAACAATATTCAATAAAAATAGATATAACAAAGAACTGTATGTAAACTGTATATTATAATCTATTTTTACATCTTTTATACTGTATATAATATATTTAACTAATATATATAACTAATATATATAATATATTATACTACATATAATATCTAATTATACTATATACATATAAAAAAGTTCATAAAATATAAATATATAACAAATTAAGGAAAAACATATATATACATATATATATATATAATGTATCATATCTTCCCCTTCGACGTATTATACGTCTTGTGTGTAACTAATAAATTCTATTTATTATATATATATATATATATATATATATATATATATATGATATTTAATGTAATATTTTAAATCAACGCAATATATGTTATATATATATATATATATATATATATATATACATATATATATATAATATTACATTAAATATCATAAAAGAATCCTGCGTATGACGAGCTTTATTGAAGTGTACTTCTTCCTTATTAAGAACGACCATCATGGACGTTAATAAAATGAAGTAGAGTAGAAAGAGAGCACTTATGTTTTTGTACCAGGAGGCTTCGCGTCGTAAATCAAAAGCATCATATATAATGAACAACATGTGCAATTACACGCTTCTTTAACGGCATTTGATTAATACGCGATGTCTCATAATTTTTCACACCAAATTCTTTAGTTCTTTGACGATTAAATTTAAAATATTGCATTGTATTAGCCATCTTATCTTTTTAAAATATTTCTTATAGTTACAGAGAAAGCTCATTGTGTTAACGCAAAAAGAGTTGTATCTAACATATACCGAAATGCAATTAATAGTTTGGCGAACTCAATACTTCAATATTAAAATGCACATGAAATAATTATTTTAAGTTTTTCATATTTTTTTAAATTATAAATTCTGTATTGTTTTAATCTTCTTTTTTTGTCTAATATTAATTCCGCTATTACAAATAAAGGATTTATAACGACATAATAATATGTTAATAGCTATAATATATTACTATCTCTTCCTTCAAAATAATGTTTAAAATAATATATTTTTATTGTATATCAACTTATTTCTTTATTATAATATAAATTAAAATGTCAATTTTTAGACTAGGTAAAAGATGTAATTTTGACTAAAAAATATATAAATGCTGCTCGAACTTAACAATAATAATAGTATATTAATAGTTGTTTTACAAAAATTACTTTATTATTTTATTGTCTTATATATGCTGCTATATTATTTAGAATAAAACAAAATCTGAGTATCAGGCATCAAAGATACATTGGAAAAAAATATTATCCCCGATCACGATTCATTATTATTAATATACCTTCGATACTACCATATAATTTTGCATCAGGAAAAATGCGTCAAGAGCATTTAGAAATCCTTCACCAATCCAATCTAAAGTGTCTTTAGGACCATTGCTTCGTAGGATCTCTCGGTCCGGAGTGTTCATTGATTGTAATTCCTGCCCCACGACGAAAATAGGTAGTAGAAGCAGCACGTACAGCAGTAGCATCTTTCTAGCATCTGGAGTTATTTTCTTTTTCTTTTTTTTTGCAACACACCCTACGATCACGTATTATCAAAGAACTGCGCGTATCTCACGATCCCAACCGACTTGTTGGCCAATAATATTTTAACTGACATTCATGCCAGACCGGGCCATTAGTTTATATATGTACCAGGACCGTGAAAAGCTCAGAGGAGGAGACGCTCATCTAACCTGGTACTGATGCGTAACGAAGGATCCAACGTCCACTCCCGTACCACCTGAGTTATACTCTACCTCGATCATTGGCTCGTTGTTTACGTCAATCATTCTTGAAGGATCTTCCCTGGAATATTTCAACCGAAGTAAATGGATCATTCTTCCCATATAACATCTTCATCGTCATTATTCTCTATTGTGAGAGTATATATGGTATCTACTATTAATTGAATTCGTTTTACTTGAATAGTTACAGCCCAAGAGACATGCTTGTAATCCTCGCGACCTACGCTCTGCTAAAAAGTAAATCAAAAGTAATGCAACTTACTCCATTCCATTTCTAAAGCTCCCCCTGCCTGTAAGAAGGCAAGTAGTTAAATAATATCAACAAGTAATTTGCGATAATATATCTCAAATTTCATCTATAGTAGCTACATATCATTAATATTGTATATAAAGAAGCAAACAATGAATAATATGTATATAGACTTGAGAATCAAGATTAGAACAGTTTTAAAATATACATATATAGAAAATTATATAAAATTTATAACTGTACATAAAAAATCTTTTAATTAAATTATATTATATTATTTAAATCTATTATTATTATCGAGAAAAGAAATTTAATTTAATGAGAAATTTATTTATAAATTACCAAAAGCAGTCAGTATTTTTCAAAATAATTTTGTCGCAACATAAAGAGAATATTAAGAAATTGATTGATGACAAGCTGATAAATTTATCTGCAATTTATATAAACATTTCTTTATCCAGAAGATAATTTTTAAGACTCTCATGCATTGTGCTTTAATTTATAGTTAAGTACCTTTTATTACTTTATACTGTTATACATACAAAAAATTACGAAAACTGCTGACGTTGATAATTATGAACTCGTTTTTTTGTAAGCATGAACTATTCACCAAAATTAGGACCATGCTAGCAGTAATAATAACAGATTCAAGTTTAGCAAAAATATCAATTATGTTCATAAGAAAATTTATAATAATTTTACAATTTACCAGCACAACATAATTTTTTATTTGCTATAAAATCAATTAATTTTTTTATGTTTAAGATAATAACAATTAGTAACTGAAATAAATTAATAAATAATTGATATATTCTTTAAAAATTTATAATTTTCAGAATTATAGTTATAACAATATATATATATATATATATATATATATAGCATAATTATATATATTTTATTAATCACAAAATGTATAATAATAATTATTATATAAATCTATCGTATTCTGAAAAAATAACGGTAATATGACAATGGCAATTTAATAGGCGTAATCAACAACGTATTCGTCTTCTTTATTTGATCTTCCGGTGTTCCTTTTATTTGTCGCGACTAATGTCATTTGGACTCAAATTCATGAAACAATCAAATTATGCCTTGTTTTTTCCAAGAATTTAATACATCTAGGTGACACGTGAATAAAATTATTGTACCGATATGTGGGTTTCCGATTTCATACACGAGAAATTCTAATGCACTAGTATATGATTTGTCTACAAATAACTAGTATGCCAGTTTCAAGAACGATAAATTGTGCATTGTAATTAACACAAATATGGTTAAACTGATGTAAAAGTAGCACTGTGTGTATATGTCCGACAATTAATAGGCGGTATTCTTTATTAGTGATGCAAGTTAGAAATGCTGCATCTCAAAAAAAAAAAATTGTGAAAAAACAATTTTGATACCAGTAAGCAGTAATCAGTGCGTGCAGATTCCCTACTATATATTGTAAATATATAGGCTTATTACTGGTGAAATTGACTGAACGCGATATCCAAGAATGAAGAAAGTCGCGGAGAGAGTATATACGTGATAATGACTGTTAAACATCAGTTTGAGTCGACGTGGAGCGTGTGACTCGTGATTTTCAGAGCAGATAAGAAGGTGATAATTGCTGGAAAATTCTACGCCGCCAAGTTATTAATCACATGATAAAATAGGAATATTTCACGCTGCGCAACACTACTGTTTCATCTTATGCGCGAACATAATTCGAACGCTCCATCTTAATTATGCAGAGCTGTTACATTGTTACCATTTTCTTACAAATTTGATATTCATGAAAGTCCATCTATCATTTAAGTGCTGTGTAATTTGAACTGAATTTACACGGAAATTACAATATGCAATTATAAGCAATTTCAAATAATAATATTGCTTTATCACTTGGTAACAGATTTATAATTCTTCTTTTATTTAAATCTCAATATTATATAATATTGCAGAGCACTAGCATTATTAGACGTTCTGAATTATGTTGTTCACAAAGAAATGGAAAATCAATTAAACTAATTAATCAACTACTTAATCAATTTCCTTAATAATTCGATATATTGCAATTTTTGTATTTTGAGACCTTGCAAATAGAAAGTGACTGAATGCATAAAGTATATACATAAATATTTTCGAACCCATATACCTAGATACGTAAACTGGTACATTAAACACAACAAGAAGAGAATATGCCAAGATTGCAAGGATCATTTAAAGCTGTTGTGGCTTATTAACAAGCCGCGTGTTTGTTGGACGTGATTTAAAAAATAGACCTCGTCAGAATTCTAAACGATCGATCATTTGTAATCTCCGCATGTTAAACACGTGGAGTTTTCTAATTTCATATCCTGCAGATGAACAAAATGCTCGCTTTTACTTCAATATGTAACATCCTAGTATGCGCTCAAACGTGAACTACGTGCCTCAGTATTTCAGATGGTTCAGATAAATATGTAGCAGAATGTAGGTTGTAGTGCAGTCCACGATGCTCTGTGATAAGTGCAAGACGCTCTGACAAAACAAGCAATCGATGAGAAAGATTTAGAAAAGGTTTCTGTGGCGTAATGGAATTAAAGAGCGGGTGGAGTGAAGTGAAACAATTGATACAGTTTTTACAAGACCTATCGGATATGGTTTCGATCACAATTACTTGAAATCAATTTAAATGAAGCACTGGTTATTTTAAATTGAAAACATAATTATTTACTTGTGAAAAATTATAACATTTTAACAAAATATAAATGTAATCTTTTAGCCAATTTCGAAATTGTTTTAATGTATTTATATAAGATGTGTTAATTATTGATTAGAATATTTTAAATTGTTCAATAATTAGTTAATAAAATTTAGGAATGTTCTAATTTATAGAAACTCTAGTTTAAATATTATTTAGCGCAACAATGTAGAAACGTAAGATTTTGACCGTGTTTTATCAAACTGGAGAATTTTTGTAGTCAAATTGATGAACCGATTTTTCTCGAAATAGAAATACTAAGAAATCGAATCGCGACAGTATCTAATCTAACGAGAAGCATTCATCAAGCTCCTGTCAGCCCGGACATCTGTGTAATTGAAGAAAGCCGCATTTACCGCAAACGACGTGTTGTTATCATGTTCTCCGAGGCAATTTTCGCCCCTGTAACGCACCGGGTTGCAGATATGCCTCAACTCCCTTTCTCCTGCGTGGCAGAAGCACCCGCAGAAACCTCCTTATCTATGACAGCCACCTCCATCGTGTACCGTTCTGCAGTATAGCCTGACATATATATCGGCTCTGACAATTTGGATCATAGTGTTTACCACACGCGTATATATCGCTGGTCGGAGCTCATTTTTCACGGACTGCCGATTTTCCCGGCAACTGAAGCGTGCCCAACGCGGCATCCGCGACGTCCGGTTGGTTTGTCGTCGAGGAATCAACGACGGATCGGTTAGTTCGCAGTTGTTCGTTGCATCGTTCATTCTATCATTCTACCCCGTCCGTACTTGGTGTGCCACTACCTGCGTGTCTACCTCTGCCCAAAATTCATTCGAAAGTCTCACGCATGCATATGTATAGAAGGAGAAAAAACATATAAAACGAGAAGAGAGCAACCCTAGTAACGGAAGAGACATGCTGTGACGAACCATAACGCTCATCTCTCGCATCATTGAACCAAAGAAAAGTGTTCGGATGATCCGAGAAAGCAATCCTCGGATACTGCGTGGCCTGAACAAACAGTCAATGCGTAATGATGTCATGACGCTGAAATAAGATCTCCAAGAAGCGGGATCGTGGACGAAATCGCGAGCAGATTCTATCGGTAAACTTCCAGTCGTCGAGCCTGTTCTTCATGAACGCGAGGAAAAATGCCATCGAGAGTTAATCTGATGGTTGCGATTTTGCTGACCTTGAACTGTGTCAGCTGCGCGATAAAGAACTCGAGATCGCTGCAGGAGAAGCGACAGGAGGAAGAGGAGAGAGCTGTCACTTACGACAGGAAGGTCCTTAGTTATACGTACAGCAATGTCACGTCTGAAAGTCTTGTTTCTCCAACTGGCGATCACGTCGCCAGAGACACGACGGCCGAGATGCACCTCCAGGACATTCATAGTGCGCAGCCCAGAAGCGGAGTCAAGGCACGAGGTAACTAAATCACAATCAGCGTCGTTAAAGCGTTTAACGGCAGAAACGCGCTTCTATCAAGTCGCTATAAAACGCTATAAACGTAAGAAAAAATGTGCCGGCAAGCATTACGTTTGAATTGTGTCGTCTTTTGATGAAGCGTGGTGAACAATACCGTTGTATAACGGGTTTTTTTTTTGATATCATGATGCCTTCTATTATAACGATATAATATGTCTTTTTTATTAAACGTGATGTAGCAAAATGTTCGTATTTCGGTACTTTCAGAATATATTCTTCCTTGATTCCTTACGCTAATAAGTGATATAAAACGCCATTTATTAAGCTAAATTCTTGTATTTTAATTACAATATTATATTAGCTCAACTGTTATAACTGATATTATGTAAAGAACTTTATTCAATAATCCTGTTAATGATCAATATTATATTTACATACTAACTATGTAAATGTGTATAATATACGCAAAATTATTATTTAATACAGAATTTAATATTAAATAATAATAGTATTCAATATACATATTTGTAATAAATTTAGATTAATATTTTCTAACAATATTGTTTTGTGATAAGTTTTAGGAAGACCTTTCAGACGAAGAATGGACCGTACAATGTTGGCGTTGCTAATGGCATACAAACTGAAATTTGTTGCTTTGATACCAGCGATAATCGGTGGCCTGTTCCTTTTGAAAGGGACGACGCTTCTTGCGGGATTTTTCTTCGCTCTGTTCGCCGCCGTTCTGGGATTGAAAGTACACTGAAAACGAGGTCCGATATTTTTGGAGAATTTGTTCTGGGAAGGGTCGCGCACATCAAGAAATGCATATATAAAGAAGTGAGAATGACATACGACTTTATTTCGTAATAATTTACAGTCAGGTAAAACTGTGTTGTAATCGATATTTTCTTTTGAGAAAGCATATATATTGAGCGCCTGTGTTCACAAAGTAACACTCAAGACCGAATTTATAATCGCTTCTCGGGGATCAAACGTATACATCTTGTATACATCTCGTAGAATGCGTCGCATCGCCAAGTGTGTACTTAAATAAACATAGTATATTATAAGCCAAACATTATTTTTCGACGTTCTAGAGACCGTAAGAGTGAAGCAACACTACGATCTACCGCATCTATTACGATCGTTACGAAATAAATATGTTACGTCTCCTAAAATGTTACATATATAAATATATATATATAATTACGTTATTATTATATAATAAATATTGACAGAAGATTAAATTAGTACATTTTATTCGCTACGTTTTAATATTCAAGTGTTTTAGTCGTCACACTTATTCTACTGAACACACGGTTTAGTAACGTCGATATAAAGATATTCGTGTAAGTACTTGTCGCAAACTACACATTCCAAATAAGAACTCTCTCTAAGGTTATTATTTTATAAGTCTAAAATAAATACTTTGCCGCCTACACATGGTGATACTAAATAATAAATATAAATATCTTAGTAAGTGCTGAGAAACGACTGCAAATTCGGCTAATAAAATAACGATGAGGTCCATCATCTTTTTTACTCGACTTTAAGACTGATCGCCTTTCGATTGTCAAGAAATACAAAAAAAAAATCTCTTAACCGACGCCGTTAAAAGTTCGCGTGCGTGAAAATTACTCTCTCACTATCATTTCGCTGGATTATTTGCCGAGCCAGTCGGTAGTGGAAATACAACCACCTGCTGTTCAACTCTTTTTGCTTTATGTTTGCTCGACGCAGCTATTTATATTCCACCTGTGGTTTACAGAAGATTTTTGATATATTATTCCATCGCAAATCAAATTACATCGTGACAGAACCGTTAATTTGAAGAGCGAAAAATTACGATATAATTATTATCATGTCAACAATCGTCCGAAAAGCGATCAGGCTTCTAAAAATAGGTTACACGAACGAGACAGTTCGTGCTAATTTTCTTTCCTACGTTTAGTTTCAGCGTATTTTTCTTCACAAAAATTTGTTACTTCGACATAATATGTCACATTTTTACACTCTTTCTTTCCTCACAATTTACGCCTGAATAAATGTAAAATCGAACGGACAAACGATGTATCATGTATATAAAATATATCTTGGCGAAAATAATTCAATTTCAATGTCTTAAACTGTCTCGAATTTCGCGTATTATCTGCTCCTTTGGATACAGGCGTTGCTCTCTCTCTCTCTCTCTCCGTATCTCTCCCAGATACCTGAGGATCTCCTCCTTTAATTGAGCTGTTAATTGGTTCAATGCTGCTGCCGCGCGCCTGCGTACGCCAAATTCTGAGCGTACTTGCGGTCTGCCTCTGTCATTAATGGAACAGGTGTGTTGTTTATGATTCCCTTTAGACTCCTATCCCAGCCACCGCCTCCTTGCTGCCAGCCACCATGATCGTGGCTCTGCTTTTGGCTCAGCAACTTCTTCAATCCGATAATCAACGACAGCACCAAGGCGATCTTGCTGATGATGAGCGCCTTGCCAGCCAGGAGGAAAAGTACGCCTATGGCGATGGGAACTAGCGCGGCAAGCTTCATCGCCATTCCCATCATCATCATGCCCATCATCTTCTTCATCTTCCCGCGGCCCTCCTCGACGCTCCGCTTTAACTCGCCGGAATTCGTCTTTGGTAAGCTGATCTGCACGTTGAAACTGTTCAACAGCGCGGCCACGCGCTCGAACAAAATATCGTTGAGGATCTCGTCCGTGGCACCTCCGGTTCTGGCCAAGGTCTTCTCCAGATCGGAGCTCTTGGAGCTATCGTCCTCAATGGACGCGACTCTGACCAGCTCGAGATTGTCGCCGATCGGTAAGGTCTGTATGCGACCGAGCCTCTCGAAGAAGGCGATCGCCTTCTTCTTCAAACACGGCGACACGGCCATGTTGCGATGCTCGCACTCCTCGTAGACGCGATAAAGCGCACGGTATCCTCGGTCGAGGAATCCGCCGTCCTCGTCCGCTCGAATAGTTGCACTGCATACCAACAAGAGCAGCACGCACTTGGATAAATTCTTAATCGCCGACATCCTGGATGTCCCGAAACTCGCGGGCGCTCTCGACTGGGTAGATTTACAAAAAAAAAAGAGACGAAATCACAGAGGCACCTTCTTGGTCGTCGTCGGGATCACACGAGAGACTCACACGGGGACTCGAAATTTCGCAGTGACTAGCCGGAGAGATACTACGAGAGGCTTGCGCGCACCCACGTGCTGGATGATCCTCGACTAGAGAGAACTGGCGCCAGGACGAAGTCGTCGGACCGATATATACCAGCGAGGAGCCATCCACCTAGATGCCATCCTTCACGAAGGGGGTGTAGGTATCTCTCTCTCGTACACAAACGGATGTACCAGTAGTGCATGTGACGACACGACCTTACGTGTATGAGTGGATGATCCTCTTCTATCCTCTCCTCTTCTCGCGAGCTCTCGTCCTTTCATCTTCCTCTTACTCTTTCAGCGCGCTAGACAGCTGCTATTCCGCGGCGCGGCGCGCGGAACAGGGACGGGATAAAAATTCCCATGATGGTAGTGAGCCAAGAGCATGTGACCCTTCCTGACACAGAGACCCACTCGCGCCTCGAGATCGAGACATCGTTGTTGAACGACCGCCATGCGATTCGTTCGTTAAATTTCGCTGTGCGGCTGCTACATGTATGTACACGGAAGATTAAACCGTGTACATATATATATATACGTGTGTTTCTCTCCCGCGCGTCGTTTGTATGCAACCACATCGAGATTCGTATCTCACGCGGGAGAAGAGGCAGCATGTCGGGATGAGACCAGAGGGGAGCATCATGGATCTCATTGGCAACGTACCTGGCACCGTGATCTCCCTGACCCCCGCATAACGTGTAAGATGCTAGAAACTAGTTCCAGGTTGCGGACAACTCGTGACCTTCCTATCGTAGGTTTCCCTGCGGCGCGAAATGGGTGAGGAATTATCGAGAAGGATGATCTACTTTCCCTGAATCTGTACAGCATTTCACATTATTTGCGATATTTGTGTTGTATAAACAATAATAATCAACCGATTACATATTTGCATTCATATGCTAAATGTTGCTAATGAATCGTTATCGATTGCATTTCCATCGGTTAACTCTCAATTATCACACTCCGGATTCAGAGAAATTTATATATTATTTTCGTGGATTATTGCTCTCTTAGCGCTCGGCGTGTCTTTAAAAAAAGAAATTTATTTTGTTCCAGACTTATTAACGATAAAATGAGAAGAACGTAATGATATAACACGCTCTATAATTATACAATTATGATACTATTAATTACATTACGTAACCGTAAATTTACGATTGCACTACGTGTCTCACTTTTGCTCGAATTGCATTTTGATTACATACACTTTGCATGTATAATCGTCAGCACATCTAACATAAATCAGCTCACCTTCATTTTCGGCGCTATAAATGGAAATTATTAATGTAAATAGAAATTGCTGTGATCTATATTACGAGTATATGGAAGCACGTCTTACGGCTATGTAATTAACTAATTTTCTCAACTGCTGCCAGTCTTAATGTAGATATGTACTCGAGTATTAGTTACGATTACATTAAGACGTTTATTACATTAGGATGCTTTCATACGGATTTACGATTATTAGAAGATAAACATAATTTTTAATCAACTAAGAAAGTAAGATTTAAAAATTTTACAACAATTATACATTATTGTTATAAAACAATTACCTCTCTCTCTCTCTCTCTCAAAATCTTTTATTATTAATCATGAGACACAAAGGCTTTATATTTCCTTCATCGGTTATAATTACATTTATTACATTGTGGATACTTTCATACTGATTTAAGATTATTAGAAAATAAATATCACTTTTAAGAGCAATGAAAAAAATTAAAATTTAGAAGTTTAAAAAAAACGAATTTCTTCGATTAAAAAAATCATAATAGACAAAAGCGGTTTACATTTTCTTCCCACAGGTCGATCGCATAGAAAATGAATAGATGTAAATTACATGCAAGATCAAAAATGGCTGTGCATCCGTCGGATATAAAAATCTACTGTTCGAAAAGATTAATAACGTGTGTAAACTCGCGGCATAAGATCGTCGCACCCGGCGTATTCTATTTTCCTGTTGTACCACGCTTCGTTAGGAGCGTGAAGCTGAGCGCGCGACGCACCACCGACACACTCGATCGAGGTTAGCGCATCTCTAATGCGACAACAGCCAGCGATGCATCTTCCATGCTGTTACCTACTTCGCGATTATCCCATAGTCAGTGCCACGGACCCGCACACAGACGGTGTTTAACTGTATTAAGGCCCGTGCTACATTCTCTGTGAGCGCGCAGTTATATTCTCACAAACGGTGCGAGAAATGAATTCCGCCGCAATTAACCTACGCACGGTTGGGTCCCATTATTACTTCTGATTATCTGATACACCGCTCAAATTTTAAGTCGCAAAACGCGCTGAACTTTCGATTGTTCGCAAAAGTAGACAAGTAGGACATTTTGACTGAAATTTATTTTAATGACTTTTAGCTTAATGACGGCGTGTCAAGGATGATTCGTTTCTCGTTGTTCGATTCGCGAAAGTCTGTCGAAAAAATACTTTCTTAATCACTATTGTGTTAAGATAATATATTATATTTTTTTTTTTTTTTTTTTTTTAAATAATTGGAGATTAAAATAAGTTCCATGTCTCATTGAATTTAATCCTACCAAACTAGAATATAATAAATATATATATAATCCAGTTAAGAGTATAAAAAAATCGACCACGTAATAAAGATTTTATCTGTGCAGAAGCAGAAGCGGTATGACAGAACATAACTTGGAATAATAAAAGTGAGGCAATAGGTTATACCGTCATGAACGATTTTCTCGAGAGATATTTTAGACAAGAACAGGACGTTTCTGCCTGTTATTAGATTCAGGTCAACGATCAGCAACAGGTGGTTCTGGCGATTCACACGCGGAGGATTCTGACCTAGCTCATTACCAGATCATGCTTGTTTGCGAAAATCTAAGTACGAATTAAGAATAAAGTGAGGGAATTTATACCCCATACAATTCATATAGCCTTGGAATTGGATCTAATTAAAGCGACACGTATATATGTAACTGTAAAAAATGGTTCTAACGATCTCAGACATAATTACTTGACAGATATCACAGAACAAAAAAAAGCAATACTAAAAAATAAAATTTATGTAAGAAAGATTTACAAACGTATAAGTGGATCTATAAAATAACATTGTCGAGAATATCGAAAATTTATTTTCGAGAAAATGACGGTTTGAATATTATATCTCGCATTAACACTGAGAATACACGAAGAATTTCAGACGCTAAATACTAAAGTGCGGAAGTTGCATTCTTCATGTCATGTTGGGATGCGTATAGCCAGTAACCTTTGGAGGCTGTAACCCTGCATATTCTGAGTAGTGAATCGAGGATGCTCGATTGGCCCAGTGGCATACAAAACACTCGTTGAAGAAAAAGATCATGCTTTTTAGACCTTATTCTCCACTTTCTGGCGCGCAAGAATCGTGGGAGCTGCAACAAGTGAAAAGCAAGCTTCTTCATTCATTTGGTGACAATCTACTTATCTGTTTAATTCAGCTCACGCGTGCGTTTAATATCATAGTGGGTAATAAAATCAGAACAACTTTTTTATTACAACGTAATAATTTATTCTGTCATTTCCTGTTTGACAACATATAATTGTGAATAATACATAAGAGAGACGAAAATGAAAATTACTTATTTTATTGAAAAATTGCTGGAAAGTAACATCAGTATCGACTCGACAGAATTGACTCTCTGACTGATATTTTTTTAACAACTAACAGTAGATATCTTGAATCAACCAATTAATTCCAAAACAATGGAGAAAATTCGTGTATAAGATGAAAAACACTAGTAATGATTTATAATTATAGAATTCATATTACTTTCTACTTTCTTTAATAACGTTTCTATTGACGGTCTATTTGATTTGGGAATTAATTTACCTTTCTCACACATATAGATTAAACTATATAATATTTTATGTAAGCATAAATATAATATACTGTAACTTGTATGAAAATGGGTATTCTGGCCAACATATTCGTTGATGCTTGTTATTCGATTTTAAAATAAATTTAAAATTTTTCATCTATTCAGCATTCTCTTTCTCTATTTATCTCCTTAAGCGTAATAAATTCGACCAAATGTTCAGAATGCGCGAACCAAACTCTACATATATCACGAATACACACATACATTATTTCATACTTCAGATATAGGCACGATGATAATGCTATAATTTATTCCTCTATCACGCTTCATGCACTCCGTTTAGCATTGTAATAATTGCGGTATTATGTATTGGCTATGTACGCGGTCATCACATGCGTGCAGAAACATGCGGAATACCGGTTCTGTAGCACCGGTCGGAATAATTTTACTCGCATGATGCATTTTGCCATAGATGCATTCACGCTCTGTATGTCGTAACAACACTTTGCTCCGCCATTACTACTAATTGCAAGAGCCTATAAATGATGACGATCTCCACAAACCGTCAGTTCTTGTCGAACATGCTTTGGCAGCTCTTCGGCTTTTTGATATTAGGCGGTTTCATCGCCATTTGTTCTTGCGAACCCGTAAACAGAAAGCTTCTACAGAAAGCTTCGGGGACAATCGAGTGCATCAATGATGAAAATAATACGTGCGGAACCAATGAGGCGGTCGAAGCTTCCTCGTCCGATCGTAAAAATCAAACACGGACTAGCAGAGAACTTACGTTTAGTCAATTTTTCTTAGATGACAATGATGTAGCTGAAGGTAAGAGAGCAATTTGCTCTTATCTTTTAAATAAACTTATATATTTATGTATAGCACAATTGGCAATTAAATTGATAATACATTTTATACAACAAAGACAAATATTACAAATACACATTGTACTAATATATTAAGTAAAAAGGGGAAAAAAATTTTTAAATAACATCTTTTTTCTTTGTACAAAATTATTATAGAAAAAAATATATAGATATGTGTGTGTATTTATTTTTATTTATTCACTATGCAATGCACTATTTCAAAAATCTTGCACTTGACACATTTAGCTTCTAAATGAAAAATTATTAAAACAAAAAAATGAAAAGGATAAATGATAATTTTTATCAAGCACTGATAATTTTAAGTCAAACCAATAACATTAAATATAATAATTAAATTGCGATAACATTAATTAACAAGAAACCATAAATAATAAAAATTATATGTTTGACAAATATATTTTTATTATTTTTCAAAAAATAAAAATAATACTACTTATAAATACTTATTTATCAATCTGTACTTATGTATATATATGTGAAATGTTGGTTTATTATGTTGTTAATCTTATTTTTATCACAATATTTTTAAAATAATTTTATAGCATTTAATTAAGTATACGATCTTGAAATAGATAGTGCGATTAATTGCTGCTGATTTTTCATTTCAGTTTCTGCTCGGAAGAAGAAAAGAGGCGGCAGAATATTATTATATTTCTTTGCAGCTATGAAAGCAGCATTGATTTATGGGTTGTTACACGGAGTTGCAGCTCTCGCAGGAAAAGCAGTATTGGTTGCCAAAATAGCTTTAGCAATTGCTATTGCTGCAATTCTGAAAAAGAATGGTACGTAGTATGGTAGGTAAATTGAATTAAAATTTATAATACTTTTTTAAGTTTATTTTTACATTTATGACAAATGCAAGGTTTTGCAATAAAAAAGTGCATGCAAATATACAATTCATTTCTATAGCGATTTTCTAACAACTAATGATAATTAAAATTATTCAAAGTTTTGAAGAAGTACACTACAGTCAAAAAGTTTCAGATCAAAGTAATAAATTACATGTTAAAATATGACATTCCGCTAGTTTCTTTTTTTATTAATAGCTAAGTATAAAATTATATTATAACACTATAAAAATAGTTTGCATTATTTTTTGGGTAGAAATGATAAATTTATAAAATATGGTAGTAATTTAATCAACCAACTCTGGCTATTTAATGATCTTTATTTAATATTCACGACGTTTCGGCCATGGGTTTCGGCCCTTATCAAGTGCTAAAACACAACTTTCTATATAGAAACTTAATTTCTGATCTTAAAATGTGACATGATATAATGTGAAACAATTAACTATATCCATATAGTATTTGATATAGTTAATTGTTTCACATTATATCATGTCACATTTTAAGATCAGAAATTAAGTTTCTATATAGAAAGTTGTGTTTTAGCACTTGATAAGGGCCGAAACCCATGGCCGAAACGTCGTGAATATTAAATAAAGATCATTAAATAGCCAGAGTTGGTTGATTAAATTACTACCATTTTTTAATTATCATCTGGTGACTTCAGAGATTTTTACATCTTTTATAAATTTATAAATTTTTTGGTCTTAGACTTTTTGACGGTAGTGTATATGAGAAATATAAAAGAATATTAAAAATAAATATTACACAAAAGATGTACAAATTTTTGTTTGTGAATTCCTTAATTAAATCGATTCGTTTAAATTAAATTCTATTTTCTTCTATAATAATTATATTGAATAATTATTCTCCAAATTAGTATATATTTTACGAACTTGCTGATTACAAGAACTTTTGGAAACCTTTAAAATGCATTTCTATAAAATACAGATTTTATAATTTTATACATAACAAAAATAGGCCATTAATTTAGACAAATGTTATATTTCATTGAACTTCTTTTCAGATCATGAAAGTGTGTCTTATGAAGTAGTAAAACATCCACATATTAGCTCTATACAAACCCATAGCTCAAGCGTTGATTACGATCACCGTAGTGATTACGGAGAAGAACGTAATGATTATGTCTATGACCATCGAAAGCGACGACGAATTCTTTGATGAAAATAGATTTCATATATATTTCATAACTGACAAAAATATTATTATCAAATAAAATAAATTATTTATTAAATTATATACGCGAGGCTATTTATATAAAGCAAATTATTTATATATATAACTATTTATAACTATTTATATATTTTAACATATTATATACTAGAAAAATATTTGACATAAAAAAAACAAAAGTTACCAAATTAAATATTGTATTTAAATATATGTATATTTGATGAATTTAGAACGTAATTATCTTGCAATAGAAAAATGTTTTGTATATCAAAATTGTACAATATCAATAATTTGTAAGTCTTTAAGAGTAAAAATATAGATGTATTATAATAAAAAGAAATATGATATAATTTGTCACAAACACTATTTAAATAAAAAATATTGTTTTATTATTCTCTTTTATGTATTGAAAATATTTTTATACATTAAATTTTCATAAAATTTAATAACTGTAAACGTATTATTTTATCATATTAAACAATATTTTATTTTAAACTAATTTTATATAATATTTTATTTAAATATTTTAAAATTATTTTAAAATAATTAAGGTTATAAAAATTAAATTAGAATGGCAATAAACTATAAATTTATAATATATAACAATTTAAAAATATATATAAATAAAAATATTATTCTAAATTTTACATTTTACTTGAATTCAAGCAGATTAATATTAATAGAACGGTGACAAATTATTAGATAAATAAACGAAAACATGTGTTTTTTAATCAACGACATTACGTATTGTTTATTCTTCGTGAAATACGTTTGTGCCGAGTCAAAGTAGAATATAATATATTGTACATATGTGTGTATACTATTAAATAAATAATATATAAACAATAAATAATAAGTATGAAGTATATAAATAATTAATAATAATGTATGTTTTTATACAATAATTGTTTATAGATACATCGAGGAAGACGTATTGCATGCGGTGTCTATATCATAAAGTTTTGAGTTTGTGATAAGTCGAAAACAATTCAGGTTGGTGGAACAACTTCCATTGCTCGTTGCCAGCCACCGTATCCACCACCGCCACCGCCTCCGTGATGTTCGGATGCTGTCGCATAGATTACTTCATGACCACCTCCGCTCGATACGAGCTTTTTCAAGCCAACTATTGCGCTTAAAACTAAAGCCATTTTCGCTGTCAGCAAAGCTGTACCGGCGAGGAAAGCTATTTTTCCATAAGCTAATTGCGCCATCATGCCTAAACAAATAATTAATGTTTTTATAAATCAGACTGAAAAAGTTGATTTTGTTTTAATAATGTTAAAATTATATTGTAAGAGTAATAAGAAATAAACATTTTTTATCATTAGAGTTTTTATTTGTTTCAAATGTCAAAAAAATCAAGAAGAAGTAGATTAGATAAAAATCAAGTTTGAAATTGTTAAAAGAAGACATTTTATTCATATATTTGCATCATTTTGATTAGAAACAGATTAGCAATATCGTTTTATAAAACAAATTGAACTTTTCTCTCTTTATTATTTTACGTTTTTATCAACTTTGATAACAGAGTTATTCATTTTTCTCTACGTATTTTGAATATTTTACATGAAAAACTTACCTGCTAACACGGCACCTGCTATTAATAGATATCCATGTCTACCCTTCTTTTTTCTGCCTAAAATATGATAAATGTTTATTTAAATATCCTGTCAATATTTTTTTCTTTAACAAAATTTTCTCTATTACTTATAATATCCATTGCAGCTTATTGCATCCGCGCGAAGCAATATTAATAAGATATAATATCTTAAATTATAATTTATATATATATATATATATATATATATCTCACAATAATTTAATTCGAAACATTCAAAATCATTTAATATCACACTTGATTAATAATAATTTTAAAATATGCAAGTATTGTTACCTTCAAAAGCATTGCCCGGTATTGTCAGCTTTACGCTTCTCGATGATACAAATTCGTAAAACTTGTCATCCAATTGTTGATCAAGAGTTAACTGTGTATCATTTTCAGATCCCATCGGGTTGTAATTTCTCGCGGTTGCTGCATCTTTGGTGATTGAAACGTAGTCATTAATCTTATATACAGAATTATCTTTGATCGCCGTGTCAAGAATCTCTAAGGCACGCCGTTTGAAGCAATCGAAGGTGTTCTTCTCGTTCGTGCACCGTTCGAACAGTTTTACATATTCACTTTTGGCGGTCACTAAATTGACGAAAATCGCGAGATGAAGGAAACGTAAAATCCATATTGTCGAACGTCGCTTTTCCATCCTAGTCGATTGTATTATTCACGTCGTCGACTTTTCTCTTCTAGGTGTCTTTCAGCTAGGCGTCTCCAACAGAATGACCATCGGTTTTCCTTCTGTTAGGTCTTATCTTATTCTCTGTAATAGTCAGCTGGTCAGCTCGGTAAATCCCGACTACTTGAAGAATCTGGTTGCATTGTTACTTATATATGTGCACCCATTTAAGTCTCTCTCCTACCAGGCGCATTAAAATTCTTACTCTACACACCCATACTTGATCCACGCGCTGTTTAACGCCACAACAACGGAAGAAGAGACCCTCTCAACCAAAACAATGTCGTACAGCCCCGTAAGTAAGTATCGCTTTGACCTGCTTGTCAAACGATCCTTAAAACTCCGCCGTGCTAACGTCATTAATACCAATGTATCAGGATCACATTGGAATGCAGGTAAAACAAGCGATATTATTTATCCGGGCGTAAGTGCCCGAGTAAAACCCAAGAAATGCTTGGAGATTATCCACTAATTTGCATGCACGAGTAACTTTACTTGCTACGAAATTATGTAGAATCATTTTCTTTTATTTCCGGAGTCAATTATTTGTTTTGATATTAGCCTATTTCAATATTTCATATAAAGTTTAATATTTTCTGTAAATAAAATAGTTTAATGATTAATCTATATTGTAATATTGTAATAAAAGCAACAAAATTTGACTGCTGAAATTTTCATTCTAGACTGACAATGAGTTAGATTTTAGTAATGAATCGTATAATAAAGCGTTGAAAAATGTATTACAACATTAGCTTAAAGAGATTGTCGAATGTCGTACAAATAAGAAAACAATACGAACAACAATCATCCGCGCGCGTAATGCCCAATCCATAAATATTTTCAAGAATTATTTTATTTTGTTGGTTAATATATTGTTCTGGCATACATTTTGGCATAGAAAAATATATACATTATTCATTATAAAAATATATATTTTATATATAAAAATATATATAAAATTGAAGTATTAAATAACTATTGAAATAAACAAATTAAAATTATTATATCAGTGTAAGTGTTACATATATATTATACAACACGATAATTGATCAAGGCCAAGGAACTTAGCGTAGCACCTAAGATACTGTTAATTCGACACAGATTACGCTCCGTGACGAACTACATTCGAAAAGAAACTTGAGCAATTACAACAGTAATGGACTTGATTAGCACTGCCCACTATTCAATGTATTTAATTCTCGCAATCTCTTCGAATGTGAGCTATTTATCGTAGCAGCCTGTTGTTTCTACAGTGTATTCCGGCATCAGGATCGATTATTAGACGAGGCTAAGTATTCATTATCCACTTCACTCTCCACCATTCTAATGACACAGTAGGAGTAATTATTAAGAAGAAAGCGTACGTACATACGTAAGCTTTTGTCACGGTCTCTTTACCCAATAGTACTGTCTTAACAATAACATTCCTCTGTAAAGTATTATACTTCCGTATAATCCACTTTTCCCACTTGTCAAAGAGAAGTTTGTATTTACCTACAAACGTGCACTTTTCATAAAAGTTTCCTTCATTAGTATTATTTATTTTTTAAATTATACATCTCGATTTAGATCATATATACAAATAATATAATTAAACAAACAGAAAAACTTTTATCACTATTGTTACAACGTATCATGAATTCTCGCGCCTTAGTTGTTATATTTGACAGCGGATGTTAAATGAACACGTGGTCGTACATGTACTCGCATGACCGTAAAGACACGGTAGTATTTTCCTTTACGAGCAAATGCGTTGCCCGGATGTAACCATTACCGTTCCTACGGATGATGTGTAAGGTATAAGAACGACGGAGAAAAAGAGAATTGCCGATACAGTTAGACGACCGAAAGAAAGGACGATATAATAATGGATCGAGACTAATGGCATCGCTATAAGTGAAAACGCCAGGATCTCGGTGACAATCCTTGCTGGTAGACTGATACTTGAAATCGACAGTGAACTCGTAATAAAGATCAATGTAGATAAAAAATGATTGCATAAGCGTTCTATTTAAATAACGCAAGTACATCTATCTTGCAATTTGTTTCAAGAAAGTATATGCATTATACTAATAACAGCTATTTTGATGTAAAAATGTGTTTATATAATACAAGTATGATTTTTAGCAAGAATATAAAAGTTTATTGTTATTTTAATAAAATACTTTTTACAATGTAGTTGTGTGATTTAATTTAATGATGTAAATACAATTAATCAATATTTATAAGAAAATAATATCGAAAAATATATTATGCTTCACCATGTAAATTTAAATTTAAGAGAAATAGAGTGCTTCTTGATATGCTTGAATCAGCTTTTATTAGACTTTATATTTTTAATTATATAATTAAGGCATATAATGAAAATGTAGTAAATGTAATAGTATAATAATACTTATTATAAAAATGTTTTTAAAAATTATTCTATTTTTTTTAAATAAAAATTAATTTTTTTTTTTTATTAATTAATTAATTAATATTATTCAATTATTTAAAAGAATATTAGTTTTAAGACGTTTAACTTCTTATTTAATAAAATTATTTAATTTTTATCTACGAGCTTATAATATGTAAATATTATATTATTGTAAATAGAAAGATGCTTAAATTAATCGTATATATTATCATGAAACAAATTATACATATATTATATCAAGAAATTTAAATTCTCAATCTATTTCTATAAATATATCAGAAAGTTGATAGAACATTAATTTCTTATACTTTAAAATTCTTATACTTTAAAATAATTGAATGGAATATTACGACAGTACTAGATCTAGATCTAGAACAGCTATCTAATCATGATTTTTTCAAACATTGATAATTTAAAGTATATTTTTAAAATACATAATTAATTAATTCTTTTCTGTCCAAACGAAATTCTTTGCATTTTGTCTATTTTGCCCCGAGTCATTATTTCCTTCGTAAACATTGACAACTTCTCTAATTACATGATGATCGTAAGGTGTATAGTCTTGTAGCGTTTTGTAAGGTCGTTGCGGAAAATGATGTTCATAATGAGAATAAACACCTGACGGTATTCCGTGTCCATAAGCATGAAAGTCATTGAACGCGTTTGCCGGATAAGACGCAGGAGGTGTTCCGGAAACGAGTGTATTCCATCCTAAAAGACCACTTAGAAACAGCGCCACCTTCGTCAGTAACAGGGCCTTCTTGGTCACAATCAGCAGGAAACCAAACAATAGAGGAATTAGAGATGCCAAATTGAACTTGAAACCCAAGAGAAATGGCAGTAATATGTGTCTGGTCAATTGTCTTCCTGAAATGATAGAAATTGCCCTTGAATCTACAACCAGTCATGTAGCCTTGGCCGTGCTGCCTACTGGAGGATGTTCTTGAAACCAGTTGGCAGACGTTATGGCTTATCCAGGACAAGAACCTGAACGTATGGTTTGATTCTGTGCTAAGGTAACAAGAGAGGTAATTCTGCATGTAACGAGCTACGATTTTTTAAAGCAAGCATTCTATTTTACGTAATCATTCTTTCATTACAAAAGAATCTGTAATACTAATACGTAACTCTTTAATGACATTATTCACGTAATAACTTTATTAGTATATAAGATTTATGTAGATACGTGCAAAATGTAGATGACAAAAATGGAAGAATAAATTTTAAAAAAATATTTATATATATTTTTAGATATTCAAGCTATATTTGTCTCTATGTATCTTACAACAAATTTTAATATAAAGTAAACGATTGTATTCTGTTCAAGTTTAAACTTGAATCTTGTAATACAGAATTTCGAAGCAATGTGAAAAAAATTGTTTGAAAAACTGAGATGTTAAAATGATTTAAATTCAATCTTAATTTATTAATTTATTTAATATTACAGTTTACCTGGACCGCTGGACTGCCTGTCGTCATACGAAGCAGCTCTTTCGTTGAGAACAAATTCCAGCATTCCATCTCCGTTTAACATTGGTCCGACGCGCATCTGCAATCCTGGATATAAATTATCCAAATTCCACTTAATGTTTCGGCGTTCCATTAATCTGGCGGCTGCTTTCACGATATTTCCAAAATCTTTTGGATCGTAATCTAAATCCAAGAAATCTCTGCCGTAGCCTTCCGCTCGATCCAATCGCACTTTTCCAAATTCTAGAGTGTCTTTATCGTGCCAGGATTGTAAAGCACTTAAAACACCACGGTTTACGCATTCGAATGTGCCATGTTCCTTCTTCGACAGACATGTGCCGAAAGCTTCATTAAAGCTATACGATTGTTCGTTCTCCAAAGTAATATGCTCTTTGGGCTCCATAATCACTGTAAAACTCGTTGACACGAGAATAAGCAGACACAGATAACGAAATTTACTTTTCATCCTCGACCTACCGGATTTAACCGATCCCTCATATATAGAAATATTATTCAGATTAAACAAAACATCGGGGGGAGAAAATTAATAAAAAAACTTGAAATAATTAAAAAAATTATGCAAGTAGATATAGAAGCTGCAGTTATTCCATTTCGAAATGACAGACACAAAATATCGTTGACACTGTAAAATTTGAAAGCACTTAGAATATTTCTCACATTTTTTAAATAGTATAACTTTTTACTTTTTTTACAGTTTTAGGATCAGTAGAGAACCCTGTTTCTGTCGCACTGAGAAGACGTAAAGCAATGAGGTTCTCGTAAAATACTGTTCATTCTGTACCTGTGACCTCTCCTATATAGACGACAAGGGGGCGTTCACACAAGACAGAACAATTGGTTTCACTCTGAAGATTTTATAAGCAGCGAAAGTATACTCTTGGTTCGTATTTCGTGCGCTTGGTCGATACACCGGATGCACCGAGGAGAATAATTTCCGTCAGTCGAAGAATGGAGCGTCGGGAAGATCGTTATATCGTTAGATTGATGAGACAAGCTTGATGGCTGGACAAGAAAAATTGAGAGAGCGTATGTAGCGCGAATATAATTATCGAATTTGTGTAGTAAATCTAGGGCACAAATGAAATCTAAAGATATCATTCAACATTTGGACAAGATGCCAAATTGAGCTTATTTTGACGCAATAATACATATATATTATCTCTAAGATACAGACTGGAAATCTTAAACGCCGTATTATTGCTTTAATTCTTTTTTTTTATTCTATTGTAAAATCATGTCTGTGCATCTTTTTCGCTCTCTCTCTCTCTCTCTCTCTCTCTCTCTCTCTCTCTCTCTCTCTCTCTCTCTCTCTCTCTCTCTCTCTCTCTCTCTCTCTCCTTTTTCTCTGATATTTTGTTTTGCATTTTTATATTATATAAAAACTTATATTTCATTTATGTTTTCTTATTTTAATATTTTTATACTTTTTGAATAATTGTCTTATATACTAGATAAAATAGACATTTTCTGTAATCGAGGATATCTGTTTGGACTGGAAGGTAAGGGAAAAATAAAATTGGAAACATAATTTTTTTAATATTATACAAAAATTACAATTTATTTATAAATAATATGATAAGTTACACATGATGATCGATATATAAATAATCATTGGATTAAATCTGGTGGTCCCGCGCGAGTACTGACTACGAGTTCGTTCCGCGTGCGATAGACGCGGATGACCCTGAAAGGATACCGCACGAGTGTATGATCGAGGGGGCGTGATTTCTGTCAGGTTCCACTATCTGAAGAATTCTAAGATTCTCATAATCTCTGGATACCGTCATTCGTCATGATTAATCAAATAAATTCCCGTCGTAATGTACGTCGAACTTTCATCTATGGCGGTCGATAGCATATCTTTATCGGCTTCGACACTGTCGAGTCGTCGAGTCACGTACGGTTAAAAATCCGGTAAATCGTCCTCGTTTAACAGTCGTAGTTTGCCTGTAAGTCCGTGTAGAATTGCGTTCGATCTGGTCGTTGTTGCATCAACAAGTGTCCGCGTTGTCGAGCTGAGAGCCTGTCGAGCGGATCCCTGAGAGGTTGAGCCACGCCACCCTCAGGTGATCGCCGGGTTAAAGACGATCACTTTGGCGAAATGAAGGTAGAAAGTTAGAAGGAAGAGAAGTTGTACTTGACATTGAGCTATTCAGCGGGTTTGTACGCGTTGTACGCGAGATCAGAGCCGGGCGCCGATCTTGCCCAGCCGTGATGATCGTGGTGTACGTCGTGTCCATAGTCATGGACGGGATGAGCGACTACCTCGTAACTTTGGCTCTTGTAAGCGAGTAATTTCTGCAGGGCGATGATCAAGCTGATGACAAGGGCGATCTTGCCGATGATCAAAGCCTTAACAGCAATCAGAGCCAAAGCACCAAGGGCGATCGGGATAAGGGCGGCAGCCTTCAGTTTCAAAAGGAGAAGGATGGGCAACAGAGATTTAACGATCTTCTTCTTCTTTCCACGAGCTGAAACATGAATAAAATTCCGAAACATATAAGTCCTCCGATTTTTTTAATAATACTGCATGTGCACGTTCAAATTTCTTCCATCTCCGGATATTGAAATGTATCCAGTAAATATATCTCAGTTTATCAAAAATACATATGACGGAATTTTTATAATTTAAAGTTTAAAAATTTATATAGTTATATATAATATAATATTAGTTATATATAATATATAATTTAAAAAACATTTTTTTTTAGTTTAATTTAATTTTACCTTCATCGAAGGAACGGGCAACATCTTCCGGGAGACTCAATTCGACAGTATGGGTAGATAAGAACTTGGAAGCTCTGTCGACGAGGGCCTGATCAATTGCAGCTTCCTTGGCTTCGGTCTCAGCTGGTAAGGTACTTTCAATGTCATTCAGAGACCTTGCATTGTCAGCCCGGCTGAAAAGAAAGAAGTGTGCACATTTGCATAAGCGTTTCGAAACATCCGACATTCGTTAATCATTCCTACTATCTCCAACTTTCTATGCTAATTTTTTAATTGGACATTTAAATTTCTTTCAGAGTAAAATAGGGTTACATCGTTCATTGATTAAAGTAATAAAGTGAAAATAAAGAGAGTTAATTTTGCCCCCTAAATAATTTTCTCTCATTGTAATTATACTTGAAGTGAATGAACATCTCAAAATTGGAATTTTATGAAAGAGTTAATTAATCCAATCGTACAATAATCTCTTTATCTAAGTTAATATACTATGTACAAATGATCTGATACACTTTGGCATGGTATAAAGAGTTTAATGCGCTACTTGAAATACAATTTCACGCGTTCACCACACGAATCACCCGCCTGCGTTTCTCACGTCTGAATTTCACTCGGCGTCGTTTAAAATGCTCGATGACGGTGATATTGGAGTCGATCCGATCACTATCCCGAGCAAATCCTCGTATCCCTTACCTGTTTTTAGCCTCCTCGGTCTGCACGATCTTGAATCCATCGACGACTTCGATGTCGGCCGAGCGGACGACTCGGTCGACGTAGCGGAGGGCCTTCAGTTTGAGACACACCGCGACGCTCGATTCAGCGGAGCAAGAGGCATACACGTCGAGGGCCTCCTCGAGGATCGACGGTGGCGGTGAGGCCGCCGCGTCCTGCGAGGCCGGTGCAGCGAGGGTGGATACCACGAAGAGTGCGCCGATTATTGCGAACTTGTACATCTTGACGTTGATTCTTGGATAATTTCCGAAATAGAACCGAATTATTCCAACTTGGTCGAGAAACTGGTCTCTCCTTCACTTCCTCTCGTCTCCCTTTTTCGTACCTCTCGCACCTTAACGCTCGAACGAGTACGGCGATCGTATCGACACTGCCCGAAAGAATCACGATTGCTGCCTTTTATCCTCGTCGCGAAAGGGGCCCGCGTACGTTTTTGAAATTTTGATGGCCCCCACCGGGTGGCCCCCGCCGGGTTACAATCCATACGAGCTATTGGTTCTCCTTCAGGCGGTCATTCCGTTCGTGTCGTGTGCGTCTCTCGTTGACGCGCCTCCACACCACCGATCCTTCTCCATCGGTTCTCTTCTCCTGTGTGCCTGTGTGTGCTTACTTACTTAGGTCGTTTGTGTACACAACGGGTGTGTTGGCTCCCGACAAACCCGCCCTGTGCGTATGCGTAGAACACACACATGCATACATGCGGTCGCGCGAGAACGCGAGAGGGAGAAAACGAGAAAGAAAGGAGAGAGAGAGAGAGAGAAAGAAAAAAACCAGAGAAAGATGATGTGTGCCTACGCACCACTGGCCTCTTCGGCCTCTCTGAACGAGATCGGAACACGATCGAATCGAGGGAGACGTTTGGACACGTGTCAAAGACACCAAAAGTACCGATAGCGAACCGGTAGAGGATAGAATATGAGTTTGTGCTTTGAAAATTCGGATCGTAGATCTAAAAGCTAGGAAGACAGATCTGATACAATCGATGTGTTACCACACACATTTGATCTCACAATTCTTATTCATTTAACGATTTCGCTCTATGCAAATATATAATCGCGTGAAAATCTACGTGAAACTGCTCTTGTAAAAGGATTTATATATTATCTCTTCTTTTTACATCTGCTGAATATATCGGTGAAGATATAGCAGCTGCGACAGAAATTGCCTACTTGTCAGAACTTTCAAAGAGGGACACATGTGCAATGCTTATGCATTAAAGATGAATTATCTGCGGTAGCATATATTATTTGGCGTCTCTCCGGACGATTCTTGAAATGACTTGTTCAATTGAGTCACTTGTCATAATTAGTTTCTAGGACAAGATGAGAGACCAAATGCCTCAATGACATTTATTTTTATTATTCAATCGTGTTTCCCTCATTCTCTCTTTCTCTTTCTCTGGCATGATTATGCACTATAATGCACTGCGAATTATAAGTAGTTTATCCTGGAAATCTTTAACTTGAAGTACGCTTTAAAAAAAATAAATATCGCGTCAACCAAGGATCTCATATCTGTATTGATAGACAGAAGCGACGCGTTTTATTTGGCCAAGCACTCGGGATAAGTTGGCTTATGATTTCGCTTTCAACAAGGTATATTACACCGGATACTACTATCACGTATAGATGATGCTTCGTTCATACGCCTCCACATAACTTTCTCAACGTGCTTATAATGTTATACGAGCCTGCGATGCTTTAAACGCTCGCGCGATTCATTGATTTCATTACATGAAATCGCGACACTTCTGTCGTTGCTCGGCTGCTCATAAAATTTCCCTGGAGTCCTCGCGTTATCGGGGTCGCGCATTTTTTAGTATAATTTTAAAGCGCCATATATTCTCTAATAATACGTCTCGAATTCAGCTAATAACAGTTACTTTTGGATTAAGTATCACGTGACACTTTTTTTCCTATCGATTCTTCGTTCCGCCTGTCCACCTCCAATTTTCTCATCGTTTTCTGTTCCATTCATTATATTAATTTTAAGAACTAGAGACGTGAGTTAAGATCATCTTCTTACGGCGCCGGTCGATACTACTAGTCAATGGTCTTTGAAATTAATGTATTCCAGTGGCTGTCGCGCGGAACGTTTAACGGTTTTTCACATGGAATGTGCGTGGACGCATCGCACCGTGGTCCGATCATGTGTGTGAGTTGGGCCCAAGCCAGACTTCTTCCAGGAGGACGAGCCGCGCCTTGCCTCCGCGTCATCGTGACCCGAAGACTTCTCGCCTAGAAAAAAGATGAAAAAAAAAATAAGAAACAGAGAAGACACATACCCAAAAGTATTTTATTATACGCTCTGCCTGTACGCGAGAAAAAGACGTGCGACTGACTTTCTCCGCCTGTGCGGGCCCCCGAAGATGGTCAAACGAATCTCTGCACCTCGGTCCAGATTGCGTTCTCACGCGTCTTATCGAAGAATTTGCTGAATCGCACAACGGGATTTTAATACGCAACAAAGTATTCAAACGATAGGTATGTGACGTTAAACCGATTTAATGAACTCTAAAAGAGACAAGTCTTAAAATTGTCTGGTTCACATTTTTTTCAGATTTTTCAGGTATTTTTAGACAGTTTTGCTATCTATGAATATATTTAGAATATTGAGTTTTTTTCTGTATGTCTTAATATCTTAAGTTTTAATATTTAATGTGTAACTTTTTAATTCGAAGTTCTAATAATATTTAAAAACTAATATAAACGTTTGCCTGTATATATTTGAGTGCTCTAAAAACTACTGTTGCTTTCCATTTCTCCATTATTTACTATCCTCTCGCGACGTGATATATATAAAATATACGGCGGATCTCGAGAAACTTTCACTTTGTTTCCGCAATGTGTTTTTTCTCAGCGTATTCTATCCGCGCGTTTATTCTATCCGCGAATCAGCAGATTCTATATTGCAGACGCGTCGGCGTCCTCGGTGTGCCTCACTTACGGGCAAGGAAACAGAAATCTGAAAGTTTTGTCGCGTTCCCCGTTCGCATATGTATTACATATTACATATATACGGCGAATTGGTTCGCGTAAACGTACAGCATCGCTAAACTAGAGACGCTAATCCGGGAGGTACATTGAGCCATGCGCGCTCTTGCTGATGGAACACTTTCCTCTCGTCGACGCCGGCGAGAGTGAACTCGTCCGAGGATCGAGGTCAGGTCAAGGCCCCCACGAAGTGAAGCCTTCGTACCTGAGAATTCTCGATCTCCTGCCCGTTCTGCTTCTCGCCTCGTTCTTTCTCCTCCATCTCTTCGTTTATCCTTAGCGAAGCGATCGAACAATGAAGGAAAAAGGAAAATGTTCTTGTTACGATTGACTAAACTCGTTTCTGCCTTTATACTCATCGATTACCTACATCATTAGAGCGTATCCTCTTCGTTTAGGTACAAAAAACATATAGTATATGCAGGTATATGATTTTGTGCAGATATTATGTGTGTAGTTATTATATAGGTCGTTATGCGGGTTAGTTAAACTGTGGTATTGATCTATTTTGTTTTTCTCCGTATTGTCGTAAACAAGGAGTACAAGAGGAGTTTGAGAGGGGAAAGAGAGAAAAGAAGTTTCGCGTCTTACGCGTGAATGAACGAAACGAAAGTTCTCACCTTTCTTTCTGGCCTCTTGTTTTTTTCGGCCACAGACAGACTCGCGCGTGATCCTGTGGCTTTTTACCTAACAATTAGCTCCTCTCTGCACACACGGCTCATTTAAGGAAGATGAGACGGGCCATTAAAAGAGCGACGAAGCTGCGCGGTTGAATGAAACCAGTCGTTGCATTCGTCAGAACTCGCCAAAAAAACAGAATTAAAAGGAGCAAGTAGTTTTTAAATGGTTAATAACTACCACGTAATAATAATGAGCAACGATACCATAAATACGGGTATCGTCTACGCACCGTTCTAAATTGTTTACGCGCCACCGAAGAAAGTAGCGATATTAGTACTTTCACGTGAATAAATTTGTGCTTAATGTAAACTCAGTTAGTGCTAATTCCCGCGTGACGACCTACATACGAGGACACTGACGGTCCGTTCTTCAGCCTATTTTACATTGCCGTACAATTACGACTAAAATTTCTATCACGGAATATCACAGTACGAGTAATGAGATGAAGTGAAAATTGACGGCGAAATACTGTTGCTCCGAAAATGCATCAACAGAATATAGAGATATCCGCCATTTAATCGTCTCTCCAGGAAGCTGAGGAAAAGAAGGCGAAGGATATCTCGATTCATCGAGGTGACTTTCGGAACTTGAACGTAGAAGGGCCTTGGCGATATATCAGAAAACGGTACCACTTAACCAGAAGAGATGCGTTCTCGAAGATCAACGAATTTTCGGATCTCTGGGTGCGAGGAAGAGGCTCGGCGAGATCGAACGTACAGAAGAGAGAGAGAGAGAGAAAGAGAGATGCATGAAAGAAGAAGAGAGGCATGGAGCAGCGGGTCGCGGGAAAGACAGGGGAGAGGACCAGGCATTGACTTTTTCTCCGGCACGGTAGAGAGTGTTAGGCGCACCTTGAAAAGGCTCAGCGCGGATGCTGACTGGCCCGATCGGTCTGCTCGGCCTGGTTTACTTCCCGAAGTGTGTGTCCACCGATTGGTCTCCGCGTCCGTCCTACGTACACGCAGAAACTCTCTCGCGCTCGCGCACGCTCGAATACGCACACGATCGTCGCGGACGGATCAAACAAGTGCGTAAGGTGCCCGCGCGAACACGTCAGATTTCATTCGTGCGTTTCTCGTATGTAGGTGATGTCGTTTCTTCTCTCCCTCTCTCTCTCTCTCTCTCTCTCTTGGTCTTCCTATGTATCTATATACTGTTGCTCGCTGATGAGATCGATGATGGTCTCTCTCTTTATTTTTCTCGGAGAAATAACCGGAGGACACTCGAAGACGTATGTCCATTCATGTCGTCTGCATCGGCACGTTAAATCGTAGTCCAAATAGACACGACTGGATCTCTATGTCTATATAAAAGCATTTCTCTGTCTCACATACTTGTCTCGCCTCTTTACCTCCGGTTTTCGCACACCCTTCCACCTTCCATCTCGCATCTCGTTGAGCCTTACTTTCGATCGAGTCCCGAATCGACGGGCCATCAGTCGGTCAGGCTCCAATTCTTTCGCACGCCTTATCCCCGCCGTCTTTTCTCGCAGCCTCTCTCTTTGTAGCTCTACGATTTTAGCGTATCGATGACTTCCGTTAGTTTCACCCGAATTTTAAGCATCTCGCGACGATGGAATTTTCAGCGCTGAATTATACTCACACATAATTAACACATGGAAATTAGCTTATCCGAAATAATTAACTACGCAAACGCACACGCGCCATGCAAATCATTTATTCATTCATAAGACACAAGATTTATCAATGCGGAATAAGATGAGGAAATAATATCGAAATAATATACGATTGTTCATTAATTATAATTCTTAATTTATTTGCGTATTTATAAATATACATACATAATTGTGTTCACACATGTGACGCGGTGAGCGTATCGCTATACGCGTGCAACAATAAATACTGAGGATGATCCGTGTAGGAGCGTTCTCTCGTGTGTGCAATGATCATAAAGTGAACACAGCAGGAGAATACAGTGAGAAGAGATCGAATTATATTCACAGGATGAAAAATAAATAAGAGTTACGCGCGAAGAACAGAGAAGAAAATATTTCGTGAGGAGTTAGAGAAAGAGAGAAAGAGAGAGGAAGAAAGAAATGAGATTGAAGAGATGCCACAATGACGTTTGTAAAATTGTTCCTTTTCTAAGTTGACGTTGGTTTGTACGCGGAGTAGGCCAGATCGTGTCCAGATCTTCCCCATCCGCTCGATCCGTGTCCTCCGACTTGAACGACTTCGTGTCCATGGTCGTGACCGCCTGACACAAGTTTCTTTAATCCGATGATAGCAGCGAGTACTAACGCAAGTTTGCTCACTATCAGCGCTTTGCCAGCCAACAGTGCGAGAGCGCCTAGAGCTAAAGGTACTAATGTGCCGCCAATTAACAGAGGAATGGCGAGAAGACCACCCAATTTATTCTTCTTCTTGCGACCTATAAAAAGATTAAGTAATTAGGTTTTAACGAAAAATGTTTCATAAAATACAGAATTTTATGGTGGACAATTTATATTAATAATTAAGATTTATATTAATCTATATTAAACATTAGTATTTAGATTAATGTTGTCTTAATGAAAGAGATGAAAGTATAATTCTATTCAATATATAAACAAGAATAAAGCAAGCAGAACATTTGATGTAAATCAAGGTAATTAAATTTCAAACAATTTATTAAACATCTAATTATTATTAATTCACATTTGTCTTCTTACCTTCCTCTGAGAAGCTACGTTGGAGTTCTTCCACATTTGGCAATTTTAGCTTCAGGGTGTGACTTTGAAAGAATTTGATAATCCTATCGAAAATCATGCCATTGAGAGCATCGTCCTTGTCCTCTAACGATCGCGGTAAACTGGCTTCAATTTCCTGCAGAGATTTTTCTGGCTCAGATTCGTTGGCAGTTGATTCGTCGTGAACTAGAGTAACGCCATCCGCTACATTCAATTGTACGTTCCGAGAGATCCTATCCATGGCCGATAAAAGCTTCAACTTCAGACATGGACTCAATTCCGCGCCGGCACATTCTTTGTACACTTGATAGACGTAACGTAGCTCTCCAAGTACGCCGATGCCACTTGACCTTGCGGTTTGTTGTTCGTTAATGGAATTGGATGTGGGATTAGTTTCGGCCGATCTCGCAGAGACCGCCGTCACTAATATAGCCAGGCAAATATAGTGTGCAAACCGTTTCATTTTTGTGAAATAAATATCTGCAAAAAATAATTAATTCGATGAAAAATATATTGAATAAGTTATTAACAATTTGAGTCTACAATTCATTATTGTGCAAATCAAAGTACGCAATAATAGTGTAAATTAATGAATTAATTAATTAATCAATTAATAAATAGGTCGATACTTGATTTTTTTAATAAGCGCGAATAACGTGAAGAAGTTTTATCACAAATTATTTATTATTAAAAATTTTGAAAACTTAAAGAAATGTTTTTTAAATTGTTAGAACTGCTTATGCCACTTAATAATTTTAAAAAATATATCATTTCTACCCAAGTATAATAATTGATAAAAAATATGATACACTTTTCCATCATCTATTTGTGAAGCAACTTGAAAATATTCTTATACAAATTGTTTCATATATATATATATATATATATATATATATATATATGAATCACAAAACGTGTAAAAAAATCCATCACTTAAGGCGATCACCGAAGATTCGAAGTCAACGCAAGCCTCAATCAAGACACTGTACCTTCCACGCAACTTGATAAGGGAAAATCAACCGTCTGGTCCTCTTCGTCGAGAAGATTCTTGCGTCCGCACGCGACTGCCGGCTTCTGATTAATTGAACACGCTGCGTATTACCGCGAGATGCGTGTAATGCTGTGAGCACTCTAAGTAGACTGTACGTAACGGAAGCCCTGCCCTAGCTCTATATATCTAGCCAGGTATACCTCCGTTCTGGGCGATATTTCCCCCACCTGGTTGGCGTCGGTGTACACCACCATCGCGACTATTTTCATACGGCATTGATTTGAGAGCGGTCGCTTTGCACCTAGACAACCACCCGAGGGACGAAAGTAGAGAGCAGAATTCACCTCCGCGGAACGCGTCATAATCACCGGTACATTCCTCTTCTCCCGGGATTTGATCTCCCACCAGAGTAAGCGCATCCGAGCGAGTTTTGCCACTCTTTTTCACGGGCCTTTCGCGATAGAGCTGTCCTTGTCTTTCAGTTCATTCCTCATACGGATTTAATTCGACCAGTCTAACCGCATTTCGTCCGTATCGCGGTTCCGTTTTGCGCGTGGAAGCGTAGGCCGGCCACCTACGCATCGACCGACGCGGTTCGATGCTCCCGTCGTTCATTCGTTATTCCGCGGCTCTAATTTGTCGTCCGATTCTTCCGATTCGAATAGGATTGAAAATGAAAGGCGCGCCGCGGAAAACAATACGACGTCGCGTCGCGAACCTGATGAAAAGTCTCGAAACTACACGTCGAACGTATAGAAAGCGCAAAGGTTTGACCAATGGTTTATGGTCATTGATATATATTTGATAACAGGAAACGCAATAAAATATAAAGTGTGTTATTAGCACGAGCTTACACATGCTCAGATTATTCTATATTTCTACGATACGATGTAAAATCGTTCATTCGTTAACGTGGCGAGAGATTGCTGCGAGCTGAGGATCCGTTGTTCCAGCTGTTACTTTCTAGGCTGCCTTAATTATTTACGTCAAATTTCGTGATTATATACGGAATACGTGATGAATTCATAGAATAAATTTCGCACATGAGACCAGGCTTCTAAATATGATTTCGGCACGTCACAGACAAAAAGAATCTTTTCGAACGTCAATCAAGATAGTTTAAAGTTAATACTGATACAGAATTATCATCATCACATATGTACGATTGGAGATATATAATTGCATTTCTCGCTTTCTTATTAAGCATTGGACACACGCAGTTATACCGCTGGCATGAAATTTGTGATTCTTGAAACGTTTGCCTCAGCTATTATAATTAATGTGACAATGTACGTTCCACTTTTCTATGAAAGATCGAACAAACGTTTTCCTCTACGCGCCAACATAGTCATGTCATCGAAAAAGGAGAAACGATGAATCGGCAAATTAACGTATACCGTTACGCGCGTTAGGCACAATTTCTTTATCCAATTAATCATTTAATTCACCGATGCTTCTAATTCAATGATACTTCATTCCTAGCATATCCCTTGGACTTTTCATCCTGTTCGATTCGATTATACGCGGACGTGGCTTTAACTGGGTCATACCAAGTGAAAACGCCGTTTGCGTGCAGATACACTTAGATCATTTAACGAATTAAACGTGTTTCCAGGAGGAGAGAAACGAAACGGAGACTCTCACGCGAAGGATAAAAAAAGCGAAACATCCTGTCGCCTCTCATTCAGAGTTATCATTAAATCATAGTTTGCTTTATCATATTCTACTACCCCCTTCACCTTCGTTAAGACCGCGTCGAGATTGCCGGTGCATGACGCTTTTCATTGAGCTGCACGCGAATGTCCGAGAAAACATCATGACCGGCTAACGGATGCAAAGGAAGGAGAGTCGGTCTTCTTCTCGCGGTCTTCTCGTCACACGTCTCTTCTCTCCAGTCCCCCTTTTTCACGGCCCCTAGTGGATCCACACGACTGCGATGCTGCCGGAACTTACTCGCGGCATAATGTCGCGTTACCGATTTCTCGTACACGTATACATGCCGTGAAAATGATCCCCCTCATGGAATGGCGAAAGCGACGGAGATCTCGCGAGATGGATCGCCGCCATACGTCACGCGGCTAATAAATGGTGTGCCTTGGAACTTTGTTGTTTCCGGTTCGCGGAACCATCGGGCCTGAATTCCATTTTGTACGACCGCTGATTTTCTCGACGGCTCGATACGCGTGGCTACTCGCGGCCAATGAAACTGTCGTTATTGTACCTCCTTTTTCTACCTTCGAAGCCGCTTCGATATAGCAACGGAAGTCGCGGTATGCAGGTTACCAGTTGTACCTGTAGCTGCGCTTTCGGTAGGGAGAGGTAATCAATGGGTTTAAATATATATTATCAAGTATTTAGATGGATTGTGACATATATTTTTTCTCGCGGAAAAATCTTACTCTGAATTGTACGAATTTATCAATGTTATTTGGTCAAACTAATAGTTAATTGTGTCAGTGACATTTTTGCGACTTTTCATTTGACATTAATACGGTAGGAATTAATATAATATTAGCCCGCTCTATATCGCGGTATGAATTTTAACGGTATTTCTTTTTTCTTTATAAGAAATACGTATCGTTTTTAAAATTTTAAAGAAATTCTAGAAATTAAGTTGTATGATAATATTTTAATAAAATCCTAATTTTGAATAAATAAAAATTTTCTCTTTTTACATATATACTTACCTAATATAATATAAAGTAATATAGATTTAACTTAGACCAACATATTAGTTTCTCTTTGTTCCAGTTCTCGAACAAAAAAATTGTTTTAAAATTCTCTAAATATTTGATGATAATGATAATAAAGAGAAAGAGCGATTCGAGGAATGTGAAGAGAGTCCTATATAGAATATTTCTATATATACCGTAAATCGTATAAATCACTCCAACAATCTCGTATATGTGTATTATACACATGGTTCGCATTCCTGAGAAATAAAGCGACCGTGCTGTTCCTCGACTATTTTCCCTCGTGAGCTCTATTCCATTTCCATGATACGTATCTATTTATGTATAGAAAATGCGGTGCGTCGCTGCATCCGGTGCACGATCGCTGTTTCGAATTCAATAGAGCGTATTTCACGATTCTTACGTTACACCTTACGATTACGAGTGCAAGTGTAACGTTGTATAAATAAAAGCACTCGGTCACGGAAGGCGGTTACTCGTACGAGAATCCAAGAAAACGTTGAATTCTCGTCGACGGAGGCTGCGGACATTGAAGTCTTTCATTGGGACAAGACGGAGGCTGCAGGCATTGAAGTCTCTTTCATTGGGACAAGACGAAGGCGTCTATTTGTCGTCTTTTTATTATAAAAGAAAAACAGGAGGTGTCACATAATGGAAGCACACAGTCAAACATCAAATAAATATTAATATAAGATGTAACGAATAAATAACGCGCGCGAGTTCGCGTAAATATACATACATAAAACAATGAGCATTTTCCAGAGGTACTGGTGACTGGCCGCTGGATCAATCGACCGTATAGAATAAAGCAACAGAAAGAAGAAAAGGGAGAGAATAACAAAAAATAGAGGATTACACATAAACATAAGGATAGAAAACAAAAGGATAGGAAAGGTTCGGAGAGAGAGATTTCAAGCTCAACAAAATTTTACAGTTAAATGGCGGACGTCGCAGGAGCTGTAGACAGGTATTGGCAATTTTTCTTCGAATACAAGATAGACTAGGTATTTTTTGTACATGGCGGTAGTCATAAGTGAGAGAAAGGGAGGAGATAATGAAGGAAACGAGAGAGAGTGAAGCGGATGCTAGTGGAACGAAAGGGAACATCGAATCGTTGCAAGAGAGAAATGCGAGAAACAAGATGGAGAGACTTTCTATGGTATGGATTAGCTTATGCCTGGGGTTGGTGGGCGCGATAAGCGATTTCATGGGCATCCTGCGGCAAACTTCTGGCCCATCCGTGTCCGCTGCTGCCGTAACCACCGCCGCCGCCGTAATCGCCACCGCCGTAACCGCCACCACCATGGCCGCCGTCGTCGTGGCTGACCACGTGGCTACTGCTGTGATGCGGATGCGAGACCACTTCGTAGGTCACGTGCTTTTGACCGCTGAGGAGCTTCTTCAGTCCGATGATGGCCGAGATCACGAGAGCAATCTTGCCGATGAGCAGGGCCTTACCGGCTATCAGGGCGATCGCGCCAAGTGCCAGCGGCAATAAAGCGGCCGCTTTCAAGGCTATGGCCATCAACAGAGGTCCCAAGATCTTCTGCGCCTTCTCTGCAAAGTTTCAAATATTTTAGCTTTATGGCAACGAACGCTTTTTATATTTTAAACAACTTTTTCAAAAAGAACTTTCTTCAAATAGCTTCTTCACAGTATTAATAATGTATTTATAATTGCATTGCGACTTTATCTCGCTTTAATTTCACATTAATAAGTGCTTTTAAAATGTATGTTTAATATAAAAAAAATGTTTTCTATTTCTGCTGGTAGATTCTTTAATTATGATTTAATAGTATGATCAATGTGATTAATTATCGTAAATATTAAGACGTTTGGTTTTGTGTAAAATAAAGCATATGTGTTCACATATTCATTTATCGGTAAATGTAGGATATGAATACGGGCCACGAAGGTTAATGCTATCATTATTTTCTCTTTACACTTCTGTGGAGAACGGGAATCTAAATACATCACGAGATGTAGTCAGTACATGTTAGAATATACGGTTTTGCTCCATGAAGCCCCTCAATTATCCTATTACGAGATGTACTATCAAGATACGTATTTTTATCAAACAACGAATAAATTACAAATGATATATAGTGATTTGTTTGAGCAAGAAACGCATATCCATTTCACGTACACTTCTTTTTATACAACTGTCTTGTAATTATACATAATTTGATAAAGATACCAATTTAGAATTATGAGAATGTGTTGGCACAAATTGAGTTAGAAGTTAGAAGATAATAACATCGCGTTGTATGTAATATATGGATACATTAAAAATGATCTAAAAAAATCGATTAAATTATTGTAAAAAATATTTCCAATTTTTTCTTAATTATAACATCATAATACAACGATTCAAGATAATATATATGAGTTTCAGATATCAAGATAATATATATGAGTTTGTATTTATAAATGACGTGATGTATAATCTCCTGAATAAATTTGTATAAAATATTAATTTTGCTTCATTTCCACGTGACTGAATTAATCACCGAATAACAGTACGAGCAACTCGCATAACTAGATGCTAACTCGAAATACAGCATGTATACGCAAGGTAAATCATTGTAAATTCGATAATAATAATGGTTCTCCGTAAATCACATCGCGCCAAATATGGAGACGCACAGTACTTTTAAAGTGGAATAACGCCGAAGGTCAAGGCGAAGTACCAAGATGGAAAGTATGTCAAAAATCTCGTTCGGTAGGATCTCTCTCTCTCTCTCTCTCTCGCTCCCTTTTATCTCTGTGTCTCTCTCCTGATCTTTCGATATCCCCGGCGCTTTCCTCCCGATCCTCTTCAGTCGAGGAGGTTCAAGGGGAAGCGGAACCAGTTCTTCAGTGGGTCAACGTCTGCGACCGGTATTGACTTCCTCGTCATCATCGTCGCGTGTTCACACACGACGACGATGAACGCCGAGAATTCTCGTACCGCAGCTGACGTTGGCCCGATAAACTCGTGTGATTACCTCTTCGGTATGCGAATAATTTATATCTTTTTCTTTTCTATTATGACTTTACACAAACATTTTTTTCAAAGCAAAACGTAAGTTAGCAACAGAGAGATTTATATTAAAAAAATATTTATATATTGAGAATAATTTAAATAATAAAAATATTTTTTAATAATATTTTAAATTTATATATTAATAATTTTATATATGTAATATTACAATAGATTATTTAAATATATAATATTATTAATAATATAATTAAACGATAACGTATACAAAATAATGATTTTTTTCTCATATTATAAAGCAATCACGATGACCAAGATAATTATTAAGTATGATATTCGAGCAAGCGTTCTAAACAACACGATGATTCAATTGATTGAAAACCTGATTAATAATTATTCAATTATTGCGCTAGTCTCACTTTCGATCTTTTATTTAACAAGTACAAGCGTAACGAAAATCTTTCACGAATAACAAAACATAATTAGAGACTAGAAACGCCACATCGTAACCGGTTTGGTATCACATCCAAGCGCAATTGTAAGTTAATATTCTTACATCACTGTCTCAGAGAATATACATAAATTTCAAATGATAATATACTCACTCTTTTTTCCACGGCTCTCGACGGCGTTATCGCTCAAGTCCTCGAAGCTGCGTCCAGCAGACTCAATCGCTCCCAAAATGTCGCTGCCCTTGAGGTCAACTTTAACGGAGTGCGTCCTTAGGAACCTTCCAAGACGATCGAACAAGAGCGTATCGAAATCGCTGGATTCGATAGATCTGGCAAAAATTGTAAGAATAAATATTTTCTAAGAGTTACAAACGGAATTCTCTTAATCACTAATTCCCTCTCTCTCTCTCTCTCTCTCTCACACAAAACAAGAACCAACCTAGGTGCACCCTCGCCCTCGGTGCTGGACGTCTTCACGACGGTGATGCCCTCGGACAGCGTAATATCCTCTTTATCGGCCAGCATCTTGTCGACGAAGGTGAATACTTTGTACTTGATGCAGCTGATGGACTCCTTCTTCAGACAGTCGGCATATATGGCCGACATCAGGTCGTTCTCACTTCCGCTAACCTTGTCGCTGGTCGGCAATGCCAGGGTCGCGGTCAACGCCGCCGACAGGCACAATAACGTCACGAAATGCTTGGCCATGGTGACCGAGTGCGACTCCACCGCGTTCTACGCGTTCTCGTGCGAACGATGAGCCGAGGATAATCGCGTGCGGTACGGTTCTCTTGGCTCCTTCGTGCCCCAACAACGTGCAGCCGCGTTCGTACGTATAGCCAGACACGCCAGGATGCGCCGATGCTGCCTCGTGTGTTACATCTAAAGAGGTTGCTTTGCTTTTATACCGAAGTATCGCACGAGGGGAGCCTTCGTGGGTTCGCGGGCCATCGCATTCGCATCGTACGCTCTCTCATCCCCCTCCTTTCGAGGCTCCTCTCTCATCACCCCCCACCCCTTTCTCTCTCTTGCTCTATCGAGTGTGTCGGGTACCGCGGGAGTTCCCCACGCTTCCTCCCCTTTCATCGACCTTTCCTCTCGTCAGCCCGTTTATTTCGGCAAGGTAAAAACTGCGGACCGTGAAGGAGAAAAAAAACGGAAGCTCGAGAGTAGGAGAAGAAGAAGAAGAGGAAAGATGAATATATAATAAGAGAATCTCACGGTACACATATATACATATATTCAGAATTCTTCAAACAGAATTAATTCTCGAAATAATGTACTATACATATTTTCATATTCTTCCGTTTTATCGTATTTATCTTCTTCGTATTTCATCGCCCACCTCTTCCTGCATTCAAGTCCAGCGTGTTCTCACGCTATGGACCTACTTTAAAACATATTAACTTGTGACAGAAGGGGAGCCCCTCCAATACAGTCCGAACCAGATTCGATGAGAGAAACTTACAACACGGTGGAAACCTATAGACATTCAGGACGACAGAAAAAGTATACGTGGGTCCTATATGATTTGCCGCACCACTTCACTCGTCTATATACCCGTCTATGATTATTACGAGAGTGTTGTGCGACTTGAATGACCGTAGCTCGTGCGGGAGTCCGCGTATGTGTCGTGCATCGACGTTGATTCGAGACGGCTAATCAAAAAATTCTGGTCAACTGCGAGATTCCACGATGGTCATTTTGCCGGTCTGCAATTCACGGAACGCGAATGTTTCTAGGGCTCATAAACCGAATTACAACTATTTGATATTTCTCTTCGTTTATTCAAATAATCGCAGAAGCTCCGCCGATCGCTCCAGATACTTTAGTTCAACGAGGTCGTGCAGTTTCGACAGATACACGCTTGTATTGATGATGAATCCGGCGGCGGATGCGATTCTACAACCTCCATTAGCAACGACTGGTGACTCATGTCTTGCTACTTCGGCTTGATTAATTCTTTGTAATAGAAGTGGCACGATGTAACATGCCAAGAGTTTAGATAGCCGGTTACGGTGCAATTCTTTTTCATTCTTCCATTTCCTTTACGTTATTTCTCTGACTACAATGGCGAATTGTACAAGTACAATGGAAATTATCTTGTCGCCTGATCGTTTAATTTTTATCTGGAAATTGCATTTTACGGCGATTACTTATCTATCGTCGTGTGTAGAGCTAAAACCACACGCGTATTCCATCGCAATTCGTAGTATATCAGAGCGACGATTAATTGTTGCAGGTGATATCTCTCTCGGTCCACCACCGAAAAATTCATCGACAAATGATGAAGACGAGATGTTATCCCTGAAACGAGGTCACTCACCTATTTATAACTAGGTCGAGAGTTGGGCGATCGTTTTGGTCTCTCTCTCTCTCTCTCTCTCTCTCTCTCTCTTATATCTGTCTCTCTTTCTCTTTTTCTTGCTCCTTTCCACGGTAACGACGTTCTCGATCCCGACTTCACTCGGGAAGAGATCAAGATCCCCCGGTACGCGAGAGCGAATGTCGCCTTGAGCGAAATCACACACCTGACGCGGTAACCCGGGTTCTTTAAAACTTCAAGCGAGATAAACAAGAAATTACTCTGCACCTTCTTAAACAAAAGCGAATGTCTCGCATAATTGAAAAAAAAATTAATAAACGACGTATTTAGCATTGTAGTTCATTCTAAAGATTATTCCAATTTAAATCAGCTTTTTTTCTATTATACAAATTATTGTATAAACTTTAAACATGTACAATAGAATAATCGACAGATATATCTAAATATATTTAATATTTATCTCTTTCACACAAGTACTTGACAAATTCACAGTGATATAAAATTAATTAATATATATTAGAAGTGCGTTAAAATTTATAAACACGTTTTTCATTTCTGAATCAGCGCACTAAAGCGTCAAAAAAATTGCCGAAAGTCTTCCATAAATTAGGTTTCTTAGGAATTGCCAGAAAATGCCTTAGGGGAGACAGAAAGAGAGATCGCGATGCTGACGAGGAAGATATGGAGAACCAGGGAAACCGGACTCGAGTGTCGCGATGTGCTCCTGTGATACCAATTAGTCAGCCGCGCCGAGAGCAATTAAGTGCGAGAGCGCCAATTAGATTTCGTTGTGGCAGATATACCCATTCCGTACGACAATGTGACCCTGGCCGTGGAACGTTGAAAGTTATGGGAAAGGTAACGGTTGCTCGGTGATTGTTTCGAAATCGCGGCGCTCGGTTAAGTTCAAGGTATACCAGCCGGCATCTCTCAAGCCAATCTGCAATCGTACTCGTGCACGTATGCACGTACTGTATGCGATATCAACACCTAATGCATAGCCGGCATGTGCCGAAGATATCATAGCTCATCTCACTAGAAATGCATCTCATGAATGAAGCTTATCTCGAAGAACATTGCACGTTTGGATGCGTAATGATGGAAGATTAGAAAGTAGATGAAGTGCGATGAATTCTCGCAAATTTTAAAACGAGCGACTTGCTAAACAAACGGAATCAAAATTATATTTTTTAATTCTTTTTTAAGTAATATTTTCATTATTTCTAATATTATAAATAAATAAATGCGTATTTTCGCGAATGTAACTTAAAATGTTTCAAGTTCTACCCGAAAGAAAATTATTGTACGCAAAATTGATCGTTATGCAAAAATGGCACGAAGAGATTTCTTTGTCCCGATGCAATGATGCACGCGTCTAACAATGTTTTAAGAAGTCGACCCGTCACTAGGAAATCTAGTAACCCAGTGACGCATGAGAAATTCTAAAAACTAATCATAACGTGAGAATCTTGTACCTGGATTTAGACGCGGATAAAAGACGCGTTCAGCATGGAACTTTACGACTCTCTAATAATGAAACGACGGACAAGTCGACGCTGCAAACGCGGAGAAATTCCGCTTTTGTGAGTTCGAAGAACGGCTTTATTCATCCGTTTGTACATCCGTGATAGGCTGCAGTGCCAATTTTCACATTTTTTAAATTTGTTCTATGCATGATTTAGTATAATTCTCAGAATTACAAAAGGAATATTATTTTCCTGATTATAAAATGTTTCACAAATCTATGACAGTATAAAAAATGGAGACATTAAAGTTGATTAATTTAACGATTAATTTAAAATTGACTAATTTAAAAGAAAAAATTATTACGTGGCAAGGATTAAAATATCTGTGTCATGCAAAAAAATGTAAAACAAAATTTTAAAAATTCATAGTATACTATAATATGAAATGGTAAAATTTACATAAGATAAATTTATGAAATAATAAAGAAAGGGAACTGTTTAAAATTTTCTTAAGACTCAAGACATTCATTCCAATCTTCATAGTATTAATATAGTTATATTACATCGTGTGCTCGGCCTTACCGCAAACGAAAGTAATTCCTCTTCCTCTCAAAGCAATTTCGCATCTTTTTCTTCTTTTTGGGGCAATGTCATGATTATCGTTGTTACAGAGAAGCGAGTAACGAAGCGTAACAATCGACTTTTTGCACTGGTGCATCCTTTTTCTTTGCAAAGCTCTATTTCTATGCATTTATTCGCATCTCGTGCAAATAATTTGTTTTCCGATGCATTTTATACATTTCTATTTCTTACTTATATGCACATTTCATTAAAGTATCCATAAATTAGAATCGCGTTATTCGAATCGAAGAAGAATAATAAAACAATAATCATACATTTTATTGTATTTTCCGACTTGTCCACTTATCTCATTTTTTTCTCGACATTCTAAAATAATGGAACCGGTATGCACATACTTATCTGTCGAAATTAAAATTCCTCTAACTGCATTCGGTGGAATTTTAGTACACGGCATGAAGAAGAAGCTATCTTGCCTCAACCTCCATTTTAGCTATTTATTTGTCTTCTACTATGTAGGACTTAAGGGGACATCAATTTCGAAACATTTAGTGTAGTAAGTCTGTCTCCTCGACCCGATTGAGAATGATGTACGCGAGTCGCGACCTCCTCTCGACCTCAAGCTTGAGGAAACAACTGACTACGACCGGATGCACCTGAGACATGCACTTTCCCCCGCAGTCACATGAAACGGCCGAGAGTCAGCCGACATTTCCATCTCGTCGGCTCGATTTCAAGCGGCCGGATGACTCGTCAAGGAGAGCGCAACAACTCGCGATACATTAACGATTTCGAATTTATTCTTTATGCAATGCGGTCGTCGCGAAGAGTTTCGCTCGCGGAAAAAAAAGGGAAAAAAATGTTTTGAATCTTCCTGGAAGACTGGAAAGTTGCGCCATTATGATGATTTCTCTTTTTCGAAGCTTCTCGCTTGACTCGTGAATGATTTGCGAATTCGACACCAAGAATGAAAACATAGTGAATAATACGCGAGACGCGCTCCTTTATTAAATTATTAGCGGAATCAGTTATCAAATCATTCACGTATTATGGATTGGAACTTTCACTGTTGATTAAATGAGAGAGAGTTCTTATTAAATTGATCACCAGAATTAACAGTTATCGTGTAGGTTATATATCATTTAACTTTTCGAAAATATGTCACTAGATGTATTAAGACATTTATTATAATCTAAGTGTGTGTGTGTGTGCATCAAATTATATATTTATCACGTGCAATCAGCTAATATTTTACGACATGGGAAAAAATCGGGAAAGGATTTCAATCATTGACACATTCAATTTTTTTTTATAAATAATATTAATGAACATGCATATTACAAAGCATACATATTCGTAAGGATGTAACTGTGTTGCATATACATCGTATTGGACTAGATGTAATCATGATTCATCAACTGCGTCTCAATTGAGTTCTGCTACAGATCGTAATCAAGCCGAAGCTCGAGCTAAAGTTGCGATGGCGAAGTCATCATAATATGTAATATTGCATATCTCTCGACGAATAATACAAAGACATAATTCACGACTTACGACTTCGCCGATCGAACGTATCGCGACGTAAGCTTCTCAGCTTAATTCGATTTTACGCTTTATCCGCTCGATCTATTCGCAAACGCGTATGCGAGCGAGAGATATTAATTTTATGTACATTGCGCGGAAGGGTCAGACGCCCTATTTACTATTAAATGATATAAATAAGAATAAATATCTCCATAAAATCGCGAACAATGAAGGATCGACGGTGAAGCTCGAGTCACTCGACTTTCGTCGATGTCTCGTTTTTCCCGTCGCTCATTATTCAATGAAAAAGAAGAAGAGGAAGAAGAAGAGTTACAGAAGATAACATCAACAAGGGAGCATCGTTAGTGATGGTGATATCCGGAGTACGCCTGGCTGTGCGAGTAAGCGTGAGGATCTTCCCAACCGGAAGAGCTGCCGGAAGACCATCCATTGGATACGGGAGCGGACCATCCACCGCTCACGGGACCAGACCAACCCCCAGATGAAGCGGGTCCGCTCCAGCCGCTATTGTAAGCGGTAACGTCGTGGTGATAGCCGCCGCTCTTCTTCGCCCAGAGAGCCTTCAAACCGATAAAGGCAGAAATGGCGAGAGAAATGAGGGACGCGAAGATCGCCTTTTTCGCTATGATAGAGATGGCGAAGTACGCGAGAGTCATTAAGAGACCGATCTTCACTTTCGCGGCAATTAGGATAGGTATGAGCCCCTTTATCCCCTTCTTTTTGCCTCGACCTAAAATGAGATCAAGAGATTTGTTGAGAAATAATTGCGTAAGAGATGCATGTGTAATAGCAAATTAATTTTATCATCGATACGCGGTAATCGTGTCTATCAATTTTGACATTACCTTCGACAACATCGTCGACGGCTTGACGAATCTCTGGTGGCACAGACTCGCTGATGGCACGAGCCGAGTCACGGATTTTTTCGAAGGCGGGTGCAAGATTGATCTGAAAGAATCAAATTTAAATTTAACCACCCTATATTTACGTCGATTGCGTAATTATAAAATAATTGTCAAATTTTTGTATTAATTATCGTAAACGTATTGCGTTTCACTGATGTAGAAAATACTTGATTTACCCTGAGGCTGCGACCGGACAAGAACTCTCCGGCTTCATCGCTAATAAAGTTCTCGAGGGTGTTTTGTCTCTCGTTGATATCGTTAGCGGCGTCTATCTCTTGATCGTACGCGAGTTCCTTGCCGGATCTAGCACTCCTGTCATCGGAATGACTTTTCACAAGGCTCACTCCGTTCACAAGCTCAAGTTTATCCTTGGCGAAGAACTCCTTGGCGGTTCTGTACAGAGTTTTCTGCACGCAGGCTATGCTGTCTTCCTTGAGGCATTCGTCGATGCTCTGTCCGGCGATTAGGACGACGGACGCGGTCGTCAAAATCAGCAGCTTCTTCAACATCTCGGTGACTCCGTGCGAAAAGTTCCACGAAAAACAAAGTTAACACCAGATCGCGGCGCGACGCGTTCGATAGATCTACGATAGTTAGATCTCCCTTTCCGAAAGCCGTTCCGTGCGTAGTGAAATTTCGTGTGGTCCATCGGACAATCTCTTTAGCTTTATATTTGGCGGGCCCCTCCTTTACACCGTCTCCACCGTTGTGACCGCCCCACTGCCTTTTTTTCTGTCCATTTGACGTGCGTGGATGCGTAAGCATCGCGTGCGTCGCGCATCCGTTTAACCGGCACATCGCCGATGTATAGATGTGTTGGTTCAATAGACGATAGGTGTACCTATGACGAGGTTCGACCACGCCGCCAACCGCGATGCGACCTGCGACCTACCTACGGCAGAGCAAATAGAGGCCGGGTGTGTAAAGGAGCTACGAGGGACAACGCCTTCATCAGTAGTAAAAACGCTTTCTTCCAACAATGTACTTCTTAAGCATACGAGAACAATTTTTGCATTGTGATATGTGTTACATATGCAATATCTTTCATCGAGCACACGTTGAATATCCGGTCAAAAATGCGAGTACAACGCATAGAGTAATAAAATAGAAATACTTCTGGCTACCTCAAAGAGCCACTCTAATGCTGCGCGGTTGGGTTGTAAAGGATAGAAAATAGCACGCACATATTAAGTGTGTACGATATTTCTATTTTCGTATTTATGGTATAGGATGACATTACTTATCACTTAAATTTAGCACGTTAACAGAACTTGATTTTTATAATAATGGGAATTTAATAACATTCTTGTCGGATATCAGAGAAATTATATTTCAAAATTGCTACCTGTATCTCTTATTATAAAATAAAATAAATGACTTGCTTATGTGATGTCTTAAATCTTATGACATAACATACAGTATATATGTGCATAATTGGTTTATATTGGTTATGAATACTTATTGTAAAAAAAAATATAAATTATTAATGCCTGCAGAAATAGACTTATCGTGGATTGGACTCACGATATTTCCGCGTGTCCTGATTACTTTGCATACTTACGTATGCAAAATCGAAAAACGGATGGGACCCGAATTTCAAGAATGTGTTAAATCTCATGTAAACACACTCGCGAGAAATCGTCGTTTCAATGATTTTAAATTCCAGTTTTAATACTAACCGACTTTGCATACATGTCAACGCGTATTTTTTTTCCATTTTGGTAGGTATTTATTATCATATTCAATGAAAGACAATAAAAGATGGGAAAGGATCTTCAGCGTATCCATTTTAAGCCAATGTTACTTCAACTGGATAGAAAGCGTAGATGAATTTCATTTTGAAGAACCAGTTGCAAAGAACACGTGGCAGTAATGCATTCATTATGGTTTTCTACAAATAGCAATAAACTGTATTTAATTAACTCAGTATTGCAGTCTTTCACATCATACGTAAAAAAAAAAAAAAAATAGGAACGATAGCGAACGAAATAGCCGTACATATTAAACGTGACCTCTGCGTCTGATTAGATCCCATACTTTTACTACTGAAAACCTCATTTGGGTAAATCGAGAATGCGTAGCTCGTATCGTAGCTACAAGCAAGTTGCAGCGTAACGAGCGATAAAGTAGCTAAAGTAGCTCAACTAGCTTCGTCATTAATTCGAAAGACGTCGATTGTCATTATACAGTTCAAGGGGAAAAGCTCGAAATTATCGTACTCTCTCCTCGTAGATGGATTCTTCGACGCGGATACAAGACACGATCCGGTATGAATGAAAGAAGAAAACTGGTATAGATCACAAATTCAAACATCCCGGATCCAACCTTCATCGCGCCTCATCGCGGACACCACTTTCTACTCTGACCCTGCGACTCTCACGCGGACCACGCTCTGACGGATAACGCCTCTTGTCGTTTTCATTCCGTTCCTCCCGACCTACCGAGAAGGTGCAAAGCACAGACACGCAACAATCAAGCAAATTCTTTGTATGCAGCGAGCATATACGCGCGGCGTGGGGTTCAAATTTCAAGAAAGTGAAACCGCGTAGGTGGTCTGCGAGATATATAACAAATACATATACGTGTTTCATTTTATATACACATCATGGGGTGACTCATATTAAAATAAAATTGTAGACAGATTTCTCTTAATTTTACTTCGGAAGCATTATGCGATTATATTAGATGTTTTTACATATATATTTTTCTTTTTATGCTATATTTTTATTATTATAATAAATATATTTATAAATATATTATGACAAATGCGAAAATAGAAAATATAATTAATCTGATTGTCTATAAAGAGAGATACAAAAATGTGAACATTTTATATACACATCATGGGGTGACTCATATTAAAATAAAATTGTAGACAGGTTTCTCTTAATTTTACTTCGGAAGCATTATGCGATTATATTAGATGTTTTTACATATATATTTTTCTTTTTATGCTATATTTTTATTATTATAATAAATATATTTATAAATATATTATGACAAATGCAAAAATAGAAAATATTAATTAATCTGATTGTCTATAAAGAGAGATACAAAGATGTGAACATATGATTACAACTCTTTATAAACTTTCTTAAGATTTGCTTTTTGTTCATTGTGTATATATTACACATTACGACTGTAACTTTCCTTCATCATTTACATATTCGATAAAAAGTGCGATTACTCGGGAAAAGAAGAAGTGAAAGAACTTCATACACACTATTCGCTCTATGTCCATTCTTCGCAATTATGATTAAAAGTCACACGCGTTTCATCATTAATGCACACGCATAATTATTACGGAGTAACGTAGAAGCGACTCTCGTCTTAAACTCGGTCGATAATTCCTCTCAGCTTAAGAAGGGATTCAATGAAAAGCAAGTTCAATAACAGCAGTTCCCATTCCCGACCTTGCGTCAGTGCTCATTCATCTTTTCTCGGTCATTGGGTAGCGCTCAGAATCCTTTCGTCGATCCTTCACTCCCATCGGAAGAGCAAGCCTTAAAAAGTAAAAACCAAAGTTTCTCCTTTACGCTCAACGATAGCAACGATCGTTAAGCTGCGGATACGCCTATCGCGGTAAAATCACTATGCTTTGCACGTGGAGTGCCTACGTTGTAGATCAAACGTATGATTTTACTCAGTGAAACGCGAATTAAAGACGGATACTTCCCATTAAACAGATTACGCTAACTCTCGCTCTTGTCATGTAAATTATTATTAAGGCGTTACATGGATTAAAGCAATGTAGGATAACTAGCGAGAAAAAAGAGAAAAACTTTTATTAAACCGTGCTTTTTCTTACAGACGTATGTCGCATCACAGGTTTATCAAAATACATGTAAACGATGCATTATATGTCAATGTAAGATGTGTATGCACGTATGTATGTATAAGACAGCTGTATTTATTTTTCGGATAATTTATTTATTTATTAATTTATATTTTAATTTATTCTATGTAAATAATTAAGGTTTTTTATCTCTCTAAAAATTTCTAGTCTATCTATTCTTTCTCTATCAATTTTATTTTCATAATAATTAAATTAATATTTATATAATATTGAAATATAATTATAGTTATTTATAGTAGTATTTATTTATAGTAATTATAGTTAGTTACGTAGCAGTTATTTATAGTAATTATAGTTATTTATAGTTATTTATTAGGATAATTCTGAAATCATAGCTTTAATAAAACGTTTGAATATCGTCAATCGTAATTATATTAAAGATATTCGTCGACTTTCGAAGCTCACGGTATTTTTCCAGATATGCTAATGGATTAAGATGTTCTCACGGTATGTAGAATTCGACGAACGGAAACAGAACTGCTCAAAAAATCGTATCCATTTAAAGGCAATAAATGTTTGTGTATAAAAGTGCATATACAATCGTTTCTTGCCCTAAATCGCAAAGGATTGCGTAGCGGTTTTCGATATTCTAGTCTTCAAACTCTTGTCAGAAACTAGTTTAATGTCTGTCGATGAGCTGTGCTAGGAATTTCTGATGCAATGTTCGATTGATTCTACGATGCCCACAGACCATCCGACATGGCGCACGACCTGAAAAATCGACCGGTAGCTGAGGCAACTCGAATTTGAATTTTAAATTTTCTTACGAGAGGTTCGTAATGAGCGTGGAATGTAACGGGGCACTCTTCCGCGTCCAACTGGTTCTTCTCATCTATGGACCATAACGTGGTACGTGTGCCAGAAAAGGTGATATTAACCCTTACAGTACTAAACATATATTGTAACGCTATTCGAATAAACTATACATTTGATGTTATTGACAGAGAAATCGCATTTATATTCATGATTAATGATATTATGATGTTATATATTAATGAAAAAGAACCTAGAAATTATGTTTCGTCATATATAACAATAATTGATCAAAAGAAATCTCGATAGTCGACAAATATCTTTAACATATAATTAAGATTGTTATTCAAACATTTTTGAAGCTATTTTCAGCTAAATTCAGTAATTATTTTACTATAATTAACTATAATTATTTCAATATTATATGAATATTAATTTAATCATTATGGAAATAAAATTGATAGAGAAAAAATCGATAGACCATATATTTTTTAGAGAGATAAAACAACTTAATTATCCACATAGAATAAATTATTAAATATAAATTAATAAGAAAAGTACAAAGCAGAGAAAAGTATTGTAAAAGTAATAACAAATAGGACTCACTTATTCTTTAGAAGAAATTGATCAAAAAATCAAAGTTATCAAAAAGAATCAAAAGAAAAACAATGAATATACTCTTTCGTCGATCATCGCCTTCAAATTAATTATAATTCCATTTTCATTGTTACTAGATGTAACAAATTCAATAATTCAATTATTTATCCATATAATACAATACCTTCGATGAAAGTAGCATTATAGCGACGCGAAAATGTGAAAAATAAAGTGTATGCGACAGAGATAATTATGCTTTTAGCGACAGAACATTTTGCAAAACGTGCGATTCGGAAAATCTGATCGACGCAACGAATGATAAAATCTCAATCGCATTTGACATAAACGGAATTGCAGCAAGTCGCATCGCTAGGCTGCGCTAGCGACCGGCTTCGCTCGAGACTGCATCGCCGTCTGAGCCGCTTTCAATGCGGCTCTCCAGGTTTTATGATATTCGAAACGTAAAAAAGGAAACGATCGGTATGTATGCCAGTGGGTCTTATAGCCTGAGCTCTTTTTCCGTCCCCTTCTCCACGTGGAGAAAGAAGGAGCCGCAGGACTTACAGTGGGAGGAATCCAACGTGGAGATGCATAGTGAGAGAAAGAGGAACTGTTCCTCTTACATCTCGCTGTCTGAGCCTTTTTTTCCCATCACGCGACTCTCCTTTATCTCTCTCTCTCTCTCTCTCTCTCTCACTCTCTCTCGATGTCTTCTCTTCCAATTCAGCTCTGCATACGGGGAAAACGGATCAAAAATGGGTATCGATCTGTATCGGACATATTCTCGCAATTCTTTTTTTTTTCTTAGCAAACTTTTCTCGCACAAATCGCTATATTTCAGAACACGAACGAATCTGGATTTCTCTTAAATCTGGATTTTTTTTAAACATCAGTCACGCATTATTAATCGGATTTTTTTGCGCAATGATGTGTCTTCGTTCCTCATTAGGAACCGCATACCTAACTTTCGACTTGCGCGCTCTCTATCGCCGTTAATCCACTTAAGTGTAAACTATTATTAGTCTTACATCGTTGTAACGAACGTTAGTTGGGTAAACGCGCATCCACACGCAGGTGAATATGCAACATACGACTCGGCAGGTCGCTGGCACACTTTCCTCATGGCTCGATTCGTTACCTCGTTCCTGCGATTTTCCAATGTTCCGTGTGCGAGCAAACGGGAAACATCGCGTCGACTTCAGGCTCGATCCAGCGAACCGCATCGTTTCATTCTCAAGTCTATTATCTCCAAATGGCTTATTAATTTCTGACGATAACGACATGTTACGCAGAGGCTCGTCCGAAAATTATGCATTCAATTCTGCCTCCGTTTAAATAGATTTCGTCATTTGTACCTTATGTCTTTGACCTATATATTAAAATAACGCTTTGTACATGATTAATAATTAAGAATGCTAATTAATAATTAAAAATAATTATGTCATTAATATTATTATCGTGAGAGAAACATGAAATAATCGCGAACCTCGAAGATCGAGATGGTAATAAATACAAACACGATGTATGTCGTATATTCCAAACACGTTTGCTTTTATTAACATGTGTCGCACACAACAATAAATACGTGTGTAAAAAATAAAAATAATAAATAAAAAAATCCAACAAAATTACTTTGGTTTTTCTCGGTGCTGCTCCGTGATATAATTTCACTGAGAATTTTCTTGTCGAAGTAATAGATCAATAGGAATCGATCATCGCATTTCTCGCGAACAAACATTTGTTAAACATCACTTTCTAACCATGGCTGTCAATTAGTCTCTTTGTCACTGTCGTCTCGTCGGTGTCACTGTCACTAATTTCGCGTCACGTTACGTCGTCGGTCAATTTCCAACGCCTATTAACCCTCCTGTCGCTATCGTTAACGTTTAGTTTTATAGCCGAGAAGATATAAAAGCCACGTTGAGAAAAGTGCACGTTGCGCTAAATGAATGAGAGAGACGATGATGAAAGGACAATGGATATGATGTGACTGAAATGCAACTTACACGTAAACACAATATTAACGCGCCAATATCAACGTGGTATATGTCTAGCCGTATCTATCCAAATAAATTTTTAATAACGACGGGAGAGTTAAGAGGCTCGAGAATCAGTTTAGTTTCTGCGATCAAAGTGTTGCAATTCGCAAAGGTATCAGGATGTTCGCAAGTTAGCGTAAAGATTGGCGTATCCTCTGTAAGGCAACAGCGTGGCGTCGTCGTCATCGATTGATCTCTTCTTACGATGATGATGGCCAACTTCTTGGGCGTAAACAACATGGTGACCATGATCCTCGTGACCACCCGCCAGTTTCTTCACGGCTATGATCAGTGACAGCATCAAGGCCATGGCCGAAACCATCAACGCCTTCATGGCCAAAAGACCCAAAGCGCCGAAGCCCATCGCGGCCATCATCTTACCTAGATGAGTTAGGGAAATATGGATCTTCTAGATTAATTGGAACTTAACTTAACAATAGAACATATAACGTAAGATTATGTCGAAAACGTAACCGTTACATAACAATACGTAATGATGATTAAACGTGTCTTAACAATGTACTTAATTATGCATGGATCACATTAAGTATAACTAAACGAAAATTTTAAAATTATATTTTGAAAATATTTGATTATTATTAATTATTAGACTCGTGATTGTGACCGATTAATCGATTAATTCGAAATTGGTAAACCGATTGTAATATTCAACTAAAACTATTAATCGATTAATCACCGAAACTGATTAATCATTAATCGATTAAAATTTTTTTCAATTACTTGTTATTTTATTAGAATTTTATAATATGTAACTGTGTAGTGTTGCAATGTATGTAATCTTCATAAAAATTGATAATTGATTTTTTTGATCTGATCTGAATAAATTTGCGTTTGATGCAGATTTTTTGATTTGGGAATGTGAGACTTAAGCATATCTTTGAAAACAATGAATAATTAATTAATCGGAAAATCGATTAATTGATAAACCGATTTAAAGATAATTATTAACTGTAATCAATTAACCAATTAATCAATTTTAATCAGCACATTTATTTCTAATCAATTAATCGATTAGTCGAATTAATCAATAATCACGAGCTCTAGTTATTATTATTATTATTACTAATTCGTTAAAAAAATGTATATTAAAACTAAAAAAAATATATATATTTGTATAAAATTAAATACAATAATTAGATGCACGTAATTAATATCATCATGACGCGCAATCTTTGAAGAAGATGTGCAAAATATCTACACATTAAAATTGAACATTACTTCCTACACAATCGGTTGCGCATAACCATCTCTTTACGTAATACTAATCACATTCATAAATGCTTACCCATCATAAGAGCCATTAAAATGAGTCCGCCGCCGCCGCCTTTCTTGCCACCTTTGCCGCCACCTAAACCGCCTAAACCTCCGCCGTCCTTCCTCGCTGCAAAATACAAATTTTCAGAAATCCTCGTGAGATTCTCACATAACGAACGCGTCATTCGTACGTTACCGTAACAAATGTTACCAACCTTCGGAATCGGAAGGCAAGCTCTCCCTCAACGCAGACTCCATATTCGGGGGCAATAAGGACGGCAGCTTGACTCTGAGTTCTCTACCTTCAGGAATTGAACGAAAGGCCCGAGACTCCCGAAACCCTTCAACACTCGGGCTTTCCGAACGGAGCCGGGTATCTCGACCAAGGACACGCCGTCGAATAGCTCGATGTTCCGCTCCTTCATGGTGTTCTCCAAAAACTGCTGTACGATCTTCCGTACGATTCGCACTCCGTGGCAAGAGACCGAAGCGTTCTTCGAGTCGTCCGTCACGCACGACGTCGAGAATCCGGTCCACGCGTCCTTGGCGTTTTCCGCAGTGGCCGCGTCGATGGTGTCGACGACCCACAACGCGCAGATCACCAATGTCAGACAAACGTGCAAACGCCGACGACCGATTCCCGGCATGCCTAACCAAAGCATGATTTGAACGGAAACGAGGATCACGAAAACGAAAATGTCTGGGCTCCGCCGTCGAAGACCACCCTGGGGTCCTGCTCTCCCTTTCGCGTCTTTGGACTGTCGTACGGAAAAAAAAATTCGTGAAGGGAATCCCGCGTGTAATAATATACGCAGTGAAGCTGCGGAACCTACGGCGGAGGTTCAAGTGCTGCAGTCTAAGAGCTTACAATTCCCATTTATATAGATCTACTTGACGGTCGGTGATTGTACTAAGAAAAAAGCAAGGAGAGCAAGCATCGGTACGGCGGCTGCCGTTCTCTGCTCTTGCTGTGCATTAGCCGGTAATTTTTCGTTCGCCTAGACGTCGGTCTCTTCGACGATTCGTTTAATTCTTATTTGCAAAGCGTTTCAGAGCGTTACAGTGCGGTCGGCTGCGAGAGTCCAGGCTCTCCGCAATCATCGATACGGATGACGCCTTTTCACGCCTTTTCTTCCCTCCATCGCTTGCCTCTGGCCTGAAGCCAGACGTAATCCTGACGAGTCTAGAGCGGGGATACTCTTTAATGCCATTCTAGATCACATACTATCGGCCTCCCGGATCGTTCAATGTATACACCGTGCGTCTCTTCCCTGACTCCGGTTCGCCATCCTTTCTCTCCTTCCGCGCTTTAGTGAGCGGAAGAGAATCGTGCCAATTTCGAATCGCGAGGCGCGTCTCGGACAAATAATAATACACGCAAGCGTATAATGATACGTCGGAAAGTAACGTGGAATTTTTGCGGGATCTACACCGTCTCGAGCGAATTATTGCCGATCTTTATTCCGATCGGTAGATCGTGTCAACGTACACGAGGACGACAACCTGATCGACCTCTCACGCGCGGGGACACAATGTGAGAGAGGTGCGAATATGTATATGGGAAAGGAAGAAGGTCTGGTGCGCTGGCGAGGAAAAAGAAGAGAGAGAGACGCAGAAACGTATCGTGGAAGAAAAAAAGAAGAGATGACTTAATCCACAAATCTAGTTCATCTCTCTCTCTCGTGCCTTTCTCTTCTGTTCCACTTCCCCTCGCTACTACTCGATACTGCGATATATACGGACGCAAAGGCTGGTAGGTATAACTACAGCCGATTCGAAATCATTCTCCCGTTCATCAGGACGACTCGATCGCATACGGACGATCGACTATATAAACTGATCGCGTAGCTCCAAAGGTCGCACTCGAGAGATCTCATCGATTAGGATTAGTCCTCGGAATTCAGGCAGCGATCGCACGTATAATACTTGCCAAGTCTGCATACGTCGGACATGCGGCATGTTATAGTTTTAATTAGTGCGTACTATGCTCTGTTTAATTTAAAGCGCAAAATTTGCAACTCTTCTATATATATATAACATATTTACATAGTATTTCGCTCTATTCATAAAACAGATTGAGGTTCGTTACAAATTTATCGCCCGATAAACAGTATATATCCGCCTTAAAAGCTTAAGAGGCCGTAACAAAGCCGTGTTATCGTGATACCATCTATCGCATATTTAGAGATTTTTTTAAACGCAATCTCGCTACACATCACTTTATTCGATTTGTTTGATTTAATTTTCTCTACGTTTGATAAAAATGGCAATTGAATTTGAAATATTCTCTTTTTTTAAATTAATGCGATACATTTCTAGATTATAATAATAAAACATTTATAGATTAAATAAAAAAATACTATCGATATTAAATGATGCGATCGATTCAATTTAAAAAAATAATAGTTTACCGCTTTAATAAATTAACATGAATTTAATATTATTTTGAAGAATATGAATTATAAAGCTATTTATAAAATAAATTTTCATTGTAATAACAAATTTTTTATAATAAACCGATTTTCACCATTTTGTTCCGGTGTTAATTTCTCCAATCTGTAGGTTAATTGCGTTTCAAATAAACAGGAATCCAGGTTACTGGCAATGATTGACCCACATATCAGAAATCAACGGTTAATTCCATATCCGTCACTTGCCTTCTTCTTTTTCGATAACGAAGTGTTAATAATTTAACTGACGACAGATAGTACTCGATTGAAATTATATCAATAATAAACAGTTATTGGTAATGATAGTAATTAAGAGAATACATTTCAAAAACATATTTATTAGCAAATACCAGAGCGATATCCGTGTACGATCGAGGTTTCGGACACACCAAACTTTAATTTCTTCTCCGCACGCGTGTGCGTGAACGCTTTTCGAAAATAAAATCAAGTAAAATAAAGAAATTGGGTCAAATCCGTATCCCCCCTGTATGTTGAAAATCGAAAGTCGATTTCCTGAACGGTACAAGATGAACGATTTTCTCTTTCTGCCACACCGTGTTTCTTATCTCGCAGGTATCTCCCTTCTGATCCTTACGGATCAGGATGGAGAAAGCGGACGTAGGAAAGGAGGCCGACTTGTTTGAATGAGAATGTTTGGTGTATCACGTGGTCCAGACAATTTCCCCTGAATCCGGTAGATGTGCTTACTTCCTCTCCAAATAAAATTCTATAATATTAAATAGAAATAAAAATATAAATATAAACAATATATAAATTATATATAAGAAAATGTAAAAATAAAATTATTTGTTATTATTTTTATTTTATTTTTATTACAATAGATAATTATTGCTATTATATTGTATGTGCTATTAATCGCAGAAAACAATGTTGAATGTACAGTAAGTTATAAAAAACTTGTAGTAATAATAACTTCAAAAGATACGCATATTATGCTGTATACAATAAGCTGGTTAATATATAATCACACGTCTGGTGTTAAAGTCCCGCTAAGATTCGTAAACCGTAACGTTGCGCTTGACATTTAATATTTTCAGTGATTTAATTGCCCAGAGAAATCTTTATGTAAGAATCTCACGTAACAAAAAATATGCTACTTTTCTTGTTAAACTGTGCGTATGTGCGTACACACACGTGCGCGCATACGCACACACACGCACATATACAATAAGATTAAAATACTATACATTCAAATTGTAAGAGAATTGATAAATGTATAAAATTATTTACTAATAAAATTCTCTTATCGGTTGTTATACTTGTATAATTTTTATTAATTATTAGCATCCTAATCACATCATTAATTAAGTTTTGAATTTTCTACACACTTGCAATTTTAATTTACCGTTATAAAACTAACGAAATGAATCGTCTGGATGTGAAATCGCGAAAAACTTTTATTCTCGCGTCTATATGATGCTTTATCCTATCCGGCCTACAAGTCGCCTTAAATAGACCACAACTAACGATCGTAGCTAAAATGCTTACCGCACATAGTAGTATCGTTTGTAACGCTGTTCATAGCTGTATTGTTCGTAAAAACTTATGTTTAGTCAATGCGTAGTTGTGCGTATCCGTCTCTTACTCGAAAGTTGTTTCACCGGAAATATTGATTATTCGTGATTAAAAAGGAGGACAATCTTAAATTTAATGTCAAATATTAATTTTCACAGTTTAAAAATAGTAAAATTTATGGAATTGCAATAATAAATCACAATTATTATTTCTGTTATACTATGTTGTATTAAAACGTATAATTAACAGTTATATGATCATATTTTGCTGCTGTAATAAAAAGCGATGCGTGTTATTTATTTTATAGGGTTAAATAAAGTAAATGTGAATCACAGAGAGGCGTCCTGAAAAATTTTATTAAAAAAGATAAATCTATTATAGATGCTTTAATGTCAAAATCTTGTTTTGATAATTCTTTGCATAAAATTAAAATTCTCTTGTTTCCAATTTCTTGTTAAAAATATCCAGATACATAATAACGTCACACAAAATTATTGTCATATATAACGAAGATATAAAAATAAAATTATTTTATCCGCTTATATTTTTATAATAATAAGTGTGATAGACAAGTGCAATTCTAAAAAATATAATAAATATATTTGTTTATATAAAAAAATAATATAAAAAAAATATTATATAAATTATATATCATACATTTTGCAGTCTTATTAATCAGACACAATAAATTAAATGCATATGATATAAAAATAAATAAAGCATAGTTATACACGCGCTTAATATTGCTATTATTTTCATTATTTTGGCGTTGTGTGCGTCTGAGTTTTTTCTGTTAAAAACTAGAATATCTACAAGATTGTATATACTCGTCCGTCCATTCTGTCAAGCAGATTGCTACAAGACTCTCTGTTGAAGAGACATGTTCTATTTTAATTAATAATCCGCAAATCTTCAAATTATTTACATAAAATTTATTATAGTTTATGGATTTACTAATTAATTTACTATTTACGAATTATTTATTAATTATATTTTTATATAGAATTTTAGAAACACACTTCACGAGAGAGATTTATCACAGTCTAAAATTACATCTTTAAAGCAAATCTTCAAAAAGCCTGTTAGAAAAACTGAAACGATTCCTAAGCCTTTGGTGTTATATTATTTTGTTTAAAGTTGAATAATATTTAGTATCAAAAGAGTGATTTGTTTAAAAGTAATTTTTAGTTTAAATATAAAATATAAAATATTCAATCTCAAGAAATATTATTATAAAAGTATGAATAAAAAATAAATAATTAAGAAATGAAGTAAAGATTAGAGCACAATTATTAGAAAAGATAAAGATTAATATGCATATGTTTATGTATGTATGTGTACATGTATATTTTCATTTAGCTTTAGAATTTTCGACAAATCATATTCAGCGCTATTTTATAATTATTCAATGGCTGAATATGATTTGTCGAAAGTTCTATATTCACTTGAGACAATCAGACAGTTTATAGTGCCAAATATGCAAGCCAAAAGTAGAATAATCATATTGAATATTTAATGCAAATGTAGATCTAAATTCTCGAGATATCACAGATTCAAGTACAGAGCCAGAAGAATAACAGCGCTCGTGTTTAATCTGATGTCCTACTGACGAGAGTCTCGCAGTATCCGCAATTATCTATAAGTAGAGTCACGAAAGTAGGTAAAACTCTTGTAATGCGTATCTTTCACACATCAGAGATATCTTGTCTACCAACTTAAGTATGCGTAATCTGTCCTGACGTCGTCGTCGCTGTGCGTTGTTGACGTATTCATGCGTCCTGTTGTTTGTCTCGGCCGGAAAATTCGAGCATGTCGATAGTAAAGGAACAGACCACGTCTGCTGTACTAGAGACAGAGTTAGAGGGTGCAATGATAATGAAAAATGAGAAAAATGAAAAAGAGGAAAGAGAAAATTAAAAAACTAATAGTGCGAATAAATACTATGGGGAAAATTCTAACTTCTACGGAAAATTCTCAAGAATAAACGGATCCTAGGACGTCGCACTTCCCATCTCAAGCAATCTCGCGCGATCCTTGGATCCCTCCCGACAATTAAAAATGATTCACTTTACGTGCGCCGAATAAGCCAGTTCGTGGGCGTCCGGTGGTCCGAAGGTCGGCGATTTTTCTTGGAAACTTCTTCCCCATCCGCTGGAATAGCTGTCGCTGTGACCGTGTTCATGATGGGGATGTGCCACTACTTCATAGGTCACGTGTTTTCCTTGCGAGAAGAGCTTTTTCAGACCTATGATAGCAGCTAGTAGAAGAGCGATCTTCGATAAAAGCAGAGCTTTGCCGACCAAGAGGGCGAGCGCTTTGAATGCGAGACCACCGATGAGGCCCATCTTCAAGGCAGCCGCGGCAATCAACGGGCCCATGTTGTTTTTCTTTCCACGACCTGTACAAGGCGAAAGAAAAATAACGTCATTGTCACTTTCGGCGGAGTTAACCAAGCAGTGGACGAAGAGAAGTGGCGCGACATGCATAATTGTACTTTCCACGCGGAAAGCAATAAAGTTCGGTGATAAGCAGATGAATGAGCGGATGAATGAACCAAAGGAGAAAGCTATTTGTTTATGCAGTCGATGACACAACTTTACGCGCGCGAATACAGCGAAAATTGAAACCAGTCTAAAACCTGACACGTCATTTAAATATACAAGGTATGCAAGGTGTTCGATGAATAGCTGAAATGATACTCTTTATTCAACACTGACATAATATTTCCTTAATAAGAATGCCAAATCATTAATAATTTCTAAATAATTTAAATAAAAGAAGTTTGAAAATTAAATTTAAAACTTTACAAATATTTTCAATGGATTTTGAGCAAAATTTTACTCGAACAAAATTTGAAGCATTTAGTTATGTCGAATTTTTTAAATATATGATGTCTAAATAAATTTTAATAAAAGAAAATTTAGTATGCTTTAAATACGTTCGCTGCAGCTTAGTGAACACCCTGATTTTAACTACTGAATATCTTGATTTTTACCAAATCTGCGTATTCGATGAAAAAGTCATTCGTGAACAAATTCAAAATTATAATTACCGTCTTGAATAGGTCTGTCAGAGCGCTCGATAGATAGGCCCAAGTTTAAAGAGCCAGTCTCATCCTCCGACGCGGACACAACAATATCATCCTCGGGCAAAATCCTCCATTTGATGCTTCTCGATTTGATGAAGGCGTAAAATTTATTCGCGACGAGATCGAGAAATTGACTCTCATCGTTCTTGCTTCTACCGGCCTCGAACGTGATCACATCCTCCGACGTCTGGCTCGTCTTTCTAATCTCGATGTCGTCCGTGAGCTCGATCGAGGCCTTCTTCAGCAACTTGTTCATGTACGTCACCAACTTCAACATTACGCAACTGCTGATGTCGTTTTGGGAGCATTTCGAGTTGAGCTTACGAAGAAGTTCCTCTTCGTACTTAGCTCGATCCGTCAGCGTCACAGACTGCTGCTCGAGGACGCTTATCTTCTCCTTCTTCTCCAAAGGATTTGCCAAACATACTCCCAGGCAAAATAATGCCAATACTAGAGTTGTCTTCATGATGCTCTTCTGTAGAAACATTGTACAATATAAATTCATTTAAGCAAAGAGACAACTATAAATTCTACGATATCTCAACACTTTTTAATATTGATTACAGTTCAATCAAAAGCAATTTAATATGCCTAACAAAGTAAAACATTTTATTTGTGAAATAAAATTTAATTATTTATAATAATACTAAAATAAATAAAATAAATTACACAGAAAAGCATAATGATTGACGCGCGGCAAAATACAACTGCAAAAAAAAATACTGCTCGGCAAGATGCAATTGTCGATGCGCGTTCCTTCGAGCGACGCGTATGAAGGAGCACGAATCGAGTCCAACATTCAGTGATCCACAAATAACGGAAATGATAAATTGACCCACCTGGACCCGAAGCCACGAAAGCTACAGGGGCGCGAGGAAAGGGAAAAACGTGGTATGCGGCAAAAACTTGCGGCCCTTCTCTCTCGATTAACTGGTTCGCAGCAAAAGCAGTAAAAGCCCTTCCGATGCGCTCTCCTCTGTTGTCAATCGCGATACGTAGATCGTGGAGTAGAACTAGGCTTCTGAACCCGCGTCTCGCCCCGACGACTTTATATACGTAGATCACCGGCTTATAGAGTAGACACCGAGGTGTGCACGATGTTATTGCACGTCGGCCCACCACCTTCCCGTGGGGAAGTATATAGGGGCCCCCTATTGCAAGAGAGACGATGAGGCGCGGATATGGCGGGTGGTGACGGTCAGAGACGAGCGGTAGCGGTGCCCACTTTTGCCTTTGATATGGCTGTACGAACAAGCGGTAGGCCCGACAGCGATGGTGGGATAGATCGTGCATGACTGCCTTGTATATACGCGCGCGATATCTCGCTCGCTCTAAGAAGAGAGGATTGACCCCAGAATACCATATCGAAGGAAGCTGAATAGAACGTTTTGCGCTGTCCTTTGCGCGCCAATTGGTTTTGCTTGTCTCGCAAATGAGCGACTGGTGCAATGCCAGGGGATCTTCTCCCGCGAAAGAGGGAGGAGGAGAAGAATCCACGCGTATCGTTCACCTGCGTGCACACAAACTAGTTTCCTAGAGCGATACGCATCGTGCACGCGTCGTAAAATGCCGCTCGACGTAAGTAGCGGCTCATCACGCTCACGTCCTTGTGTGAGTTCGAGATACGTCGCGTCGCATCGCATCGCGCGATTCATGAGCACGCGAGCCGCTGTCGTTCTGTTCTGATGGACCATTACCGACTTACCTGGCCGCGAGAACCGTGTCACGGATGTAGAGCACGCATGCCAGCCATCCCCAGCACCTTATACGAGCGTGCGACTCTTGGCGGCACGTTAATCGCGGCTCCTAAGCCCGGTATTTTCACGAGTCTCTATACGCACTCGTGGACTTTTAGGGTAGAGAGAGAGGGAGAGAGACTCGTGGAGAAAAGCCCGATAATGTCGGGAAAGCGCTAAAGTGAGCAAATGAGTTATTGTAAGGAAATTACTCGAAAATTACTGGAGCAGACTGAAGTGTCCGACGAAATGCATTTTAAATTGCCTCGGTCGATTTAATTAATATTTGCGAAAACCGTGGCACAAGCATTAATAAGAGCGCGCCAGATGCGGTTGTCACGCCGAATTAACATACTTCGGCGGCGGCATACGGCACCGTCAGTTGATGCACTGGATATACTTTTGTTCTAGAATTACTAGAGGATTCGAGGAGAAACTCTCTTGTCCATCGATTATTTTCGCGATATTTACATGCGTACGTTTAAGTATAGACAATATTACTATCTAATCCGCATGTTATAAGCAGATTGCTCGAGCGATCAGATCCTTATTAAGGCCTGAATACTATCCATCTATGTGTTTACTCTCCATTCATTACTATACGCTCACTTGTAAATCTATCTACGTCACTTTTCATTGTAAAACAAAATCAAAGCGCGCGCATAGAAAGCGCATCGCAAAAAGTCTCGAAGAAAGTAAAGAGAGAGAGAGACAAAGAGACCTCTTGAATGAGGCGAAAATAATGTCGACTGTGATTTATTACAGTTGCATGTCGTATGTGCTTGCGGTGGATGACATGCTAATTTCTGCTTAAACACCGTTCAACTTCCAACGAGCACGTACCATTAATGTTTTATTCAATTTCTCATCGTTTTGTTCATTATTATCTAATCCACAATAAGCAAGTTTTATTACCTATATATTGAGACGGTATAATAAAATATATTAAAGAAAATAACAATATAATCTATTTACAACAAAATTAACAATTTTATTTACAAATTTAATTACTTTTTTTGCGATGCAATTACACTTTTTCATGCTTACTGATAAGCTTGCTAAATGATCTCATTATTCTGATGATTAACCATGTTGAACACACGAAAGCGTTTAATTAAAGCTTAAATACACGTACATACAGGAAAAATAATTAACTCGTTACACTGAAAATAAGACTTCTCGTCAGACCTGTCTAGTAAAATACATCTTTCCGCAAAAAGCCGGTATAAAAGTATACATATAAACATTATGCAACATTAATGATTGACTGATTTACGTCTACTATATAACAACTAACAGCCAAGTTTGTCTAATTAATTATAAATAACTCCACAGATTTGTATTTGCATAAAAGGTTCGTTGTAGTAATAAATGAATCATCAAACTCCTCAACAGACTAACAGCACAAGCAATATATACATATATTCTACTACTAAATCTGTCTTAATTTCAAAATGATTTAACATTTACATATATAAAAGTAAATTTCAAAATAATCTCCACACGCAATTTTTCTCGTCGACCTAGATTTATATCATACTTATTCGCTACAAAGAGAAATAATTACCTACAAAATGGTACAAGATAAAATCAGAAAGGAAAATTGAAGAGACTATTTTTCTCTAAAGCGTCTTCGTGGTATAAATTGATGAAAGACAAGTGGATTAAAAAAGATCATTTGATCAATTACAATATTATACATTTACATTCCTAGTCTAATGTCCTTTTCAAGTACATTGGACGCTTAACCGATGGATAATGAGGCGTGGGCGAAATCGAAGAAAATGCACCATATCCGCCTCTCTCGTTCTCGAATCTAGCCCGGTTTCTCGACTAAGAGCGACTTTCGCGGTGAATAGGTAGGTAGATAGGTACAGGGGTTAACGTCACGACCTAGCCGCGAAAGCTCGCCCATATACACCGATCTTTCTCCAAGCGAATCACACCATCACAAGAAAGAACGCCTTTTGGTGCACCGTTACGTCGAATTCCAGACAGTCATTTCGGAATCGGAATCTCAAATGAACACTCCTCTCGTCGGAATCAAGTAATTATGATATAACATGCAAATACATTTTATCTACATTGGCCAACGTCAAATCGTTCAATATTCATTTAGAAAATTGTATTTTAAAACTCCTTATTTATTTTTAATTTAAATCGCGTAATTTAAAAAAATTTAATATATATCTTGAAAATGCATAAAGATATTGCAGCAAGAATCTGGGATATATAATCTAGTGTCTATATAAACAGCCGTGTAAAATATGGAGCTTACTGCGCAAAATGCCTAAGAATTGTTTGCATTAATTTGCGTACATACATATACATATAGCTCTTTAGCTCGATTCCACACTTATAATAAGCGATACTGACGTACTTAAAACCGTTGTGCGATGGTGAAATAAGATAATATGACTTTAATTGAAAGAAAGCATATATAGAGTTAACGATAGAATATATCATCACTATTATTTAGTTCGTATAACAGTACAATCGCATTATTTAATGACTGAAGCTGCGAGTATGTATATATAAAAAAGTATGAATTGTGCATACGTGTGTATGTGTGAATATACATAAATGGAAATCTTCCTAGTACAGTATAATACATGTAATATTATATATGCATATATGTATGTATATAGATATATGTGTCTAAAACACATAGTTGAAGCGAATTTTGTAAAAGACAGAATCGGCGATATACAGGGTGTCCGGTAACTAACGGACCAATAATTAAGGGCGGATTCTCTGGCCAATTTGGAGACGATTTTTCCTTAGCAAAAATGTTGAGAAGTCAATAATTTTCGAGTTATAAGCGATTGAAAAAAATCGGTTTTTTGAAAACTAAACGTTTTGGAGTTAAAAGTCTAACATAATTACATTCTTTAGTTAATTTCAGGTAGAATTTACTAAAATAAAATTTTAATTTCAGGCTTAGTTATAAAGATACATAATGACAAATATTGGAAAGTTGTAAAAAATGATAACCTTTTTCGACATTTTTGCTGAGGAAAAATCGTTCCCAAATTGACCAAAGAATCCACTTGTAATCGTTGGTCCGTTAGTTACCGGACACCCTGTATAAAAAAAATATGTACAAAGAAAATTTTCAAGTTCATCGTTCGCCAGTTGGTTTCCGGCAATTTAATAGAAAGTATAGAAAAGTCGAAAAGTCGAACAGCTCATTTTTACGTAGACATCGCTTTCGCTGCGTTCGTAATTAGGATAAGCATCAGTGTTCTTAGTAATTTAACATATAATATACTTACGCGTATCTTTAAGAAAATTTATATAATTATATTAGCGCACTAGTTTTCACATACTGTCGCGTTTTCTCTGCATCAATAAAAAGATCAAATAATCGCATTGTAACGTCATAGTTCGTATTTCCTTTCACTTCTCCGTTCATCATTAAAATCATTAATTATTTTTATAAAACATATCATTTCTTAAAATACAAAAATTTTTCAAATATTATAAAAATATTTTTAGTAAAGTATCAAAATGATCAAATTTCTCTTTTATGAATTGCCAACAATTGACATCAAACTATTATGTAATTTAATTATTATTATTGACATATTGCAATATCTTCTTCATATAAAAATAATAATAAATCTAGACAAAGTATTATAGTGTATACATTTGTCATTTTTGCATGCAATTATGAAAATCAATTCTTAATAATGTACCCCACAGCGTAGAGGATTAGGACCGATGTGCATTTCTATCGATTTGCTTTCCGTAAATCGTCGCGGGAGACGGCAGTTTCCGGTCTTCTCGACAAAGGAGGCCACTTGGTCAGCGGGTCCGTTCTATCCGATTCCCTGGATCGCGAGTGAGAATCGTATCGGACCGGTTCGCGTATAAGCTAGTTCCTCATACTGCATCTGAGAGAGAACCGGTAAAATAACACGCGCAGAATTTTTACGCGATTTAATGTGCGTTTCGATAATAACTAAAACATTCCCAAGATGCAACGAGAAATGCTGTATTTTTCAATAATAATATAGAAAAGCAGTAAATTTATATTCCTTATAGTAATATTATTATTAAATATTAAACTGTGCACAAGAAAAGCATCGAGCGCGGGCGGGGCATCTCTCAAGTGAGTATTTATATATTAGTTATTATAAACGCAATAATTCGATTTGCTTATTTAAACAATATAAACAAGAAAGCAATAGAAACAAAATTTTTTATATACATTTTTATATTAAAGTTTCTATTTAAAAAAAAAAATTTTTTTAGAATTTATAAAATAATTTTATTATATATTTACTTATTAATTTATGTATCAAATTGATCATTAATTATTTTAGATGCTACTATAATTAGATTTTATATTTGTATAAATGTTGTTACAGATCAACTATGGCTTTAATGATGTCAACTTTGTTACTGCGCATTGGCCGAAGACAAACTTTTATTTTATTTGAGATAACGGATTTGTAGAGACAGTAGATGTAGATTATAGATTGTAGATTATAGATATAGATCCGTTGCTTTAAAATGGATGGGCTAGAAAAATTAAATGTAATAATTTTTAATAAATTAAATCGATTTAACAAATTAAATTTGAATAATTTTTAACAGCTTTTTTCAATATACAAGTATTGCAAAAATAAATTAGAGCATACATTAAAATAAGTTAAAGAAAATATTTGGTTTTATTTAAACCCAAAGTTTAATTTAATTTAATTTATTTAATAGAGAACGCATTAAACTAATTTAATTAATTCTTTGTAATAACTTATTCTTATAATATCTTGTAATATAACATTAATTTTATTTTAATTTTTGTATAACTCATCATATAAAATTAAAATTATTTTATTAATTAAGATTATTAATATAAAATTAATAAAAATAATTTTATTTTATTATAAATTATATTTTATATTATTATAAATATGTTAATCAATCAATTTTAAAATTAAAATAAATATCTAACAAACAATCGTGAAGGAAAATAAAAAGTTTATACTTACATAAGTATCTATCAATGATGATAATTAAGCAGTAATCGAAATTCCTTTTCTTTCTCGATTTCTAATAGAGACTCAATTTAGTCAGATAAGTATGACCATAAGATCAACAAAAATATAGATTTAATATTAACCTGAAAATAAGCTCCTAAAGTATAATTTGTCGCAAAAGGTTCTTAAATTATAATTTTTCATACATTTCATTTTATCTATCCGCAGAGGCATGTCATCAGGATTCAATACACTTATAAATTGCAATTATGACACACTTCCCAATCTCAATGATCGCAAACACACTTTCGAAATCTCGATGATTGCGACTTCCTGCTCGTTTAGCCAACAAGAAAAGTTGTTAGAAAATTAAGACAGCAAATAGGGTTATTCAGAAATATTAAGAGAAAGCTAAAAATAAATTTATAAAATAAAATATAGTATTAATAAAATATAAACAGTATAATATTTAAATTTATTTTCAGGAACATCAAAGAAATTAAAATTATTTTTAGGAGATATAAACTTTGATTTGTTTTTAGAAAATTAAAAATATATTAGTAAGTTTACATAATAAATTAATTTTTCATCAACAAACTGTAAGCAAAGTAACGGATATCAAAATAAATTTTCATTTTTCAAGAGAAATAAAGTATGACAGATGCTCACAACAAAAGAATTAATTAACATCATAGAAAAGAAGCAATAATAAATTTCGAAACTTTCAAGAGAATTTTGATACATTCGAGTATCAAACAAATTAACATGCCTTTCTTAAAAATGGATCAATATTTTTTATTGACAAAGACATACCTAGATTTGCACATTCAATTATATACACAACATATTTTGATTTATGCAACTATATATACAATACATATACAATATATATACGTAATAAAAAAGTAATAAAAAAGTAACTTAAATATAATAATGATCTTAAAGACATGAAATTAAAATCACATTTATAGATACCTTTTATAGCTGTATAAAATTTCAACTTATAATTTGATTATTATCTGCTTTTTTATAATAAAAACAAATCAATTATTTAGGATTTGTAATGTTGATATCCCCGATATGCCAAATTTTGACCATAAGATTCTGCATTTCCGTAATGATCGTTATAATCAATATCTGGATGTGCTCCGTAATGAGGATGAGCAATGCCGTTTTTGGTGTAAACTGGCGGATAATAGTTTTGGTATGGTTTATAAAGTTTAAAGAAACCTATTAGACCAGGTATGACAATTGCCAAGAATCCGAGGAACTTCTTGAACGAAGCTAATCCCAAAATCAAAGGCAACAAGAGTAGTATCTTTAATTTAAAAAGCTTCAAAATAAGCAAAACCGGTATTAAAAGTTTCCTGAATTGATGACGAGCTGAAACAAATATAAAATTTATCTTAATTAATAATAGACTTGCATTAAAAATTATTTAATTAGATTTAGTAAAAAAAAAACTAATTTAATATAATTAATTATTCAAAGAGAAACATTGTCAAACTTTAAATAAAAACCATTTTTTTAATCATTTTTAACAATATGATTTTTTTTAAATAATAATATATCGTATTACAATCATTTATAATTTTATTAGTTAAGAAAATATACAAACATAAGAATCTTTTATTTATATATAAAATGATATATATAATTTAGAATTAATTTTTAAAATATTATTACATAAAAAGAATACTATTTTTACATTAATCCAATTTAATAAACAAAAAATTAACTGATTCTAATACATATTAGCATTTATTTGTAAGGTATATAGATATACCATAAATACGTGAACAAAAATTGAAAACTATAGTAACGAAATATATACAGTAATAATTTTCCTTTAGATATATTTCCTAATGAATCATTTAATTATACAAAAATATAAAAATATACTAACAAATAAATTGAATAAAAATGTGTTATATTTCTATTTTTGACACTATTTTAATATAAACTCTATAATTAAAAATGTTTTAAAAACTTTCTTTTGTATTATAATATTTTAAATAAATACTTACAAAATAATGTATCTTTCTTATTCTCAAGTGTATCGATTTCATCAGCAATTTCATCTAGAAATCTTGGCTCATATGAACCACTGCGACCGATTTCCGTATCAGGTATAGTCAATTCGAAGGACATGGTCTTAACAAACCTTTCCGTTTTCCTTTTCATAAAGTTAACCATTTGATCCCATTCTGTTTCGTCGGATCTGCGGAATATATTTTAGTTTTAATTGAAATATATTTAATTTTTAATTAAAAAAACAATGTCTATTTTATCAAATAATTCAAATAATATTTCGATATAATCGAAATATTTAAAAAAATTATTTGCATATTTCTTAATTGCATAAACCTATTTATATATATCTACACATAATACATATAATATAATTACATATACACTTTCCTTAACTTTCTCATTTATATCTATCAACATTTATGAAATGATAACATACCTAGGTTCGTTAGAATATTCGTACGGCTGACGTAACACTTCTGCTACTACTTGATCAGACATTCGTCTAACTCGGACATTATCACTTAACGAATATTCGGCGTGATCAAAAAAGCTCGAAAAATAATTTAACGCTTGAGATTTGAAACAGTCTGCTAAATCGCCGGTTAAACAACGTTCATTGACCTTTGCCAAATATGGATCAACATTATGTCCAGTTCCAAGACCGATAAAATGGAATAGATCCTCTACATGTTGAACAGGATTAAATCCTCTCTGTTGCGATGAAGATTCTTCGAGATTTTCTGAAATTATAAACATATATTATTTAAACTTTATTTAATAAATTATAATTTTTATAATTTTACTAATTAAATTTTAAAATAATATAATAGATGTTATAAAAATAAAAATAATATATTTTAAACAATATGATATAATACCGTAAACTCGGTTAATATTTTTGACAGTTGTCAGCTGATTTCTGTCAAAAAGTATTAATTGTGGATAAGATTTTATAATATATTATTTACATACATATGTATATCTATATTAATTTTAATATTTTTAGCATATTATTACATTAAAATTTAATTAGCAAATTAACGCTTTATTAACATTTTTTGACAGAAATCAATTTATTAAAGCGTTAACTTGCTAATTAGATTTGAAAATAATATGTTATAAAAATTAAAATAATATATTTTAAATAATATGTATAATATAATGCTTTAAGCTCAATTAATATTTTTGACAATTGTCAATTGATTTCTGTCAAAAATGTTAATTGAGTTGAAACAAATTTTATATATTATTTTTTTTGGAAATATTATTTTTTTTTAACATAAAATTGTAGAATGGCGCGCATGTAGCGCGTGCTTGTTATTCTAATATAAATTTAAAATATCATACCTTGTTTTTTTTCTTGTTGTTCAGAAACGCCATCTTTAAATGTAACTTTATTGGCAGACTGACAGCATACCAGCAAAGACCATCCTAAAAGAACTCCTAGAATTACCAACAATCGCTGCAGTTGCATTCTGCTCTTCTAATTATTCCACCTGTAATCAACGCGTTTTTATCAGTTTGTTTTAAAAATATATACATTAATACATATTATCAGTATAACATCAATATAATAATCAATATCTAATATTAATCAAAAAATATTTATTTATCTGAAAAATTAACTATATTAAATTACTTAATTTTGTCATCTTCAAATTATTTTGTTTTTTCTAATAATGGCATTTAATTTTAATTTTATAATAAAACGAATATTAACATATTTTAAACGTTCACATATAATATAATTAATTATATTATCACTAAGCACAAAATAAAGCAACGATCACCTCCAATTCACATATATTTGTTTTTTTAATAGAAAAATTTAAATCCGATTAAATTTCTCACCAAACTATCAAATAATCGGCACTCGTTACGCGACATTTTTATCAAGAAAATGTACTCATGGTGATCCTCGAACAGCACTCGAACGTCTGCGAGATCGACTGTTGGCAGTCGACGTGCTGGTTCACTAAGTGCCGTTAGATTAACGCACCAATCAGAGTTAAAGAATAAGAGAAGAGCCCGGTTCTCGATTGTAAATTCTGATCACGCGCGCATTCCACTTGAATAATGATAGTAATGCATACCTTATAATCTTTTTTGTAATTTGTAAAATTGCAAATTTGATTTATATTTTATAAAATTGTGAGAAACTGTCATGAATTGTGAGGAACTGTCACTGTATTTTTTTCAGATACACCACATAAGAGATGAGTAGACCAAGATCTTATAGATGAATAAATAAGTGAATCAAGTATTGAAATAAAATACAAATTGATGACATAAAATTAAGAAAAGTTGTGTAAATAAACAAAGCAAATTAAAGAAAAATGTTTAATTATAAAGTGATAGAAAATTTAATAGACTAAAAAAATATATATACAACTCCTTACCTCTCTGTAACAAGTAGAGCGTAAATATTTGAATTGGAGTAAGCGTTCTAAATAATTAATAAACTGTGAACGTCAATATGTACTGGACACAGTCTTGACCAAATGCCATGCCTTAACCCACGCATCACCTTTATATTTACGTGAAACGGACCACCTTATTCCCGAAGAAGGGGAAGGATCCGCAAGTTGTTCCCAGAACGGCGGGACAGGAATCATCTGCAAAAATTGAAAGTGAAAGTGGTGCCCGGAGTTATAACCGGAACCAGGTAGTTTTAAGTAATAAAGACGGAAAGTACGTCACTGTAAGAGAGAGGAAGTCAACGTACTTTCATCACCAGTTTATAACTATTAACGTGCGTCATCGCTATATCAGGAACCGTCATTCTATTCTTATAATTCATCGCAACTCTTTCTTTTCTCATCTCATAATATGATTTTCGCACCAAAAATCTCATTTTGTTATACATATAATCTAACACTTATTACTTTTATGATACGCCGCTCATTATTGATGTTGCGCAAATTTGTTTATTACAAAATATTTTATCAATTATAATTATTGTTTTTATTATATAAAACATATTACCCGCCATTCATATATTTCAGCTGTTTTTGTTAGCTTTATTATTATTATATTATTCATATAAATAAAAATCATTAAAAAATTTATATCATAACAACTTTCATATTAAGAAAATACATTTTTAAAATAACTTTTGTTTAATTCAATGTATAAGCTTTTAAAGCCATTTTCAGCAAAAATTTCATATTTCAAATCTATGCCACGTTTTTATCTACAAACGACTCTAACAAATTTTATTTTATTTCTGATTGCTTATTAATTATAATAGCTATTTCATTAGAGTCGTACCCAATTAAATGGTCACGCACGCTGCGTCGCCGAAACTCGCCTGAGGCAAAGAATAAGCGTAACGCAGGTTTCGTGTCCACCCCCAGACCTCCACCCAGTGAGAAATGATGGTCGAATCGATGTTAAATTCGTTGAATCGATGTCGAATCGATGACGATTCGAACAATCATTTCTCACTGGGCAGGAGAAGGCATGAGATAAATTTATTTCGTACAGTGATATATCTTACAATAAATCCTTGTCTGCGTTCAGAAACATTTTAGTATACGATTTACTATAATCTGAATATATCTGAAATGTATTATATAAAATTAAGTGTATTGTATGTTATATAAGATAGTTCGCTGAGAACTAACGTTAAATATTAGAAGAAAATAACGTTATTTTAATATTTTTGTTTGATTAATTTTTATATTTCATAAATGTCGAAAGAGCGACACGTAAAATATAATCTTTCCAAGATGACAATTTTTCAATATATTATTTGCAAAACTAATATTTTCCGTTCTTCTTCAATTTCAGGTTAACTGTCAAATTATAATATGTATGTAGATTTTTGCTTAACAACAAATTCTGATTAATACGAAATAACACGTAATGCATATCACGATAACCAATAAATATTATGGAAAAAAGATGATAATAAATTTCAATATTTTCACAAACAATGAATATCGACAACAATCGACTTTACACATCTTTATACATTTTTGGATTATTACAATTTGCATTTTTAATAAAACAAAAGAGTCCCTCTTGTTCTTACTGCTTTATATTTTAAATAGATTTTAATTATAATAAATTTTAATATATAAACATAATTAGATTGAAAACTATAACGCATTGCGCAGTCTTATTATGTGGCTGATGCCAAATATTTTTGACGTACTGTATGTATTAATTTATTATATAAATATATTATATGAAAAAGTACTAATGGTATAATTATGCAATTTTTTAATAACATTAGATTATTCTAAATACGTATGTGCGTTTTGTGCAACATGTATCTCGGTCAAATTGCATAAATCAGTATCTCTCCATACTTACGTCATACAAATAAATAATATTCAAAATCACTAGAGTATCATTTATCGCAAAATTAAATTTCGATAGTAGTAGTCAATAAATAAATTAAATTAAATATTATTATTTTAATGCTACACGCGTTATATCTACACACTTGGAATAATAATTTATTTACGTTATTAAATTCTTAATCAATTCTTTCTTCATTTATGCAAATAACGTCTTGACAATATATATATATATATATATATATATATATATAATTATAGTTTTTTGAAGATTCAAGAATTTTCTACAAGATAAATTCATTGAAAATATCCTGTAATCCGAATTATCAATTCTCTGAAGAAATTCTTCTATGAAAAAGATACATTTCTCTCTAACTATATTCTCATATTAAAAATATAATTAGATAATGCTTCAATTATCATGTTGCTTTATTACGTGAGAAGTAGATTAACCCCTCTCTCGTAATCTAAAGTTAAATGTTTTATAAATCAAAGCGTTCTCTTATTGTACCAACACAGTTTCCACTTTCAAACATAGAAAATAATACTGATGTTAACTATTAATCGTTCATAATTATTGCATGACCGGCTTTCCTATAGAATATATATATGTATACAGGACATTTCTTATTCAATATGCTTTCTTTCAGCGATTTACGATAATTACTATTGTTTACAAAACAATCTGCCGTATCCGTTATTAAACGTGTTTTGAAAACAGAATTTAATTAACATACAATAAGTAATAAGTACAATAAGAATAGTATAAAGTAATAGCAAAAGATAAAATAACTTTAGAAAATTTTTATTCTAATGATTTATAACATCTTAATCATTCCACCATTTTCTTCATTTTATCATGAAGATAATCATTAAAAGTTCTCAATCGATCTTTAAAGATTGACTTGCGTTACTTAATATCGATATTGAAAATCGAGCAAATATTTAGTATACAAATAATATTTCGGAAACTGTGTATATACGAAAAATAAAGAGTTTGCTTAGTTACAGAAATACAAGATTTTAATAGTGTTGGATTAAGACAGTCTCAAGCGCCCCAAGCGCAAATCGATTTCAAGCCCTTTTATCTAACAATAAATCTCTTATCAAAATCTACAACCCCGAGGAAGTTTCATAGAACATTAAATACTACTCTTAATGTCTAAAATTAATCAAGTCAAAAATTAGTAAAATTAAATTATTAGTTAATTAAAATTAAAACATAGTAAAATTTCTTTGGAATGAAAATCGTATCTTTGCGTCTTGAGGCTTCAGGTGAGCGCTTTGTCTATGTCTGATAATCCGCCACGAAGAAAAAGAATATTTACCAACTGTACATACGTACAAAATCTACATATTTACGGATTAAGAGTAAATGCTAAAGCAGCAGACGCTAATTTTTTTTAGCAACTGTACTAGTGAAATTTGATCAAAATTATATAGGCGTCTGTTCTCCAAATTACTCCAAGTTCGGAGCCGCATCTTTTCTTTCCTTTATCGCATTCCCAATTGATAGCAACACTAACAGACGCACATATATGTTCTCTTAGAGCTTTCTGGCTTGGACGAGCTTATTGATGTCCTGATACGTCGCCAGCATCGCTTGATTTTGCTTCGGAGTCTGATCCTCACGACCGTACGCGCAACCGGCGTAGATCTCCTCGCACTTGACGCCATCCTGGCCGTCTTTGGCGGCCTTCATGTACCTGAAGAAGCGCAGAACGTCGGGATTGTCGCTGCTGGGTTTTCGCAACTCGTTCAACTCCCTGGACAGCTGGGCGGAGACCAGATTCGAAAACGGCGCGTAACGCGCGGGACTCCGGTACATCGCACACACCGCGTACTCTCTGCAACCTTCCGTGTTGTGGCCGAGACGGGAGAACACGGCATCAAGGCGTGACAGCAGAGGTGAGTAGAACGGATCGTAGTTCGTCAGGAGCAGGGAGCTCGTCGGAATCTCGTGGAAGACCTGCCACCGATAATTAATGCGCGGTCATTGTGTGGTCATTTAATGGTCCCCCGTATCTGTTACAAGCAACGGCTAGGTGCCGCGCCGCACTTGTCGAACAAGTTGAAATGAAGTCAGTGAGAAAGTGGGTCGCGAGCATCTCAATAGGCGAGAGTGTCAAAAGTTGACGACATCGCGCTAATCGTTGATAATATGAAGAAGTGGTCGAGTGAAAAAAAGACAAATGTATTGTTACGGCATACTTACCTAGATCATTGTGCAAACATCGAGCAAAAAGCGCGAATGACTGATAATGCGATAGTAAATCACGTATAAATCAAAATGTATTTTTTCTACTGTTGGAATTTTTAATAAGAATTAGATTTTATCAAATATTAATTAATAGAATCTTGATACTTCATCCTTCATTCAAATTTCTGTGTTATGCTTAATTATAATAAAATAAATATACATATAATAAATATGTATGAGAAGAAAGATGCATTTTGAGAGTCTAAGAAATTCCAATAGCATGCGTTATTTATTCTGATAATATTTAAGAAAGAAAGAAAGATAATACATGCATATTCAAAAAGCTCACCTTAAAGTCCTGCTTTTTAGAAAGTCCATGTGAAGCCACATGTCGGGTGTAGTAACGATCCGAAAGCGCATTTGCGTGAGATATTTTCGTGTCGACGAATGCATAGCGAGAGGCGATATCCGGAGTTTTCTGCGTTTGCATCATGCTCTCGTCGTACATGGCGGATGCTGGTAATGTTCCTACGGGTTGTCGGGTCAGATAGTCGTCGTTGTACAGGTCGGTGTTATCCTTAAACTCGAAATTTTCCTCTCCGGGTGGTATAGGCGCTGTATGCGAGGATTGCGCAAAGGAGGAAATGCCTTTAATTTAAGCATAACATACATTTGTATAATACTTAGTTAATGATAAGCACTTTCTACATTAATATTAATAATGTATGTTACTACACGGATTCCACAAAACAACATTCCTTAAAAAGACAGAAAAACCGTTCTCTCTAAATAAGAGAAAAAGATTTCATGCCATTCATTATCTTACTTTTGACCTTCTAACATCAACATTTTTAATCTTACAATTTTCAAAATTCTATTAAGACAATTCAATTGAATTTTTAATTTAATTTTCACTGTTTTATAATTTTGTACGTGAATTTCGATGTTAATTGAAGTTAGACTTATTACATATTGCAGGTACTTATTATATTTAGCATATTTTAATTTAATAAGAGATGGCCATGATTGTCAATATTCCTAATTATTTCAAAATATCTCTACTCTCTTACAATTTCATTTAAACTGAACGCACATAATACGTACCTTTTCCAACAATATTACCAATACTGCCGATAAGACTTGGTAGGAAGAGAGCGAGCAACACGCTTTTAATTATCTGTACGCCGAAGAACAGGGGTAGCAGTAGCTTCTTCAGACCGAACGCTAGAAAACCAAGCCCGAATCCTGTTAAAAAGGTACTCTTTCCCTGAAACATGGCTGAAAGCAAAAGTACCAGCTCGTTAAAGCCCTGCGGTTAGCCCTGAAAGCCATGCTGCGCAATTCAGCATCATTTCATATTCTACCTCTGCAACTCCGCCGCTGAAACACTCTACGTGTGGATAAAAATATCCCCACGTTAATTATAATTAATTTCACCGTTCGCACAATGTTATATCGCCTTGTTTTTTCCTCATACCCGTTTTATCGCTGGTTTTAGTTCGCGTTTCTGCCAATTAGCATTGACCCAACCTTAATTTAGCTCCAAAAAAGCCAATTCATAAAATTAGTTCTCGACACCCTGATTTTGTTTATACCAAATTATGTCTGCGAGCGTACTAGATTCGTCGCCTATCAAATAATTAGGAAAAAAATTAATTGACAAATTCATCTCCAAAAATTCTGTATAAGCAGTAATCTTGAGAAAAAAAATTATTTAAAAAAAGAATGTATCTTGTGAATAAAATTGAAAGGTGGAAAGGTAAACCTAAGAAAATTGTAAAAGAATTACATTATTTTATATGTAAAATTTTCATAAATCATTTAATTACTCTCACTTTGCACCAATTACCAATTATGCAATTGCTTCGCGACGAGCGCTATAACATGCGGATAAAGATATTAATTTATCATTAGATAATGACTATGATTAATGAGTACGTATCACCCGGTGTGATGTAAGCGCCTCGCGATGCAATTTCAAAAAATCCACCTTTCGTGTCGGCAAAAGTAACGGCACTAGTACACACGCGACAAAAACCAGTAGCAAGCAATTTAGAAACTCACAACCGAAGAACGTTCTGGCTGTCCTGGCAATGCCCATATCCTTGTTCAGTCGTATCTTCATGACGTGCGTCCTCGCGTATTGATGAACCTTATCCAGAAGATTCGAATCCGAATTGTTGTTACTCCTCTGATGGTGATACGTGCCATTTGCTTCAGGATTTCTTATTATTTGCACGGATTCCGTTACGTTGTACGTGTCAACTTTTGACAATTGATCGAGAAAATCCCAAAAGTCTTTTCGAATACAGGAGACCATGTGTTTCCCTTTGCATTTCGTGGAATTCGATAGAGATTGACTGGTCGTTGAATTGATTTCGATTGGATTAGCTGTAACATTAGCCATTCTCGACGGTTCAATCTGATAATCCATTTTGTCATCCGTATGAAACTCTATGTCAAACTTGGTCGGTTTCCCGGACATTTTGTGAGGATGATCGTACGAGAATTCATCGCTTTTGTTTTCAGATTCGTGAGAGAGTGGCACCACGTTCTCCTTAACAGTGTCGTCATCGTAACGCACGGTCTCGTTCAAGGACGCAGCCTCCACGTGGGCTCCAACGATAGAACGAAGGCATGCAACAGCCAGGATCACAATCAAAATTATCGTGGGTGCTCTCTCTCTTGCCATTGTCCGATTTATGAGAAAAGCCCCAGGTGTTTTTGACTATTAGCTAGCTGTGATTCCTATGGAAAAAGAACTGCATCTCGGCCTGCAGCTTTGTTTCCTGAAATGAAATAAATATCAATCGAAATAGTAAGAGAATTGAAAAGCTTGAGGGATCAAGTAAGTAAAATAACATAATTATTATTATATATAAAAATAAAAATGCAAAGTTAATTTTTTAATTGAGAAATCGACAAAAAAACAGAAAAGTACAAAAGACAAACTTTGAATTTTTTTTATATTGAGTTTTCTATTAAAAACATTTGTTTATTATTTTTATTTTCTTTTAAAAACTACTCTATATAATAATTTAATAACTCAAAATTATTTAGAAAGAAAACTATCATTTTATTCAGCTAAGGCAACTGATTTTTTCTCTCAATTAATAAGATAGATACGTAACGGTATCATATGTATAAAATATAAGAAATATTATTAAAATGATTAAGTGAACCAGTTTATGTAATAGTATAGTTCTGTCTATATATGTGGCAAAACTCGGTTATGCTAGATCACTCTTGCATATCCTTTTTTTCCAAACGGTCAGCTGATCCCCTCATCCATGTGAATAAACTGTATGAAAATATCCTGGACACGTGTAGATTGACAAACGATTAAACTTTATTCTTTAACAATCTGTTTAGATTTGGGTGGTATATCAGTCATTCAGAAATTTTCATACATTGTAATTATATTTTCCTTTTATGTGTGTATCAATTATCAATTAATTTCTAAACTTATTTTTTATATTAATTTTATATATCATATATAATTATGAATTAATGTTATAGTTATAAGCATAAAGTATTTAAAATATTCTTTATATAATGCGCATTCTATATTAATAAAACAAACTTTTATATATTCATTAATAAAATTAAGTGAACGAACGTGAGTTTCGGAACGCTTCGCGCGGTCCGAAAAGCTAGTCAAGAATAATTTCCAATCTTATTGTTTTTGAATTTTGTTGAAATAATGCAACTGATATACACGAAATGTAAATAATATAAAAGTATAAAAGCTCAAATACTCCAGGTTGCAATTTACTTTTAAAAAATATAAACATGCAGACGCATGTGATTAATAATAATAATTAATCAGCGTATGAAAAGTATGGTTTTTTTCTGAATCTATTTGAAGTAAATTCTCACACAAACCAGCCCAGCAGTTTTTATTACACGCGTGTACATATTACAGACAAGTTTTGTTCATCAATCAAATGTAATGATCCATGGAAAATTGTTAGCCAACAACTCTTGTCGCAGATTGGCCTATACTCACTTTTCTGGTGTATCGCTGACATCAACACTCTGCTAGATTAAGAACAATCAGCGTCAATCTCAACAATCGAGTGACTTCTTTCGCGATCGAGAAGTAGCCGGTTTAAAGAACGCGCTTGAATGATCAAGCGGCCGGAAAGTCGGAATCGTGTACGACGTCCGATGCTGTACTGGCAGCCGGTCTCCGTAGAATCGACTCGACTGACCCGATCTGGGTTACCCGGCCATCCGTCTCTTCGTCCCTCTATCCATTCCTTTCCACCTTTCTTGCTGACCACGTTCGTTCATTCGTCCATTTGTTCCCGCCATCGGTTTAGAATCTACCCTTCTTGCTCTTTCCTAAGAAGATTCGATAGATGTACGATCGCTAACTTAAGGGGGAATCCTTCCCCATTCAGAACCGATCGATCGAATTTGTCGCGGGTTTGGCTGCTGAAATCGCCTATTCCATACGAGTGATTTCACTCGACGGTATTTTGGCGAACGTTCAGTTCAGTTGGTTCAATGAGCTTCGCTCGACGTCGCTCAATGACAGATTGGTTCCCGCGATAATCGCCGTAAAATCTAGCAGATCTATAGTAATGAATCTTAATTTACCTGAGAAAGATAAAAGCAAGAGAACATGAGAGAGATAAAGAAAAAAAGATAACAGTAAAAGCAGGGAATAATGGAAAACAATCAAAAAGAATTCAAATTAATCTACAAAGATTCTGAAACTCACGTTTGGTCCATACTTTCGTTTGAAAAGATCTCTGACCATGAAATTACTTTTTTGTCTTCTAAGATCGGTCTTCTAAGATAATTCTCGTTTTCTTCTAAATATTATTTATATATTAAGAAAATGTTCTTACAATTAACATAAGGATGTGAGATACACATCCAAAAGACTTCTTAACTTCTACTCTTCCTCCTGTTACATTTATTTCTTTTATAACGGTAACATTTAATCAGCCTGACTAATTAAATGTACTCTTTCATACCTATTTGTACGTCATATGAAAAAGTGATCAATCATATCATTTGTATCATTTTTAACTTGTACTTGCTTATGACATTACTATATTTATTATTATAATACAAAGGCACTAATCGGTAGACACTTGGTACATTATCTTTGAAAATCATGGTTCCATTCATTTTATAATTAAATACGAATATTTGTTAACGGAAGTGCGAAAAAAGAAACGAATTTTTTTGATAATTTTTTTGTGTGATCTACTTTTTTATATGGAAAGTATATTCGGTTATGACGTCAGCGAGGATCACTCGTTCAAATTGAATCAAATTAGTCACGAGTTCAAATTATGGTTACATACTTTTACAACTGATTTCTCTTGTATTATATTTCTCGAGAACTTGCCGATATATCAGAGGTAAATGCCTCTATGACATTTTCAATTTTCATCGAATCGCATCTGAGTTATAGTCTTCGAAAAACTAGTTTAGGATTCATCGATCATCGACAGGTCATTCTATCTTTTTGTGGTGAATCTAACAACTGATTCTATTACTACAGAGTGAATACCATTCACACTTGACATGCCGGTATATAAGACTCAATAATTCAAGATACTATTTGCAAATGGACATTTAATGTTAGAAGAAACCCGTTATAATAGGCTATATGCTAAAAGTACTTATATAAGAATATCGTCGAAGATTATTGACGCTTTTAAACAGAAACAGATTCTCAAGAGCTTTGCAAAAAGGCCAACAAAATTTGCATCATAAATCGCGAAATGCTTGCAGAAATAGAGGATATAAGTTTTACAAAAAATAATACTTTTTATGAAAACTGAAATATACATGATAACAAAAAATTCTTTTTTTATCATTGAAATATAGTTTTCATGAAAATATTTATTTCAGTTGCGATAAAATAATTCTACGATTGTTCTTAATTCCTAAACTTCGTATATGATTGTTCTTGATAGCGCATTGTTTCTATCGGAGTTTTTAACAATTTATAACTTGGTTTTAACTGTAGGTTAAAATCCCTACTCTGATTTCATTGTACAAAAATGTATTCCTTATGAAAACAGGGTCAAACCGGTGTGTTCTTCTTTTGATTCAAGTTTCACGTTCAAACCAGTGTGACACACCTATATGGAATCGTTTGCTTATTTCACGAAAAATGTAAGTCGTATAACATTTAATTTCCTGATAATCATATTCTTGCTATTCCTTCTGCAGATTCTTTCTGAGCGATTTTTATATTTTGCTTATATTTAAATTTAGCTTATTATGCATGCAAATTAAAAATAAAAGAAACATTTAGTGAAAAAACATTAAAAACCATTAAGCAAAAAAATTAAGTATCCACATTATCGTTACACGCAAAAGTTTAATGAATAAAATAAGTAACATAAATCTTTCTACATTCTTATATTAGCATATAAAATACGTCATACGAATATATTACAATTTTTGATCGATCGATATGTTACAATCTCAACATAAAGCAGAGCGTGAAATTCGCAAGTACAATATATTATAGTATACATTTCTGGGGAAAAATAAAGAGAATACATTAATTTAGTCTATAATTTTATTATTTTTTTATATTTACAATCACACAAGAAAAATGTAAAACACGCAATTTGTTTTCAATTAAAAGAGATTGCCAAAAAAATATAGAAACAAAAATAAAATAAGAATTAAAATACAAGACCGATCACCGATTAACCATTCCTGTACCTACTCTGATTTTATTGAAATCCATTCACACAAAAACACAGTATCAAATTGATGTAATATCAACAAGATATTATACAATTTACATTAAATCCGTATACACAAAACGCATCAGATTCGATCTTGCGACATTTTTGAACACATACAAGCAGAGAATCGAAATCTGAAAGCGCGCATTCGCATTTTCATACATTATGAAACGGTGCTAAGAGTTCATCTGAATATTCTTATCCGGAGAGTTGCTCATTTACTATATACATAATCTCTAATCGATCTCAAAAACAATTTCCTCCAAAAAGGAGACGCAGATTCATTCAAGCTAAACCTTCAATTAAATCGTTCATGCCGACACGCCTTTCCTTTCCGCGAACTCCACTTACGACATCCTGAGGAACATCTCCGGTATTTAACGCATACCGTTCAGGCGGATCATCCGTCTACCTCTGCGTTGTATATGAATCGCGCATATACATGAATTGTACAATATACTAGCAATACGTTCGACGTACATACGGATGCGTAAGTCGAGCGCCGTGACATGGACGATGGTCCGTTACGTTAATGCGACTTTTTCGCTCGCATATAACGTAAGAACGTAACGGTCGAGTTGCTGCGGACGAGTGCACGTCGCGTATCGATCGGGTATCCGTAGCGATGCGCAATGTGTTGCTTCCGAATCGCGTTTCCTCTACCGCGTTTCACGAGGCTCGCGAACATCATTAACAATCTGTCGCTCATGAAGCAGCAAGTTCACGAGTTCTCACTTTTTTTCTCGTCGTCTTACAATAACTTATAACAAGCTTTATAACAGCCTCATAGAGTACCTCTTCGTATAATTAAAAATTCAAGGCTACAATGATATTAAAGAAGAACATGATTTTGTTTACAAAACGCAAAGATCGGTCTCAGTCTGAGTGATTTTGAGGCTGCGTGTTGGAAGATATCCAATATGAGAGGATATAATAATTCAAAGTTAATTGTAATCCTATCGCTAAACGGTGGGTAAAGGAGAGTTAATCGGGAAAAGGAAAGAGTGAGAGCGCAAAAAATATATATATCGTATGTAACAACATCGTGAAAAGTCTAAAATCTGTACCGACGACAGATACGATCCGTGCGTCGTCTGTAAGGCGATAACGGTCTTCGATCGAACCGAGCACGGGTCATACACGCGTGTATATATACATACACACGCCGATCAAGGTATATATATATGCATAGTGAGGCACGCACGAACCAGCTTGTGTTTGAGCCAGAAACCGGGCGCTCTTCCAAATCTGTCAGTAGGTCAGTCGGAGGAGCCATCGCACTCGACCGAATATCCGGGCGTTGCGTGACCTTGACCACGAATCATTCTTCTGTCTTTCATCCAAGTGCCTGGCGACCTGTCGATTCTCATCTTGAAAAGTCCTGCTTCCATGCAGAAACACAAGTCAAACGCGACGCTTCGTGTCGGGGGTCAACAGACGCTTTGCACTTTGTAAATGCGCAAACCGTTGCTCATTTTTTATCATTTAAGATAGGCGTTTTATCTCTCTCTTTTATGTCTCTCTCCTCTTTCACGCGTCCCCTATTAATGTGCGGTTTCAAGAAAAGACGGATGTATCGCTAACACCGAGTCCTTTCTCAAAGTCCACAAAGTCTCAAAGACTGGAAATATATCAATATGTGCCTCACAAATAACGGTAAGCTATGTGAAAGTCATTTTGCAAATGTGTGGTCTTTACCTATAGGATAGGCGGCAAACGAACGGAGCCAAGAGATAAGCGTTGACAATGTTAATTGGAACTCATTTGCATACCAATTCACCGTAATCGCTACTCAACGATTTTACAGAAGATTACGCAATTATCGTGATTAGACAGATTAAAACAAATTCAATTTAATCACATATTCGCATTCTCGCGTATCTTAATATCGATTCGCTCACTCTGTGCCACACTTTGGATCATATCCAAAATAAAGAATTATACGAAGTTTTCGCTAGTGATCAGTGAGAGTTTGCAACATTTTCAACCGTAAGGATTGCGAATCAACTGATAATTCGTATAACCCAATTGGTAATCGTTTCTGTGCCAGTCGTCTTGTCCATATCCTGCAAAGAGAATGTTGGAAAATTAAAAATAGTATCTACTTTAAATAAAAAAAGAACTTTTCCTAACAAGTTTGAAACACTGACATCGAGCATTTGTAATGCGCTTTCTGAAGGTTAAAAAAGTATAATATATCTAATCGTGTCAAATGTACAGTTATGATTCGGAACGAACTTCTCTAACAGATGTCAAATCTATTTGCAATCTTGTTGCTATCAACTGACATTAAATAAATTGATGATCAATACTTTATATATATATATATTAGTCTACAAAGAACATTAGTGCAACCAATTTATTGCACCATATGAACGATGCTGATCTTAACTTAGCCTACATAATTATGCAAAGCTATCATCCTGTAGCAGTTGCTCTTGTTCGATAAAGAAATTTATTTCATATTAGCACATATAATTTTACAATAAATCAATATAAATCAAATGCATGGCGTATTATTGTAAAAGGAATTCCAAATGCACAATAATAATTTTTAATAATTTTTATGAATTGATTTGTAAATTAAAAAATGTGAGTATAAATAATATTACAATATTTAAAAATAAAATTGAAATTTTATTATTCTTTGTACTTTCCGTTTAGTCTATTTAAAAATTTACCAAACAAAAGACTTACTTAATATGTTTCAGGAAAAAATAAGTCAAAATATTCTTACCCGTTGGATAGTCACTTGATTCCACTGCAGTGGAAATAAATTGAATAGGATGCGATTGTTGTTGAGATTGATTTTGTACTGTGCAAACTTTTAAATGCGTTAATATCGATGACAAAAGTATTGATCCAAATACGAGAATCTTTTTGATAAAGTGAACTCCTAAAATAATCGGTAATAGCAATAACTTTAATTTTATTAAATTTAATATTATAAGAATTGGAAAGATGATGGATTTCTTTTTCTTAAAAATTCGCCAGTCACCTGAAAAAATAAATAATTTATTGATCTTTGATCTTTCGAACATTTATACTACAGAACTATTGACATGAATTAAATATCGTTGCCGTTACAAGAAATATAAGGTAGTAAACGCTGTCATTTCACCGTTGCATTCATCGTTTTTTTCAAATATACAGAACATTGTAACAGATTGCATAGTTCTGCAGTGATAATACTTGTTTTGTGTAACGTTACCCGTTATCCGAAACAAAATGCAACAGAAGCTACGATTATGCTGTCAGATATTATGAATTTTAATGTCCCGTTGTGTAGAACAATGAGTACACCTTTTCTTTATTGTTGCCAAGATATCAATATATTATTATAAAGACTGACAACTTCAAGAATCTCAAGAATAAAAAATATAAATAATAGTTATAGTTATTAATTATACTATATATATGTACTAAAAATAATAATGTGCAGAAAAATACAATATTTTTATACATAGTATATTCTTACTGATATAAATGTTTTATCATTAGATAGATTTGTTATCAAATCTTACCCTCTTCTTCCTTATCTTTCATCTGTGCGAGTTCATCTTCGTCCACTAACATCAAACTCGACGGAAAGTCTCTGGCAACTGCTGAATTGTCTACCGTATATACAATGGCACGTTTTGTCAATAAATCCTCTATGATGTCCCTAACAAAGTTCAGGGTTTCCGTTATGCTACTCTTAAATGCTCGAGAACGTGGTAAATAGGGCAAAAATGATTGCTTGTGTATCGATGGTATCCTTATTATTCGAAACGGTCCGTAATTAAATTCCTAAAATTATATTTTTTTTAGTTAATTATAATTTTATAATCTATATATAATTTATAATATGTTTTATTATAATACTATATATAATTATATACATTATATATAATTTATAATAATATATGTTATTTTAATAATATAACTTATAATAATAAATTTTGTATATGTATTATTTATTATCTGATTTATATTGATCATTAATCTTTTTAATCAATATTTTATCAATTTTGTCATAACTTTATTATTAAAATCATATTATGTATTTATAGCTAAATCCGAATTAAATAAAGAAAAATAAAGTGTTAATAACTTTATTATTTTATTAAAAACAAAAATATATAAAATAATATATTTATTTTTGACTGTTACTTATTTTACATTTGTTACACAATTAGCACTGTAGGTTTTTAATTTATAAATTTTGTAAATATAATTAAACGTTTACACACAGATATCGTTTACCACAAGTACTTACTTTTTCTTTAACTATTGTATTCAACCATCTTACAACTCTGTATTTCCCGCAAGTTGTAAAATCTTTGTGCAAACTGCATTGCATTTGACATTTCTGGACAAAAAGATCCGTTGTATTATCAAACGTCCACGAATGAGTCCGTCGTGAACAAATAATCAACAGAATTAATATCCAACACCATGTTTGGGCCACTCTTGGACATCCGATTTTGCAAGACCACTCGATAACTTCGAAAGTTCCGCACTTCATAATTGAAATAAATAATATTAATCTTGTATTATTAATTTCGATTCCTATAAATTAATTGATTTACATACGATGACAATCGGCTGATCTGTACCGAACTTTCGTCATAGTCAAATCGATCGCGAAATGAGTCATTGAGATGCTTCGCATAGAAAGAAAAAAAAGAATAATACAATTAATTAAACAAATTGCAAGTAACGTTATAGAAGATGTAAATAAACAAATTAACACCACAAGAGCGCGCACTATTATCACAACACCGTGACGTACATTGCGGATAGACGAGATTAGATGCACTGCTTACTGACAGTGGTGAGAAGGTGTCCTGACCATTTATACGGCGTGCATTTAGGTCGGTGGGGGTAACGGTCCATGGCTTAGATAATACTGTACAGAGAGATTGCCGCTGCACACTATGCGATGCGACGTCTTAGGAAACACGTAAAGGATTCGCTGACGGTCGGCTGACCGTAGAAGTTCGTGTAATGATAGTGAAACAAGTTCTGAATTTGTAACATCAAACATAATGACCCAAAAATGAGGAAAAAATTATCTCTAATAACATCCTGCGATAGAGAGAAAAATACTTCTCCATAGATTTATTAATATTCTTTGCTAATCATTATACGCATTTTTATATACATATGTGCAGAAAATGTGAAGATGCATTTATCAAACTATATAAAATTAATTATAAAAATTGGTCCACATAACAATGTAAAACTACTTTAGAAGTTCTGTAAGTTCAGTTTCTTGACCGATTGATCCAAAAGATCCTGGGAAGAATGTAAATGTAATTTTATTTTTTATTAAACAATTAATTTTAACGGTACACCATACAATCGCTGCGCGATGGAGTTGTCAACCTACCAGACAATCAAGATTTCTCACAAAGTTTTCTTACTTGAAGCAACAGCGGTGAACCGCACTGTAATTATTAAATGCTATATATTCCATTCTGTATATTTTCATTCTGTAATACATGATTAACAAACGGGTCCTATAATCGTACGTATTTAGAGTGGGAAATGACAAACGCACGTGCCGTAATAATAATGTCCTTCATTTATCCGTTTCACAGATTTCAGGAAAGGTTCTTCTCCGCGACGTTCTCTCCCACACAATTGTAAACGAACACATTCCTCGACTAGTGGGAGCGCTATATTTTCCAAGGTACCCACCCGCAACGACCCTCAATTTTTTTATCGCGCATAATCACAGATAACGTTATAATGCGTAAATTATCTCTGCCTAAAGCGGAAAGTAAACGCTAGAAAATTAGGTTCATAATTTGAAAATATTTTCGTACAATAAACTCTGACCTATATAATTTTGTCTTAATGAATCTCGGAAGTCGATTTCTTTCTAGCGAGAAAAGAATTGTGGTTTTCCGGTTCTTTTTCTGAGTATCGATTAAATATTCTGAAGCTCGCAGAAATGCAATTTAAAATAGTCAGACATCGTGATTTAAGTTTCATTAAATTCTTTAATCAAATATTGAAATTTAATTGCGAAAGATAAGTATAATCAAATGAAGAAATAATGTCTAAATCTTCACATTGAAAAAAATTGTTCATAAATCCTCTAAAGAATCTACAAGATAAAGTATCTATACGTGAATTTATACATAACATATTTAAACTGAGTTGTATAATAACTAATAAAACTAGTAGTGGCAAAAAATAAAGAAAAGGATAAGAGGACGAAAGGCGATTGATCGACCTATTAACGTCATTGCTCTTCAAGCGTGGAATCAGAATGTACACATATTTGCGACGCAGCCTCTTTTCTGCAACCGGTTTATAACCTTCGTACGACAGTTGTGCGCCTTACTTTGGTTTCGGATCGTTTATTTGCCATTCGAATGCAATTTTTAAACACTCTCTTCCTTCAATACCTGGTTTTCTTGGTATGCTTGACGACATTGACTATATAAGCAAGCTATCGTTAAAAAAGTTCCGTGACCAAATAATTAAATAAATAAAACTAAATAATAAGGATCTAGCAATAACTTGTGAAATATAAATATCTATATTAGCCTATATAGTTTTACGATTTTTGCGAATTTTAAAACATTATTGATATGTAAATGTACGTACATATCCTCACTCTACAACTTAATTTTTACATGTCTTATTTTACATGTTATTTATGACATATTCCTAATAATTGCTTTTCTTTTGAAATGTATCTAATGGTGAGATAATTGATAAGTCTTATTTACATATATACATGTTATAAATATCCTGTAACACTATACATTTTTCATAAAATTATCATATAGAAAAATACTCAAACAAGAAAAATTATTTTATTCAAGATATGGAACCCAAAGAAATCGTATCAAGAATGTAATCTGTAACGACTCATTTTTGTTCCTATTCATATGTACATGTACTTAATTACTGATACTTTAACAATCTTTCAATGTAATCTTAGATAGCACCGTGTCTAAAATGCACGCATAAGACATCATTAAGAAATTTGCAACACATATTTTTAAGAAATCTTATATAATATCCCAAAGAGAGAGAGAGAGAGAGAGAGAGAGAGACATCTCTTAAAAACATCTTAAAGATATCTTATGGGTGCATTTTGGACATGGTGCTATCTAGGATTCTTTTGAAGGATTCATCGAGTCGCGCAAGCAACGTGACTTGTTTTTGAATCCGGACACAATATTTTCGCGGAACACAACCCGGAAGAAACAACCGTCTTACTCTACTGGCCTGAAAATATAGATCTATCACATCTGCATAGGAAAGGCATTATCACCCGAAAGATAATTTTCCATGAACGGTAAGTTATATATATAGGGTCGTGATAACGAGGTACGAATAATAAACGTGTCGCACCGGAAGCATGACGAGCGCGTTCCAGCGCGCGCGAGCTTTCACTCGCGGCTATGAACGCGACAGAAAAAGGATACACGTCGTAGACCGTCATTCATCGACTTGGTGAGGATCATGAGGTAAGAAGAAGACGCGCGATGACGAGTCGGGTGGGATACTGAAGCGTGCGCGCTATTCGTCACGTAACCTGCTTACCCCTTTGTCCGGTTGACCCAGTACGGAACATCGACAGGATATGAAATGGTAATCTCGAGTAATCGGTTGCAACTGATTGCGCCCATCTCGACATTCTAGTTTGTTACACATTCTTGATTGGAAAATAAGTTCGCGAGAGAAGCGCAAGAAATTGTCTGCGGAAAGATCATTATCCTTCTTAAACTTCTACATCATTAATCATTACACATTTCAAAGCTTACACTCGACTGAAGAGTTGACAGCTTGAAAATGTGTATCGAGATGTACGCTAGAATGTACAATGTGGATTGAGTCGTTTATTTTCAAGAGATTAATTATTATTTATTATGCATGCACATATTAATATTGAAATCGATTTGATATCGAAAAAGGACGACAGAAAAAGAGAAGTAAATATATATTTGTAATATTCAATTATTAGATAATTATTTAGATTTTGTTATATTAACATATTAATTTGATTGTAATCTTCCGAAAATAAATACATTATTTTATCGATAATTAAGAATTGTGGTATTTACGTCTTCTCCATAAAATGTAAAATTCGCAAAATTTATAAACATCACGATATCTGTGTGCTATATCTTGTATACATACAATCTCATAAAATATCGTATTTATATCTTTTTTGCGAGAACCGATGCATTTAACTTCTTTATCTATTGCGGACAGAGATTTTGTGTTGTTGGACATAGGCGTTTACTTACTTTATTTTAATATAATATATACGATGTGTTTATCAGAAAATCTGTTCTATAATTATAACATTCAAGATTCAAGATCCGTTATAAATTATAATAAAATGAACACTGACATGAAACTTTGTAGCTGTCAAGTCTTGAAATCCACGTATACATAAAGTTAGGTGTAATTTATTTTATATATTAAAAGCGAAACTAATCGATAACACCTTGAAGCCGCGAAATTTATTTTAATTACTTAGTTATGCTTATTTTATGACATCTACGGTCTATTTCATTAAGAATCCAGCATACATTTACGTAATGACAAACGAATATTGCATGACTCGAGCATGACATATCATACTTATATGTTTTAGAATAAAATGTATTACGAGTACATCAAATGTCGTCTGGACAAGATTAAGCAATGTAAAAGAAACTGCAAAAGTACATCGAAACTTTATTTGTAATTCGAAGCAAAATAATTTATATATCATTTCATATTATAACAGGATTCATATTAAAACATTTTTAAAAATTATTTTTATAAATTGAATTTTATACATGTATTCTACATAATAAAAATTTTTGAACTTTTTATATCATTTTTTATCATTAGTTATATTTCAGATTTAATTAACACTTATAATAAATCACACGTACCATCAATGAATATTACTAATTAACATACAATGAATATTACTAATTAACACTCAGCAATTAGCATGAATTAAAGATCTATTTAGCGTCAATCACGCTATTTGATTCACTAGAGAAATGACTCAGAATCGGCCCGAAAGAGAACCTCGATTAAGGCCTTTGACTGTCACCATTGCGGGATCATAAATCATAGATTGTCTCCTAGCAATTGCATACATATTATGAACAGAAGATGCATGACTTTTTCTTTTTTTTTTATTTTTTTATTTTTTTAAGATCAAGAACGCAATTTTATATAAGTAGTAAAAATCACAACAATGTAATGAAATTATAAAGTAGACCAGTATGTTAGATAAAGATGATTATTTTCCATTCTTTATATTTCTAATATCTAGTCCATTGGATATTTCTCTAGTAAAACTTGCGTTTGCGATCGATCACTTTGGGAGGATGCTGTAATATCGTATCAATAATATGCGTGCACACACACACACACACACACACACACACACACACACATTATACATATACTACATACATAGCCACATGCATTTATTTTCTCATGTACATATATTGCTATTTAACACGTTTTTCGAAATCTTAATCACAGTTTCAAAATACAAGAA